AATCATGAGGAATTATAACTAAATTTTTATTCCCAGGATTTGACCATTGTATTAGTTTTCACACTGCTGATAAAAACATACCTAAGACTGGGCAGTTTACAAAAGAAGGAGGTTTAATTGGACTTAGAGTTCCAAGTGGCTGGGGAAACCTCACAATCATGGTAGAAGGCAAGGAGGAGCAAGTCATGTCTTACATGGTTGGCAGCAGGCAAAAAAAAAAAAACTTGTGCAGGTTTTTTTTGACATCAGATGTCATGAGCCCCACCCACCACCATGAGAATGTCATGGGAAAGACCTGCCCCCATGATTTGTTTACCTCCCACCAGCTCCCTCCCACAACATGTGGGCATTCAAGATGAAATTTGGGCAAGGACATGGCCAAACATACCAACCACGTTTTCATATCAAAAATAATACAGCTCTGCTGATGAAACTTCTACAGAATGCCCCCTCTCATTTTTCAGCAATTTTCATAAGATTTTACTTTTAATATTCTGTGTTTTATGTGTGTCTTAAGCTATATGAACACTTTTAAATCATATTTAAATATTTAGGAATATTTTGGCTAAAAAATAAGAAAGTTCAAATTAATTACCTGACCAAACATTTTAGCTGTAGAAGCATGCAAGAGTTAAAAACCTTAGCTGGTCATTATTCATTGTTTTTTTTTTTTTTTTAATAGCAAATAAGAAAAGATTATCTGAAGGATGTGTATGTTGAGTTAATATTGCTTAAAAATTGTTAGACTGATAAATGCCCTCTTTTCATTAATAGAAATTACTACTAAATTGCTTTGCAGGTTAATCTTCCTCATGCACTGAATATTATATATCTTCAAAATGAATGCTGTTTTCTATCTTATTCTGGAAATCTTGCTAAGGAAAGAAAATTGTTGATAAAATTTCAACTGCTGATAAATTTATGCATGTGTTTTACTCTATCTACCACAACAAGTACATTCTTAGGTTCATTGACTAAAATGTAGTTATTTTATGCTAATTTTATATGCTTTCAGAAAATCCAGTCCAGTCGATACTTTTCCTGAGTTTAATTTGGTTTTGCTGTCCTTTTGACTCTGAGAAACAGAATTAGAAATGTTTTCGATTGTGTTCACTCTATCCTTCATTCCATATATGTCACTATTAGTATTAACTGTTTTATTAGCTATCAAAGTTTACAGCTTTGCTTGTTTTAGTATGCTAGTCTTTTGTATCTGACATATATACAGGTATTGCTTTGTATGTATTCTGTGTATGTGTGTTTATGGTTAAATCTTGTATTTAAAAGTTGGTAATTAAGTAGCTTGTATCATTTTTAATTTATTACCAGTCTTTAACCATTATGTTTAAACACTTTAATCATGAGTCCAACTTGAGCCTCACTATATTGTAAGTTACATGTTTTCCAGCATACAGACATGTATAAAACATAGTTCCTACTCTTAAAGAACTTCCCTGGTAGGAAAATTGCATAGCGATTTCTTACATAAAACAAAATTAATTTGATGTGCAAAGTTAATACTATTTTGATTCACGTATTTAAGTTCATATTTATTGTGAGTTCCTTCGAGTACTTCAAAATACTGTTTTATGTTCAATTTGCCGCTGAGTCCAAAGCTTGAAGGCACAGTAGTGTCTCTCCCACCCTCCCATATTTGCCGGGGATATGTTCTAAGACCCCCAGTGGATGCTGAAACTGCAGATAATACCAAACTCTGTAAATACTGTTTTTTTTTTCTATACATATATAACAATGATAAAGTTTAATTTACAAATTAGGCATAGTACTGCTGCACTTTACAGCTATTATTAAATAAAATAAGGGCACAAGCACTGTGATACTGTAACAGTCAATCTGATAACCCACACAGCTACTAAGGGATTAATGGGTAGTTAGCATCAGTAGCATGAATACACTGGACAGAGGGAGGATTCACTTTGTTATGTGAGAGATTTCGTCATGCTACTCAAAATGCTATGTAATTTAAAACTTATAAATTGTTTATTTCTGGAATTTTTCATGTAATATTTCCAGACTCTGGTTGACTGAGGTTAACTGAAACCCCACAGACAACGAAAATGTGGATAAGGGTGGGAGAGAACTACTGTATGACTGTTTTTCCCCCCACATAAACTTTATATTAAGTCCCCTAGCATCAATACCCAGTTTTAAAGAGAAAAATAGATTGACTATATTATTTTGTTCTCTACTCTCACCCATCCCAATTGGGAATGAAAGTATCATGAGATCAGGAATGTTCTCTCTAGTCAGCACCTAAATATAGTGCTTGGCACATGGTATAGTGAAGCAAAATAATTTCATGTCAAGTGAAATCACATTTACGGTGATTACTCTCTTCAAAGATAGGATTTGGGGCTTGTCATTTTTGTGGATAAAAGAAGTGAAGTAGAGAATTGGGAAGCCCATCTTACCTCTCTTTGGCACAGCCTTAACCAAGGAAATTTTGATTTTATAAATCAATAGATTTTTTTTTTTTAAACACAAGTTCTACTCATTGGCTGTATTCTCTAGTGGCTCTGAACCTTTGTGTTAAAAAACTGTTTTAACAGTTTTCTCAATTGTTTGAAAATATTATAAAAGAAGTAGACTCTCCATTGAAATGTAAGATGTGTAAATTTTCCATGTAATTTAAGGCAATTCATAGATCCCTGCAATTCACCTATTTAAAGTATATAATATGGGTTGGATGTGGTGGCTCACATCTGTAATCCCACCACTTTGGGAGGCCAACATAGGTAGATTATGAAGTCAAGATTTTGAGTCCAGCATGGTGAAACCCTGTCTCTACTAAAACTACAAAAAGTAGCCGGGCATGGTGGCAGGTGCCTGTAATCTCAGCTACTCAGGAGGCTGAGGCAGGAGAAGCGCTTGACCCCTGGAGGTGGAGGTTGCAGTGAGCCGAGATTGCACCACTGCACTCCAGCCTGGGTGACAGAGCAAGATGACTCTGTCTAAGGGGGGAAAAAATATATATATATACACATACATACATATACGTACATACGTATACATACATACACATGTATGTATATGTATGTATACGTATGTACGTATATATGTATAGTATGTGTGTATATATGTATGTATATATATGTATGTGTGTGTATATGTATATATATGTATATGTATATTTGTGTATGTGTGTGTATAATATGATGGTATTCAGTATATTCAGAGTTGTAAAATCATCGCTACAATTAATTTTAAAACATTTTTGTCATCCCCAAAAGAAACCCTATATTTATTTTGAGTTCATTCTCTGTTTTCCACCAAATCCTCTTCTCCCCCCAACTCTTATCAACCACTAATTTACTTTGTCTCTATAGATTTTTCTACTTTTTTTTTTTCGAGACGGAGTTTCTCTCTTGTTACCCAGGCTGGAGTAAAATGGCGCAATCTCGGCTCACCGCAACCTCTGCCTCCTGGGTTCAGGCAATTCTCCTGCCTTAGCCTCCTGAGTAGCTGGGATTACAGGCACGCGCCACCATGCCCAGCTAGTTTTTTGTATTTTTTAGTAGAGACGGGGTTTCACCATGTTGACCAGGATGGTCTCGACCTCTCGTGATCCACCCGCCTCGGCCTTCCAAAGTGCTGGGATTACAGGCTTGAGCCACTGCGTCCGGCCACGACATTGGTTTTTAAGTGGAACCTTGATTAAATTCTTCCTATTATCCTAGATTATCTATGGCTTGTAACAAATTACTCCTGAACTCAGTGGCCTGTAACAAAATATCCTGTGGGTCATGAATTTGAGATACTTAGCCTATGTAGTTCTGGCTTCCGGTCTCTCATGAAGTTACAGTCAGGCTGCCAGCTGGGGCCATAGTCAAATTAAGACTTGGCTGAGAATGGAGGATCTGCATCTAAGGTGGCTCACATGGCTGTACAGAAAGCTTCAGCTCCTTGTCATGGGTCCTGCCTTCTCCATAGGGCTCCTTGAAAGTGTCTTCATGATATGGCAGCTGGCTTCCCCCAGAAGTAATGATAAGAGAGTAAAGGAAACCAAAGTGCTTTTATGACCTGTTGGCCATTAAACATTGTCTCTTCTATGCTATTCTTTTCATTAGAAATGAGTCACAAAGTTGACCCTACGGTGCTGGGGGACTAGGCACTACTTTTTCAAAGAAATATCAAAGAATTTGTGGATTTGTTTTGTTTTGCTTTAGTAGAGAAAGAATCTTGCTCTGTCACCCAGGCTGGAGTGCAGTGGGGCAATCATAGTTCATTGTATCCTTGAACTCCTGGGCTCAAGCCATCCTGCCGCTTCACCTTCCTGGGTAGCTGGGACTACAGGTGCCACCATGCCTGGTTAATTTTTATTATTATTTTTAAATATATTTTTATTTTTTAGAATCTCACTGTGTTGCCAAGGCTGGTCTTAAAACCTTGGCTTTAGGCCATATTTCATCCTCAAGCCTCCCAAGTAGTTGGGATTACAGGTGTGAGCCACTGTACCCAGCTATGGAGATACTTTAAATCACCACATGTTCTTGTCTGTTTTATTCAAAAAGTCTAATTCCAAACAGCTAATGGGCCTTCATTGCTCACTTATTATTTAATAAAATGATCTCCAAATTATTCATTTTAAAAATTGCCTTCTATGTTCCTGATTCTGCCAATCTAACCAGACTTAGTGTATTTTAGGATCAGAACAAAGTAAAGGAGCGTATATATCAGAAATGTTACATAAATATGACAGGGAAATAACATGATTTCTAAATTGATATAAGAAAATTTTCTACACTATTACATAATAAATTTTCACAGTCATTTTTCCAATTCCTAGGAAGGGACACACAGATTGTTATCTTTCAGGCTGTCTTTGAATACGTCCATGACTCTGCACACTAGCTGAAAAGAGTTTCAACCACTGCTAACAGTAGGAAACATTTTCAAGTTAGTCATTACCTTTGTAGTAGGATCATATGAACCCATTTTAATACTTTGAACCTTGGTTTCTCCTGCAAACTCTTTTGTAGGTAATGACTTTACATGAGTTTGGAACTGGTCTCTAGTGGGACATTGTGGGAGGATGAACACAGAAGAGCTGGAGTTATTGAGTGACTCCAAATACAGAAACTATGTAGCTGCAGTTGACAAAGCACTAAAGAATTTTGAGTACTCCAGTGAATGGGCAGATTTGATATCAGCACTTGGAAAACTTAATAAGGTATGTCTGCATTATCCATTTTGTAAAAGGAGTAAAAATTAGAAATCTGTATTTGTACTTGTTAGATTTCTCTAAATCTTGAAGTAAGAATGCAAAAACATAAATGAACTTTGGGTTACTCTTGGTAGTGCTATTTTTCTTCATGAGTTGCATGTCTATATAGTCAAGTATATTGTTAAGGCTTTGGAAGTTTTGATTGAAAGAAATAACAGTGCTTGAAAAATACAGTTACCACTATGATTATTAACTATAAAAACAAGAGAAGGAAGGAAGCAACTGTGTTAACTATGAGGGCTAGTAAATTTCTGTAATTGAACATCAGAGATGATCCTGGAATTCCTGGCAGCAAAATGAAAACCTACAGATGGAAAGCAGAAATTCCTGTGTCCTTTCCGAATGGCATATAGCAGCAAGCAAACACTTTGTATCTAGGCAAGCTGTAGTTATAATTTGGTACTTTTTACAAAGGCAGTTATATACAAGCAGTTGGTTATGCCTTGCAGCTTGTTCTTGAGTGATTCTTCTTGACATGTCTGAGTTTTATTCAGTTACTGTGGTGGCATCATTGATCAACTTTTGGCTCTTTGTTTTGACCTTTTTTTTTTTTGTAAACATCAGTTTTTTTCACCTCATACCCATAGTTAAGGTTTTGTTTTTTTTTTTAAATTGTTACTGAATGGGAGCATTTCTAAATGTTAAAGGGGTTAGATAGGAAAGGAGTGGTTTTTCAATAACTTATTTTATTTTAGATAAGGTCTTACTCTTTCACCCAGTATGGAGTCCAGTGGCATCATCATAGCTCATTGCAGCCTCCTGGACTCAAGGAATCCTCCCACCGCAGCCTTTGAGTAGCTGGGACTGCAGGCATGCCACCGTGCCTGGCTTATTATTGTTTTTATTTTTTTAGAGACAGGGTCTTGCTATGTTGGCCAGGCTGGTCTTGAACTCTTGGCCTCAAGTGATCCTTCCACCTTGGCTTCCCAAAGTGCTGGAATTACAGGCATTAGCCACCACACCCAGGCTATCAAATAGCTTAACATACAAATAAGGAAAGAAATTTTTCTCAAAATACATACAAAGATGTGTGTGGGGGAAAAAATGCAAATTGCTTTTCCTCTCCTCTCACACCACTACAATCAATGCAGAAGACTTCCATGAACCTAAATTAAGCGGTTATTTCTCCCTTATCAGCAAGCAAGCAGTCAGTTCTACCATGGACACCAGCTTGATGTGCCCCACTTCAATTTGGGTACTATCTACTGGAGATAGTATCAGATCCCACAAGGTTGAGGGCTAAGCCCATAAGACTGCCTTTCTCTTTTGATGCCAGTTAAAGCCCCAGGTTGTTTTACCTGTGCTTCTGACCAACTGGCTATAAATCAGATTTCCACAATCCTTTCTTTAGGTTTTATTTGCTAGAGCGGCTCACAGAACTTAGGGAAACACATTTACTGGTTTATTATAAAGGACATTACAAAGGATATAAGTAAAGTGGTACATAGGGTGAAGTATGAGTGAAGGGATGTAGAACTTTCATGCCCTCCCTAGGAGTGCCACCCTCCAGGATTCTCCACATGTTCAGCTGGCCTAGAAACATATTTTGAGCCTTTTGAGACTTCATTGGATTGGCATGATTGAAGCATGGACAGCCGTGTAGAAATGGCCTCTCTGTGCAGCATTCCTTCCTTCTGGTTAGGGGGCAGGACCCTTTCTGAAATGGGGGTCTTTTGACCTACAATGAGACCAAGTACTCCAGAGAATTTCATTATGGCCAGCTCCAAGATAGAAAGATAGGGGAAGATTTCTGCCTTAGGGAGAAAAAGGAGATGAGAAGAGGACAGGAAAAAGTCAGAGAGAAGTTGTTTTTTTGAGGCCTGGTTTTGAGGCCCCAAAGTTCCCCAATATTATAATAAGGTCAGTGGGAGTTATGAGCCAGGAAACATGGATGAAAACCTACACATACACTCTCACAATACCACACCAGGACACTAGTTTTCAACCTGATATGACAGATAATCACTTTGATACTCTAAAAAGAAAAGTTTACATTTTCAGTATGCCAAGGATTGATCTTAAAATTCGATACAGAAGCTTCTCTTTAACATGTTAGAACTTCTGACATTTATCATTTGAGGTTTGAATAATTCTTTATTTCTTTACAACATCCACAAGAACTTGCATCTAAAAGTACAAGTTTTCTTAAAGGTAGTTAGGTTATTTCTTTTTCTAAAGAGTTCTGAAGAGTCTGTTTCTGAAGATATACTGGGAATTGGTATTAAAGACAAGTCATTAAATGATGGAAATTAATTTGCCTAATTAGGTACATAATTCATTTTTTTAGATTAATCAATAGTCATGAAAATAGATTTCATGATATCTAGATAACTTAAAAGTAGAATACCCAAGTTATTAATGAAACAGCCAAAATTGTGATGGAAGGAGGCAAGGATTACATATGTGTATATATATACATTTGTGTGTGTGTGTGTATGTGTGTGTGTGTGTGTATTTTTTGAATGTAGTCTAAACATGTTTTAGTATATAAGTTTAATGAACCAGGAGATCTGGTGCGGACTCTTCTATTATACTGCCTTTGATAGTCATTTCATTTATTATGGGGAAAAAAAACTAATTTTTTAGTTTTTTGAAAAAAACTAATCTAAAATTTCAACCTCAGTTTATTCTTCTGTAAAATAAGACTTTTTATATTTCTTCTAAATTCCAGTTCTAACACAGTCCGTATTCATTCTGAGTCTTCACTTTATGACATTCTATCAATACTTTATCATAATACTGACTTCTAGGTTCAAACTAAAGAATTACATTTATTATAAGATCTTCTTTACTTAACTACCCTTGAGTGGTTGGTAAGATAGGATCTCTCTACAGAAATTTGGCCCAGACCATTATTTCTAAGGAAAGTTATGGTTGAATAAATAAAACAAAAAGTTGTTTTGTCCAATTAGAAAATGAGTTTATAAAAATAAATGGGTAATTATAATCTCGTATAGGTTTTCTTATAAGCGTTAGAATTACTTGCTATAATTTGATATGCCAGAACAATGGTTGTACTTTTTCCAAGTATTGTAAATATCTATGATGAGGCCAGACTTTATTTCAAACAAAGTAGCAAAAATAGATTGAAGGCTGATTCATGTAGCTATCTTCTCTTACATCAAATATTACAAATTTACCAAAAAAAAAAAAAATCTAAAATGCCTCTCTGCTCCATAAATTTGTTTTGGAAAATATTATTTTTCATTAAAAATGTTATTCTGTTAACAGGTTTATTTTTTAAAGAAATTAATTAAGTTTTTAACATTTCCTCAATTTTAATTTTAAATATGATATATATAGGCAAATTGACAAAATATACAGATCTACAATGATCATTTTTAATGATATTATGCTAGAAAATGGAAGTAAAATGAATGCAGTATTTTGTTTTTCTCAACTACATTAAAATGCTTTCTTTAAGGTTTTACAAAATAATGCAAAGTACCAGGTAGTACCCAAAAAGCTGACCATAGGCAAACGCCTAGCTCAATGTCTGCATCCAGCATTACCAGGTGGAGTTCATCGGAAGGCACTTGAAACATATGAAATTATCTTCAAAATAATTGGACCTAAGCGACTTGCCAAAGACCTTTTTTTATATAGGTAAGAATAATTTTACTATATACATATATACACACACACACACACACACACAAATAATATAAAGAAAATATAGTGCTAAACTTTTATACTTTCTGCACTAAAAATTAAAAACTTGAAAATTCCTTAATGATTAGAAGTTTTCAGATATCAATCTTATTGAGTCAGAAAAATGTCTTTAATGTTCGTTTTGTTTTTTATTCTTATACGTCATTTATTAGAAGTTTTCATTCAAAGTTGTTCAAACTATAGTACATTCTACCTTCTTAAGCTTGAAAACTGGCCTGAGGAAAAAAAATAAGATACCTTGATCTCTCAGCAACTTTCAACATAGTTGAATCTTCACTTGAAACAGTCATTTCCTTTGGTTTCCATGATACCACATTTTCCTTTTTAGTTACTCTTTCACAGTCTGCTTTACCAACCTTTCCTCCTTTATCCAAACTCCACACAGTTTCTTAGGGCTCACTTAATGCAGTACCTTCTTATGTTTTCACTTTGCAATCTCTCCTTAGGCAAACTTAGCTATACCCATGATTTATTTTTTATTTTAAATTATACTGTATGCATTTAAGATGTGACATAACATGCTGCAAAATACCTAAAGACAGTAAAACAGTTACTATAGATAAACAAATTAACATAGCTGTTGTCTTACATAGTTATCTTATTTTTTGTGTATATGACAGGAGTAGTTAAAATATATTCATTTAGTAAAAATCCCTAATAAAATATTATTAATTATAGTTATCATGTTTTACATTAGCTCTAGATTTGTTCCTCTGTCATTTCCCATTTCCTCTTGCCCCTGTAAACAACTGTTTTCTATATGCTGACTCCCAAATGGACATTTCCAGTTCTGGCAACAGCTTTAAACTCCTGCTTGCTTGACGTCTCCATATAGATCTTTAAAGGCAACTAAAGTTCAAACTGTTTAAAACTAAACTTACTTCTCCTCCTATTAACCTGACCTTTCTACAGTGTATATATTAAAGCTCAATAAATGGTATCACCATCTGTCCATTTATACAACCCTCAAATCCAAGAGTTACAGTTTCTGCTTTGTTTTCCCCACCCACATTCTCCCACCTCCCATGTACACAGTCTGTTGTTGAGAGTTCTGTTTCTTAAGAGAAGAGATGGTAGAGTCAAACTACCTCTGTGATCTGGGGCCATTGTCCACACCTGTTTGTGTCATTACCTGCACAACAAAAATAAGATTATCAACCTCATAGGGTAGTTAATAGTATTGAAAGAGTTCATACATATAATATGCAATGGGCAGCATATAGTAAGTTCTCAGTAAATGTTAGCTGCTATTCTGATAGCTGTCTCAAATATATCTACTTCCCTGAACCTTCACTGGCAGCATGCAGTCTAAGTAAACATCTCTAGCTTGGGCTTTGTCACCAGCCTAACATTCGTCTACCATCTTTTCTTACCTCTTCTACCCTTTTCTCCACATAATACCAGAGTAGTCTTTTTAATATATTAAATAATGTTACTCTCTTGCTTAAAAAGTTTTATTGACTTCTTCTCAGCTCACTTAAGAAAAATTAGGGAAAAGCCTTTACCATGACATTGAATACTTCCTGAAGTATTCTGACCCTGGCTCTGTCAGTGACCTCAACTCTTAATAAACTAAATCTAAACGATTACTATTTTCCCCCAATTTATTCCACTCAGATCACACAGGTCTCTTTCTTTATTCTCTTTGCTATTCCCTTGCCCTGTAATTCTCAAATCCAGGCCTTTGATCAGATATCAGCTCCTCCATAGACTTGTTTAATTATCATCTGAAATGGCCCTTCTTCCACATTTTTGTCCCCAGTATTCTGTTCTATTGTGATGTGTTTTTAGTTAGGTTTTTTTTTTTAATCCTGTCGTTATATGTTGGACTTAAAAAAATCTATGAATTGGATAAAAAGGAATAAAATAATGGCATTTGCAGCAACCTGAATGGAATTGGAGACCATTATTCTAAATGAAGTAACTGAGGAATGGAAAAGCAAACATTGTATGTTCTCACTCATAAGTGGGAGCTAAGCTATGAGGATGCAAAGGCATAAGAATGATACAGTGGACTGCCGGGCACGGTGGCTCACGCCTGTAATCCCAGCACTTTGGGAGGCCGAGGCGGGTGGATCACGAGGTCAAGAGATCAAGACCATCCTGGTCAACATGGTGAAACCCTGTCTCTACTAAAAATACAAAAAATTAGCTGGGCATGGTGGCGCGTGCCTGTAATCCCAGCTACTCAGGAGGCTGAGGCAGGAGAATTGCCTGAACCCAGGAGGCAGAGGTTGCAGTGAGCCGAGATCGCGCCATTGCACTCCAGCCTGGGTAACAAGAGCGAAACTCCGTCTCAAAAAAAAAAAAAAAAGAATGATACAGTGGACTTCGGGGACCCAGGAGAAAGGGTATAAGGGGGTGAGGAATAAAAGATTACATTTTGGGTACAGTGTACACTACTCAGGTGATGGGTGCACCAAAATCTCAGAAATCGCCACTAAAGAACTTAATCATGTAAGCAAACATGGCTGTTATGCAAAAAAGCCATTGAAAAAAATTTTTTTAATCTATGAATTGATGCCTTTCACCAATTTTGGAAAATTTTCAACCATTCTCTTTTGAGATTGCCTTTACTGCATCTGTCTCTCCCCACTTTTGGAACTATGTTTAAACATGTTATGTCTTCCCACTATGGCTTTTCCATCGCTTAACCATTTTTCAGTTTTTTAACTTTTTTGTCTTTATGCTGCATTCTCAGGAATTTCCTCTGACCTAGTTTCCAGGTCCCTAATTCTGCCTCCCCTTTTCTTAACCACTTAACTTTTCTTTTTAAACTGTCGATATAATTTACATACAGTAAAATGAACAGGTCCTAAGCGTTTAGTGTGATGTTTTGACAAATTTAGTCAATTTTGTAGCCACCATTCAAAATAAGATACAGAACATTCTTGTCAACCCAGAAAGTTCCCTCCTACCCACTTCTACTGAAAACGCCTACCGTTTAACTACATGTATTTCCCTCAATCTGCAGCTTAATTTTTAAAACTTTCTAAACGGTATCTTTGAAGAACCAAAAGTTCTTTATGCTGTCTTTTGAAGTTTATTTTAATGAAGTCTGATTTATCAACCTTTTATTGAGTGGTCCTATTTGCTTCTTGTTTAAGGAATATTTCCTTGGTATATTGGTGTTAGAATGAAGAAATACAAAAAGTGTTTTTCTGTATTGACATTGTATTTAGAAATTTAGTTAAGTTTACTTATTCTTTCTAATAGCTTTTGGAATTTTGAGATATACAATCACACTATCTGTGAATAGCAAGTTATATTTCTTATTTTTCACTTTTAATAATTTTTTTTTTTTTCCTTATTGTATTGACTTAGGTCTATAGTAAAGTGTTGAAGAGAGAGTAGGGACAAGTATATTTTTGTCTGTCTTCTCACTTCAGGTAGGAAATGTTAAATGTTTTGGAAGGTTCAGTCAACCTTCCATTTCTGGAATATATCCAGTTGGCTCGTGATTTAGAATCCTTTTTGTATCACTGGATTTTTTTTTTTTGTTTATTTGTAGTTTTTAATCTTTATTTAGTAGAGGATGGCCATGATATTACATTTCTATCTGATTTTGGTTTCAAGTTTATACTAAGTTCATAAAACAAATTTCAGATTGTTCTCTCTTAGTCAGCTCTCTGGAACAGTTTTTATAACATTGGTATAATTAAATATTTAGAAAATTTTATCTGAAATTTGTCTTCATGGGAAGATTTGTAATTACAGATTAATTTCTTTAACAGATATGGAACTATTCAAATCTATTTGTTAGTTCAGTAAATTTTTTTCTCTAGAAATTTACCCATTTTTACTAAATTTTTAGATGCATTGGCCTAAGTTCATAATATAGTCCTTTCTTTGTCACATGTAGGATCTATAGTAATGCCTCCTCTTTCACCCTTGATATTGGTGACTCAAGCCATCCTTTTTTTCTAATTGATTAGTCTTATCATAAGTTTATAAATTTTGCTAGTCTTTTAAAAACCAGCTTTTAGTTTTACTGATCTTTTCTACTGTGTATGTGTTTGCTCTCTGTTCTGCTCAAATAAGCCTTCTCTGACCACCCTGTTTAGAACCTGCTTCTGCTCCAATCTCATTGTTATTCCCCTGTACCTTTTTCTCCTCTGCTGTGACATTTATCACTATCTGATATGCATGTATGTGTTAAGACATGGAATAACCAAGCAATTAAAATACATACATATATACTCTCCAAAAAATAAACTTTATAAAGTTAAGGAGCAGGGATTTCTTCCTGTGATTAAGTGCTCTATTCTCAGTATCCTAAAGAATTGACAGATAGCAGACCCTTAATGAACATTTGTTTAGTGAATAAAGAAACACTATTTGCTGTACTCAACTCTTAGATATTTTAAAATATTATTAAAGAGAAATTAGCATGGAAATATAATAAAGATAAATGAGCATGGATGTCTTTTTTTTTGGGGGGGGGGACAAAGTCTCACTCTGTCCCCCAAGCTGGAGTGCAGTGGTGCAATCTCAGCTCACTGCAACCTCCACCTCCCAGGTTCAAGCAATTCTCCTGCCTTAGCCTCCCAAGTAGCTGGGACTATGGGTGCCTGCCACCAATACAAAAGTACAAATAATGTTTGTATTTTTAGTAGAGATGAGGTTTCACTATGTTGGCCAGGCTGGTATCAAACTTCTGACTTCGTGATCTGCCTGCCTCGGCCTCTCAAAGTGCTGGGATTACAGACATGGTGTAATCCCACACCCAGCCAAGCATAGATGTCTTAAAGATAGTATGTAAAGCCAGTAAAAGTATTTTTAATAGTAATAAATAATACATTCCAAGAGTGGTGTTAAGAAAACTGAGCATTGCTTAATCAGTGTTGCATGTAATTTTCTAATAGTTGATAGATTTTCCTTTCTCAAGGCAAGATTTACATAATTCCTGCCTGCTACTTTTTAACTCTTAAGAGAAAGTTTACCTTAAGCAACACAGTTATTCTTCAGTTGTAGTGTACCTGTTTTTATCCTTAGTATGTTATGTAAGATTAAATTCTAGAATACCGTTTCTAAGTATGGCACATATTCTTGTACACATGCACACACAAATGTTATGGAGTAAATTATATCATGGTTTTATAGTACTTTGAAGTATAGCTATTTTAAAAACCAAAATTTATATTAAATGTAAATACATTTATTTTTAATTAATGATTTCTTTTGTCTCAAGGTTTATAGTTTAACATAAATACAAATACTTTTAAAGTTTTATAACCTTTTACATGATAGAGTACCATATTGCCTTGTCAAGGTTATTTCTTTTTAATGTGATACAGTGCAGAAAGATGTTACTAAGAAGGCTAGAAGTGGAGTTTGAATGCATTAAAATATTTAGATGGGCATGTAAAGTAAGCTTTTTGTAAAATAATAAAATTAATTACATATAACATGATTCAGCAATGCTTAGTTTTCTTAACACTATCCTTTGAATGTATTATTTATTACTATTAAAAATACCTTTACTGGCTTTACATACTATCTTTAATGTCCTATCTGACCTCGTGATCTGCCTGCCTCAGCCTCTCAAAGTGCTGGGATTACAGGCATGGTGTAATCCCACACCCAGCCAAGCATGGATGTCTTAAAGATAGTATGTAAAGCCAGTAAAAGTATTTTTAATAGTAATAAATAATACATCAGTGTTATAAGACACTATCAGTGTCTGCAGACACTATCAGCATTTAGGTGACAAGTTAAAGCCAAGAGAATAATTGAAATTGCCTAGGCACATTGTAAGTAACAAGGAGGGAAAAAGGAAAGTGGGCATTTTTAGAGTATTTAGGAGTCTCAGTATTTAAAGATTAGGTGGGGGAGAGTAGCCAGTGAAAGAGAGTCAGAGATAGGAAATGTACCAAGAGGCTGGACTCAGTGGCTCATGCCTCTAACCCCAGCACTTTGGGAGACTGAGGTGGGTCACCTTAGGTTAGGAGTTCAAGACCAGCCTGCCCAACATGGTGAAACCCCATCTCAACTAAACATAAAAATTAGCTGGGTGTGGTGGTGAGTGCCTGTAATGCCAGCTACTAGGGAGGCTGAGGCATGAGAATCACTTGAACCTGGGAGGTAGAGGTAGCAGTGAGCCAAGGTCGCAGTGAGCCGACATTGTACCCCTGCACTTCAGCATGGGTGACAGAGACTCTGTATCAAAAAAAAAAAAAGAAAAGAAAAGAAAATGTACCAGGAGACAGAGCAATCCTGGAAGTCAAAATAGAAGAATACTTCAAGAGAATGCTGTGGTTAATAGTATCAAATGTTAAATAAAATAGGATAAGGGTTGAAAATAGAGCATTGGATCTGGCAGTTGGTAGACATTGGTGAGCAAAATGAGAACAGTTTCAGTGGAGGGGGTAAAAGTATGGTGATTGATTAATGATGGAAGGTAATAAATAGAAGAAATGTATATACATATGTGTGTGTGTGTGTGTGTGTGTGTGTGTATATATACATATATATATATTTATATTTATATATATGTATGTATTAACAATTGATAGAGGATTGTGGCTTTACACCAGAAAGTTACTTAGAATAAAGATTTTGGGGCCGGTTGCAGTGGCTCATGCCTGTAATCCCAGCACTTTGGGAGACTGAGGCAGGTGGATCACAAGGTCAGAAGTTCAAGACCAGCCTGGCCAAGATGATGAAACGCTGTCTCTGTTAAAAATACAAAAAAAAAATTATCCAGGCATGGCAGCAGATGCCTGTAATCCCAACTACTCAGGTGCTGAGGCAGGAGAATTGCTTGAACCTGGGCAGCAGAGGTTGCAGTGAGCTGAGCTCATGCCACTGCACTCCAGCCTGGGTGATAGAGTGAGACTCCATCTCAAAAAAAAAAAGGTTTTGGGATTTGGTTGTTGCTGTTATTTTTTTCTAATTTTAGAATTTTGAAGAAAGATGTGAGTACATTTGTATTAAAAAGCAAAGTTGTCAGTTGAGGAAGAAAGATAGAAATTTCGGAAAAGAAAAAAGATAATAGATGAAGCAGGTCCCTGGGTAGGCAGATCATGGCCCTGGGGCACAGTGAAAAAAGGTACCCTGGAAGAGAGAGACTGTGACTGTATCTTTAGATCAAACAGTACCTAAAATGAGAGATGGAAAAGTAGAAAGCTGAAGCCATTCTTGATTATTTCTATTTTTTATAAACTAGGAGCAAGAGAGATTCTTAGTTCATTTGTTCGTCACTTGCTAACTACAGGACATGGTGCTTGAAACTTAGGATACAGAAATAAAAAGATAGTCATAGTCCCTTGTTTTCTGATATTCACAGTCTGTTGGAAAGATACACGTTAAGCAATTCAAATAAAGAATGATAAATGTTTTAGTAAGTAAATATTGGGTACTATGAGAACGTCAAATACGGGGCCTAATCTAGTCTAATTAGGAGATAGTCTCCCTAAGGAAATGGCTTCTTAGGCTGAGGCCTGAAAGTTTGGGAATCACCCAGACAAAAAGGCTTTAAGTAAGAGATTGGAAATTATATCTATCAGAGCAGCATAGGGAAAGGTATGGACACTAAAAAGAGTGTAGAAGGTTCTAAAAGAAACTAGAAAGGAATTCTTCAGTATAGCTCGAGCAGAGGTTACAGGAGTAAAATTGGTGAGAGTGTATATGGACTGTACAGAGGTATGTAGTCTTCATTTCTTAAAAGACGTTAAAGGCCACATTGGCAATGGGAAATCAGTGAAAGGTTTTATTGAGAGCTGCTTCAGGGCAATAATGAAGCAATACATGTTAAAACATGAAGAGCAAGATACGATAGCAGCTTCTAAATAGCTATCTAGTGGAGATACAATTTATTATATTCAAAATTATCTGGGAGAGTGACTTGTAGAGAGAACTTGACCTGATGACTGATTGCAGGTTACAGTAGAAATTTTTTTTTTTGATCTAGGGTCTCGCTCTGTCACTCAGGCTGGAGTACAGTGGCATGAGCACAGTTCATTGCAGCCTCTACCTCCCAGGTTCAAGCAGTCCTTCACTCTCAGCCTCCCAAGTAGCTGGGACTACAGGCACATGCCACTGTACCCAGCTAATTATATTTGTTTTTTGTAGAGATAGGGTCTCACTATGTTTCCTGGGCTGGTCTTAAACTCCTGGGCCCAAGCAGTCCTCCCACCTCAGCCTTCCAAAGTGCTTGGTTTACAGGTATGAGGCAACTTAGCCAGGTTAGAGTAGAAGATTTTTAAAGCTACTGAGGAGGCTGAGGCAGGAGGATGGCATGAGTCAAGGATGAGTCCTAGATTTATAGCTTTTGATCAGCCAGATAGAAGCCAGATAGATAGTGATTCCATATTTTCAAATGACAGTTATTACAGGGAAGGCACATGTTTTGCTGGGGCATGTTGGTGAATTCTGTTTTGGAATTGTGAAATATGAGAACTTTGTGAAACAGCTAGGTAGCTATTGGGTTTATAAGTATAAAACTTAGGTGAGATAACTGGTCTGGTTTAATGGATATAGTCATTAATATACAGGTATCATTTTAAGCCAATCAGTAAAACTTTTTAATCAAAAATAAGTAAAATATTTATACATATAATTGCATATGAATTAGTATTTTATAGTTACTTTGCTTCCCTCTCCCTGTTTGTCCTTATTTTTTTTTTTAACAGTTCTGGATTATTTCCTCTTCTTGCAAATGCTGCCATGTCTGTGAAACCAACATTGCTCAGTTTGTATGAAATATATTATCTGCCTTTGGGTAAAACACTGAAACCTGGTCTACAGGGATTGCTTACTGGTATTCTTCCTGGCTTAGAAGAAGGATCAGAGTACTATGAGAGGTAAGATTATATTTGGTTCAGTTAGGTAATTGAAGTCATGGATTTTTCAGCAAGCATCTTTAGGTAAATATGTTTTAACATCACAAATGAATTATTCTAGACAGTTCAGTGTATCACATGAGTAATTTTATAGCAATAAAACATTATTATAGTTTATCTAGTCTGTGTATCATACTGAAAACATAGCTAGTGGTAAAAGCATAGACTTCAGAGGTGGATATACTGAGTTGAAGTCCTGCCTATACAAACACTGATTTTAGGCAAGTTTTTTTTAGTGTCTATGAACTTCAGTCTCCTCTTCTTTAAAACAAACATAATACCTATTTCTTTGTGTTATTATAATAAGAAATTACTTAGTCCTTTGCCAAGCACATACAAGTCACTCAAGAAAATTGTGACTGATAATTTAAAATAATAGATAGGACATTTAGATTAATGAAAAGGATGAAAATTAGTTCATGTAGTAATAATTTTTAAATTGCTAATGGGAGAAAATAGCTTAGTAGCCAGTACAATGCTGTTTTGCTAGCTGTTAACATGGTAGTCTTGGTATTTAACTGTTATTTGATCTGTTTGGTGCCCATTATTATTTTTGGGAGTTAATAATTGTAGGCAATGCATTATGGCATTAAGTATCTCTAATATCGCATTACTAATATGCTTATTTTAAAAAACTGAGTTGAGGCAGCAAAAATAGAAAATACCAAACTTACTTTATAAGTAGACTTAATTATTAAATTTAAATATTTTATTCACGTGCATTGCCTAGTTATTATTTTTCAGCTGCTCCCATCATGCAGTAAGAATCCGATTCTTAATATATTGAATTACCTTTTTAAAGGCTCCTTGCAGAAAAAATAATTTTGTCCTCAAAGTTTAAAGCTTATCATCTCACTTGTTTTAATTAATTTTACTTTTTTACCTATTTGCCTGCAGTTTCATAAATGTAATATGAAATTATTTCATTAAGCTTATAAATTAGTTTTGTTTAAAACTGTTATTTTTCTCTTAAGCATGGACTTGATACCAATTATAACTCCGCTAGTTACAATTTAAAATTTTATAGAAGTTGAATAATGATCTTTATAACTGTGCTATTCCCATGATTTACCTTGTTAATGTTTTGCTAGTTATTTCATGTAAGTTCTGTAAAAAGATTTGTAAATGTTATTCTTTTACTGTGTAGATAAATTGAGGCCAGAAGAAATTACAGGGTTAGTTTTAAGTAGCAAGTAAACAGTAGAACTCATCAAATTCTCTTCACTATACTACAGTGTAATAGACTTTCATGTATTGCATTGTTTATCTTATGTTAAAAACAAATTTTTTTTTTTTCAACTTTTATTTGGATTCAGAGAGTACATGTGCAAGTTTATTACATGGTTATATTGCATGATGCTGAAGTTTTGGGTTTGGATGATCCCTTCACCCAGGTAGTGAGCTTAGTATTCAATAGGTTGTTTTTTTTTTAGCCCACTCCCCTTTTTTCCCTCTCCTAAAAAGTAATCTTTAAGTGTATTTCTTCTTAAAGCAGTGAGGTATCTTTGATTTTGTCATAGATCTAATTCATTGAAGTTTTGAACTATATAATGATTTCAGAAAGAAAGATTTGAAATGTCTTTTTAAGATTTTGTTGAAAGTCAACAGAACATATATTCTATAGGATTACTATTAACTGAAATGTATATGGTGTTTTAATACTCAAGAGTACTTTAACAGCCCAGTGAGGTAGGTTTGTGATGTCTTGTGATGTTTGTTTTTCTTGTCTTGTGATGGAGTTTTTCAGATCTCTGGATCTGTTGTTCTCTTCATTTTACAAATGAGGAGACTGAACTGAAGAACAATGAAGTGACTTCCTCAGCATATATAGTTAGTAAATGGTGGAGCCAGGGCTTAAAGTCAGTCTTCTGACTTCTTTCAGTCTATCACACTTGTTTCTAGGGTGGAACATATGACTGTAGCATGGATATTTGCATACATTCTGGGAAGAAAGTGATTTATTTTTAAAAATATGAAACTAAATGTTTCCCTTTTTAAACCACTTTATTTATACCTCAGAACAAATACGTTGTTGGAAAAGGTTGCTGCTGCTGTGGACCAGTCAGCATTCTACAGTGCCCTGTGGGGTAGTCTTCTCACCAGTCCTGCTGTGCGTTTACCTGGAATCACATATGTTCTTGCCCATTTAAACAGGAAGCTTTCTATGGAAGATCAACTTTATATCATTGGCAGTGATATTGAGCTAATGGTAGGTCTAAAAATATGGTTGCTCATTTCACAAATATTTCCTTAGAACCAGACACTATTCCAGACATATATTAAGGATTGTATAATGAATAGAATTTCCATTTTCATGGAGCTTACATTTTTCAGATCTCTGGAGTAGTATACTCCTTAAAATACAAAATATTTCTATCACCCTTAAAAGTCCTCCATGTCTCTTTTCAGTCACTCCCCTTCCTCTATACTCCCAAGCCCTTCAAAACACTGATCTGTTTACTATTTCTATGGTTTTGCCTTTTCTAGAATGTTACATAAATCACTGAATATAAGTGGACTCATTTTTTGTGATCTTTAGATCCATGTTGGTCAGACTGGTCTTAAATGCCTGCCTTGCTCTCCCAAGGTACTGGGATTACAGGCATGAACCATTGCACCCGGCCTGTGTGCATATACCATTAATCAGTTAATGGACATTTGGGTTGCTTCTATATTTTGGCTGTTAAAAATAATGCCCATTGAACACTCATGTATGAGTTTTAGTATGGACATGTGTTTTCATTTCTTTCAGGTATATACCTAGTAGTGCCATTTCCTAGTTTTTTGGTAACTCTGTTTAGCTTTTTGAAGAATTGGCAAATTTTTTTCCTAAGTGACTGCACCAATTTTTATTCCCACTTGGAGTATATGAAGATTTCAGTTTCGTCACATCATTGCCAACACTTCTCTTTTTTATTATACTTCTCCCAGTGGGTATAAAGTATTGTCATTGTGGTTTTGATTTGCATTTCCCTAACGACTAATGAAGAACATATTGTGATAATTGGCATTTGTATAGCTTCTTTGGGTAAGTTTCTGTTCAGATGCTTTGTCCATCTTAAAAATTGGGTTATTTGCCTTTTTATTGTTGAATTGTAGGAGTTCCTTATATATTCTGAGTATTAAACCCTTATCATATTATATGATTTGAAAATATTTTCTCCCATTCTGTAGATTGTATTCCCATATTCTTGATAGAGTCCCTTGAAGCAAAAAATTTCAATTTTGATCAAGTTCAGTTTATCTAATTTTTTTTCTCTTGTTGCCTATGCTTTTGACATTATATTTAAGAAACCATTGTTTAATCCAAGGTATCAGAGATTTACTCTTTTTTCTTCTAATGTGTAAATTTATTAGAAATTGCCAAACTGTTTCCAAAATGGCTATGCTTTTTAAATTCAGGTTTTAAAATATACTGTTACATTTATTTTTAATGACTTAATGTAAATTTTAAACAAATCTTTTTTTACTTATTAAACAAATGACACACATGGAAAAACGTGCAAAATATCACAAAGGAATATTCTTTCTAATATTCAAAGAGATTTAGATAAATATGAATAATCAAGTAGAAAATGGATTTGAGTAGATAATTAACCAAGGAAATAAACATAATTCAAATATAAAGAGATGATCTATATTGTAATAAAGAAATAAAAGTTTAAACTACACCAAGCCAGTTTTCATGTCTAAAAAAACAATGGGAAAAAAAAAGGTATTAAGCAAGCATGTGGAGAAACAAATCATCATGCAAACTTGGTGGGAATATAAAGTGATAGAAACCTAATAGAAAGCATTATGCTATTTATTTATTTATTGACAGTCTCACTTTGTCACCCAGTCTGGAATACAGTGGCAAAATCTGGGCTCACTGCAACCTCCGCCTCCAGGCTTCAAGCAACTCTCTGCGTCAGCCACTGAGTAGCTGAGATTACAGGCGTGCACCACTGTGCCCGTCTAATTTTTGTATTTTTAGTAGAGACAGGGTTTCACCATGTTGGCCAGGCTGATCTCCAACTCCTGACCTCAAGTGATCCACCCACCTTACCCTCCCAAAATGTTAGTATTATAGGCGTGAGCCACCACGCCCAGCAGTATTATGCTATTTAAATTGTAAGTGCACATATCCCAAGAGCTGGCAATTCTATTTTGAGGGATTTATTTTAGAGATATAGTTGTATATTATGTAAATATTATATATTGCAATGTTACTTACAATAGTAAGTGCTTAGAAACAGTATAAGTGCACATAATTAGAAGCTTGGTTGAATAAATTAGAGTTCATTTACATAATAAATACTTTGGCCATTAAGAAATGAAGCTCTTTATGTAGTAATAAGGGAAGATCTCTGAAACATGTTAAATAAATGAAAAAGGCAGAGTTTAGAATATATGTATGTGTTTTTCTTGTATTCGCAGAAGATACTTACTAGTAAAACTGTTGCCTATGAAAGGGAAATTGGATAGTTGGAAGTTTTGCTGTATAGTCTTTTGTACTTCTTAATTTTTAAACTGTCATGATGTGTTTACTATTCAAAATAATGTAAATATCTTTAAATATCGATTGGATCCTCAGAAGCATACTTTTGAGAAAATTAAGAGTTGTTAACGTTTTTATAGCAAAATATTCTCAGTGTAATAAACAATAGATGTTAAAGATGCTGTTATTTCAGGTAGAAGCAGTAAGTACTTCGGTGCAGGACTCAAGTGTCCTTGTACAGAGAAGCACACTGGACCTCATACTCTTCTGTTTTCCATTCCACATGAGTCAGGTAAAATATTAATGCTGATATTAATATAAAGCATTCTTGGAAAACTGTAGATTGATAATGTGTAGTTTTTTTTAAAGGCATGTATGTTGAATTCTTGTATAAATCAGTAAGCACATAGAAAATAAGTTCCTTTTGAAGGAGTGGAATTTGTCATAAAAAAGAAAAAACTAAAAAAAGCTCCACTGATTTGATAAGAATGTGGTAATTCAAGTAGATTATTTCATACTTTTGAAAAAAATGATAACATATAAAAAGCAAGAGGTTCTCATTCCTAACTCTGAGTAAGCCAAGACTGAGACGCAGGCCTTCTACCCAGCCATCATCTGTATTGATGTTATATTATCTTGTTATGCTGATTTTAACATGCATGCCAGACCCTTAGCAGAGTTGACTATAACTTAAGAGCCAGCCATATGTTTACTCATTGTGATACTCTTTTTTTTTTCTTGGAGACAGAATATCACTCTGTCACCCAGACGATAGTGCAGTGTCGCCATCTCAATTTACTGCAACCTCCACCTCCCAGGAACAAGCACTTGCCTGCCTCCGACTCCCAAGTAGCTGGGATTGCAGGTGTCTGCCAACACACTGGGCTAATTTTTGTACTTTTAGTACAGATGGGGTTTCACCATCTTGGCCAGGCTGGTCTTGAACTCCTGACCTTGTGATGCACCCGCCTCAGCCTCCCAATGTGCTGGGATTACAGGCGTGAGCCACCACGCCCAGCCTTGTCACTGTGATATTTATTACAAATAAGTGCAACTTATATTAAATTTATTACAATAAGTGCAAGTTATTGTAATAAATTTACTACAAATAAGTGCAACTAATTTGACAAATCATAAATGAAGATAATTCCTAGAACTTAATTTAATCAGTGCCCTCATTTTAAAAGAGATTATCTAAATTTCTTTGAGTTCTAAACCTTGATGAAGGTGATTTACAGCACCAAAATATAGGCATTCAGAATGGTAGAACTACATACCTAACAAAAGTAATAAGTATAGAGAATAACTACCTTGGACAAGAAAATTTATTCCTAAAAAGATATTAGTTGAAGAGACTATTAATTGAGTTTTTCCTTAAGAACTGTGATTAATTGATAACTGTAGTGAATTTTCATTATGACTGGACAAATTTTTCTTCATTACTCTATTAAGATTTTTCTTTTACTTTAATTTGATGTTGAAATGTTAATAAATAATTCTACACTTCATTGTATATACTGTCACTAATTGGAATGTAAATCACTCTCTGTTTCTATTTTGAGTCTTTGACCCTTAAACCAAGGGATTTTATTCTATCCTTTGGCTTCTTACAAAAAGAGTCAACTCAGCATAATCTAAATTTAGCAAATCTCTAGTATAGGGAGGGCCAAACAGCCCAAAAGATAAGAATGGTTTTTGCTTTGTCTTAGAAAACAAAGAATATGCCAAAGTGACATATGTAATCCAAAAGTCTAAAATATGTGCTGACTGGATCTTTAGCCAAAACATTTATTGACTTTCAGTCTTGAACTTTCCCATTGCTTTCTTACCTTCAAAATATTCAACATCATTGGGCCCTCATTTGATACATGTTTCAACAAGATCTGAGGAATTAAGTCATAGTAGACTCAAATTAAGAACTTAATTGGTAATCTTAATATTATTATCAGTGTTTCCTAAGCTTTTCTCAGTCTATTCTTTCTTACTCTACCTTCTCTGTATTCCTATCAGCCAAAATGTTCTAGATTCTTCCATTATGTAATATGTATTATGAAAACAATAGCTTTGTTGAATGTGTTTTTTAAAAGTACACACCCAATTCTAATAATCTTGTAATTCTAATACTTTTCTCCTTGTTAAAACTCACTCTTTGAATGAAGAGACCCCCACAAACAGCCTTTGTGTGAGTAACATGGCTGTTTATTCACCTAGGTGCAGGTGGGCTAAGGCCAAAAAGGGCGTCAGCGAAGGGTGTTGAGATAGGAATTGGTTTTATAGATTGTGGCAGATCTTTTGGGGAGGGGGCAAGGGTGTTGGAATAAGATCATTTATAGTGGCGGGAGTAGGGGCAAGGAGTATACATTACCATAATTTCAGTTACAGTGGTGGGTGGGGTAAGGCATAAGAGTAGTTAAGATGGCAGGGTTGGGTGAGGAGTATTCACATTATCATAAGAATGGTTAAGATGACAGGGTGGGGTGAGGGGAAGTTTATGTCCAGGTGAAGCTCTGCAGGCTTGGGGTGGGGGGTGATCAGCTGAGGCAGGCAGGATTTTAGCCTTTCTGGGTCCGAACTTGCACATGGAGGCCTTACACTCCCTACTACTCCACTCAATTCTAATACAGTTCTCCCTATTACTGTACCAAACTGAATAAGGATTATGATGTAGTCACCTTAGTTTCCCACTTTCCCTCTTTCTGTGTCTTACAGATTCTTGGCAAGTATGGATTGTATTATAATTGTGACTTAACAGTATTTTCATTACCATATTCCAAAAGGATGATTGCTGTTAGGAACTTTAGCAGTGGGACGGACTGCTACATTTCTTTTACTTGTTTCCTGGAAAGCACACCCAAATCTGTAGTACTTACACTTTGAGATTATAGTAGACTTTTTTCATATTAGAAATAGATGGTGATATCAGTTGTAATCAAGAAGCAATTTTTTTTATTTTTTAATGGACATGAATTATATACATTTATCCTGTACAATATGATGTTTGAAATACGTATACATTCTGAAATCTATAAATTGAGCTAATTAACATTCATTACTTCACACTTAATTTTTAAAGTGGGAACACAAAATGTATTCTGAGCAGTTTTAAAGAATACAGTACATTGCTAACAACTATAGTTACCATGCTGTACAGTAGATCTTTTTGAACTTAATTTTCCTATCTGAAATTTTTTATCCTTTGACTAAAATCTTCTGCTTCCTGCTTTCTTAAGAAAAGTAGTTTTTCTCCCAAAATAAGATGGGGAGACTTTTGTACTTTTAAAGTTTTTGTGACAATATAATCCTTTATCTGATGTTGGTTAGATCAGAAGTTCTCAGATGCTTTAGTTGTAGCGCCCCATTACATTCTTTAAAAATACTGAAGGTCCTCAAAAATCTTCTGCTTGTATTGGTTAGATCTATGTTTATCATATTAGAAATTACAACTGGCAAATTTTAAAATATTTACCGATTCATCTAACAATAACAGTTATTAGCATAAATAACATTTTATGTAAGTAACTCTTTTCCAACATATAAAAAAATTAGTGAGAAGCATTGTTTTGTATATGTGCTGATTTCTTGATTGTCTGGCCTAATGGCAGAAAGCAGAGTGCTTTACATCTGCTTCTGCATTGTCTTTTGTGATTTGTTCTTTTGGTTAAAGTGTGTGAAGAAAATCTGCCCTCACATTGATAAATAGCTAGAATATTGAGAAGTATTTCAGTAGCATTTTGTGTTAAAATTACATGTTCTTTGATATTATACCAAATTTTGCAAGGTGTAGATTTTAAAAATTAGTTACAATATTGAGTCTTAAACCATATAAATGAACTTTCATGTTCTATTTCATTAAAATCCACTAACCTTTCTTGTACTTTGAGTGGATCTTTCAGTCATACATGCTTTTGTAACGTCATGATTGGATATTTAGGAAATACTGGCTTACTGAATTATGAAGATCTGAATGTTTTCACATTTATTATACGATACCAATCGTGTTTATTACTGTTGGCACTGATCTCATTGGTAAAGATTCTTAGATATGGGGAGAAACTTTTAAGCCCAGTATTGAGAAGCTTTCAAGCTAGTTCAAATCAAAATAGTACAATTTCAGCAGATGTGGCTCACAGCTGTAATCCCAGAACTTTGGTAGGCCTGGGCGAGCAGATTGCTTGAGGTCAGGAGTTCGAGTCCAACATGGTAAAACCCCATCTCTAATAAAGATACAAAAATTAGCTGGGCATGGTGGCACATGTCTGTAACCCCAGCTACTTGGGAGGATGAGGCAGGAGAATTGCTTGAACCTGGGAGGGAGAGGTTGCAGTGAGCCAAGATCACACCACTGCACTCCAGTATGATACAGCGAGACTCCATCTCAAAAAAAAAGTACACACACACACACATATTTATATACACACACAGTTTCAATCTAAGTGCAAGTTTTCCATAATTCTACTTTACTCTTGGAAATTCAGCTTTTATTATTTGTCATGATTAGTATTATTTTCCTTGAAATGACAGGCTCACTTTGAGAAAATGACTACAAAATGCCCAAGTCTGCATAATCATAGTTGGTGTTAGTAATTCTTTCAGGTAAAAAAAATGACATTTTGTGAGAAAACTGGTAGTTAAACTCACAACCCAGTTACACAATTGGTTTTTCTTGAGACAACTATCATACTTCAGTATACATCAGAAGTACTTTAAGTGTATCTTTCACTTTATGATGCAAAATATTGAAAGACATGCACTCAAAGGTTAATATTTAAGAAAAAAAATTTATATCATTTTAACAACACTTTTAAATGGAACTGACTTCTTTTTTTTGTTTTTGATTTTACTACAAGTACATGGCAGTAAAAATATAATGATTACAAGTATAGTGGGTGCCACTGTTGTGCTGCCTCTTTTCATGCTGAGGTGCATCAGGGCAAATGTCAACAGAACAAAAAGCCCCATAACATCTTGGTATTGTTATGAATATGCATAGTTTTATTTATTATGAATATGATTAGTTTTTATTTTGTGGACCCCCTGAAAAGGTCTTAGAGGTACCCAGGGGTCTTGAACTGTACTTTCAGAATCGTACAGTTCAATAGAAGACATTCGTGTTCAAAGGAGTGAACCTAATTTGTCAGTTGTTGGTGATCTGTGTTCTGTATCATTTCAGTTCTTTCTCTGATTCCTTTAAAATAAATAATCTGGGTGAATCCTTTCTAATTCTAATTCTATCAAAGAAGCATGGTATAGGACAAAGTTCACTGGTCTATGATTAAGGAGAAGTGTGTTCGCCGTCTAGCTGGGGCACTTAACTAGGCATTTGAATTTGGCTAAGCACTTAGCCAAAACCTCCAGAACCTGTGAGGCTTAGGTTCTTTATTTATAAAATGGTTGCTAAATTAGTTTCCACATTTTCTTCTAATTCTCATTCCAAGATTCTATTGTAAAGTAATTTATCTTAAAATTAATAGCAAGTTAGTTGCTTTACTTCTATTTTGATTTTTATAACTTTACCTCTTTTAGCTATAACCAGATCTCCTTTAATCATTTTTTAAATATCAAATTAAGGGTATTGGGAAAGTAGAAAAAAAAATCTCTTAAAAAGATCTGGAAGAAAATGAGAGGAAAATTAAGATTCATTAAAGCTGAATGATTGGTGGAAAATGGTCTATTATGTTGTTTTCTGTATTTTTCAATATGTTTAAAATGCTACAGGATAAAAATTTTTTAAAAGAATAAATGACTTTGAGTTGATGAAGTTAGTGACCTAAGTTTATAGTCAGTTGACAACATTGTAAATGTGAAAGACTAATAGCATATGATTTTCTTTTCTTTTTTTTTTTATTTTTTATTTTTTATTGGATTTTAGGTTTTGGGGTACATGAGCAGAGCATGCAAGACAGTTGCGTAGGAACACACATGGCAGTGTAGCATATGATTTTCTTATGTCTGTGCTATCTTGCTCCATTTTATTTTATGTCAATTTGCTTTATATAAAAAACTTTAAACTGGAAATTAAAATAAGTTACAGTTTCAGTTATACAACCAAATAGCCATGTTACCTAACTTTTTTCTTGTTTCCTATTCCTATTCCTTCTGTAAAATGGAAGTAATAATTTCTGTGTTTGAAATAATATATGAAAGTATTCCATACACTCTAATGTTCTGAGCATATTGCAAAGCATTTTTTAAAGAGGAAAAACGTAATATATATTATATATTGTTAAGTACAACCATTTTCCTAACTCTTTCAGGCCACTCGACCAGATATGATTAGGATCTTGTCAGCAGCCCTTCATGTAGTACTAAGGAGGGATATGTCTCTGAACCGAAGACTTTATGCGTGGCTTCTTGGTAGGTATTTGATGTATTCAGTCATAATTGGGAAAAAATGGAGGGAGATTTGTCACGTATCAGGATTACCAAGTTGTGTGTATGTCCTAAATTTTAACATTAAGATTTCTTGTGTAAATGGACAATAAAAATATAAACAGTATTAGTTGTGTATTACATGAAGAAATTTCAGAAACTTAATAGTTGAATAGGCTATTTGAATCCATAAAGTCATGGTGCCTAGTCTTTAATTTATTTTTCCCATTACAAATTGAGGTGGTTGTACTCTAAGTTAGTAGGCAAACAAGGATGAGCTAATAAAATGCTGGCATACTGTCCACAACTCTGAAGTCATCAAAGGAATCAGGACTAGCACTATTGTCTTATACATCATACGAATGTCCCACTCAGGCATTAATACATGTGTACACTTTGATTTTCCATGTTTTTTGTGTGTTTTGCCTGTCTTCACAACTCTTCACTCCCTAGAGTGAGGGGACATAATGTAACTTATTGTGGATGTTCTGCATATTCAGTTATTTCACTGTTAGTAAAATTGGCCAAAAAAAAAAAAAAGGATAATTCTGGAAGAATACTATGATACTTATGTATTGGTTTCCCTTTATTAAACTATCTAAAATGATCTCTCTTGCTGACATTGAATGGGCTACTAATTGGTAAGTGTTTAGTGCTGTTTTTGAGATTTTGCTGTTTTGGTATTTAGTGAACAACAGTTTTGAGGACTTTTTAATTAATTTTGTAATTTGTTTCCCTGGAGGTTTTGATAACAATGGTGCTATCATAGGACCCAGAAGCACAAGACACAGTAATCCCGAAGAACATGCCACTTACTATTTCACTACATTTTCAAAAGAATTATTGGTCCAGGTAATGAATATTTTCATTATTCTTTGGTCACTTACTGACCACTAGAGTTACTGAAAAAGTCTAAGATGAGGTCCTCCCTTAATTGATTTTACATTTGAAGCATGGAGACAAAACTTAGAAATTTCCCAAGAATGTTTATAATGCGCAAATGCATGTAAAATGATAAATAATCATATTTTAGACTACCACATAAGACAAAAGATTTTTTTCTCTTACTTTGTTTTCATTACTTTATTAAAACATGGTTGCAGCTTCTCACCTGTCTGCCCTGTGAAAGTTGGAGCTTTTCCAAAAATGAGTCAGGACCTGTGCCTTTTCTTGTGAAGCTCTGGAGAAGTTTTATATAATTTTTATTTCAATTATATTTGTTTAAGGTATTTCAAATAAACTGAAGAAAATACATGGTATCTGAAGCATTTTAAAGGAGTGAGGTTATAAGAATATAGTTATTAAGTCACTAGTGGGAAACTAATCTACTTACAGCAGATACTGCAATGATAATGTGGCATAGTTTGAGAAGGATTATCTTAAATAGAAATTCATCTGTAGGGAAAACACTTGGCTCATGAATATGTTTTTCTAAATTTACTTTGATATTTCACTATGTTTAAAGTAAATTTAGACAGTTTTTTTCTCAAGATAGATAAATATATTTTTTTCCTAGCAGCATAAGAAGGCCAAGGTTGGTGAAAAGGCTTCAGAAAAGCAATGGGTGCATAAATCTCCATTACATATGGTTATATTTAAAAGTATTTTTTCTTAAGGAAAAAATCTTTGAATATGTTTATTTAAATGACCAATGCATACTTTCCTTTTTTAAAGGCAATGGTGGGAATCTTACAAGTGAATGGATATGGAGAAGAGAGTACTCTAATGCAGGATCTAAAGCCTTTTCGAATTTTAATCAGTTTACTGGACAAACCTGAGCTAGGTAATATATACTGTCCTAGGGCATAATGTCATGTGTGGTACTTTGGGTTAATAAGAAAATAGAAAGTCATCAAGGAAATTGTTATATTTTGAGGTGGCTGTTAAATTTAAGTTCTCAACAATTTCTTAAAGTTCACTCTATGAAGTTAAGATACAGGTATTCATCCAGCTGATATATTATTATACGTTTGTCCTGTGCTATGTGTGTAGCAGAAGGAATCACTTTAAAGATGCTATTTAAGCTTCTCTTAATCCTGATTATATTACTGAAATTGAAACATTTATCTATCATGACCAATTTATAGTTCACAGAATCCAATGACTTGAGAAAAAATATTTGTTATATGAACTTTTTCTCCACATTCCCTTTATTTTGTAAACCTACAAAATATTCTCTTTATTCATTGTGTATTTCTTATGTATTATGGCACTCGAGACAGAAATCAGGAAACATCGTAAATATTTGCAACAATAAAATGAAATCATAAAGTATGTAATTTCTTCCAGTTATATACAGATGTGTTAATAGATGTCTTCTCACCATTTCTTAAAAATGAAAAAATTTTAAATGTAAGAATAACTTGAGTTATATAAATTGTCTTGAGAGGTATTTTAGCTATTATAACAAATGAAACTCAGGAATTTTTTTAAGGAAATGATATCTGTAATAGCAAGAAAATTTAGCCTTATGCATTTTAGTATTAAATTAATAGAAGTAATTACGAGTAGCATTTGTTGAATATTTATTTATTATATTTTAGAAATTATGCTACCCATCTTACAAATATTTTTTCTAACCCTTAACAGTCCTGTAAGCTTTGGTATTGCCCTCATTTTGGGTGAGGAAACCAAAGCTCAAAAAAGTTAAATAACGTGTCCATGGTAACAGAACTATTGCTGGCAAAACCAGTTTCTCTGATTCTGTAACTTCTGTTGTGTTAACCTGCACTTTAAATATTTGTTCAATTATGTAATGTTTTGTATTACCATCTCAAAAAAATGTGCATTTAGCTTAGTTTAGCTTCTGAAAGAATGTAATTTAAAAAATACTTGTTTTTAAAGCATTGTTTAATTAGGCCAATTTTCAGATAAGCATGATTTGCTCATGCCAATTAATTACTGTCTTTAATTTGCATATTAATTTTAGGACCTGTAATTCTAGAAGATGTCCTGATTGAAGTGTTTAGAACATTATATTCTCAATGCAAAGCAGAGTTGGATCTTCAAACAGAACCACCCTTCAGCAAGGATCATGCTCAGTTAAGCAGGTAGATTATAAAAAAATTAAATACGACTTAAAGATATAGTATGTATTCTCTTAATAGAAACTTGAAGTGTTAGTAATAACTGGGGATCATATTCTATGAAGTTTGTGTTCTAATAAGTTAAAATATAACTGTATTTTGATAATTTATTATAATTAACTGCACTGTAATCTTTCAAACAGACACTTAACAGCACGATGTCAGCACCACCACATTCCAGGGTTGGTTGTTAATCTCACCTGTTTAGAAAAATTAAATTTTACTAGTTTGAAGATACTGGCTCCAGGGAATTTACTTTCATTTACCAAACTCACAAGAAACTAATTGCCACATATTAGTTAATAATTGGAGTTGTAACAAATCAGGCGTATGTATGTGTGTGTACATGCATACATAGGACAAGTCATGTAACATTAGCATGTCCTGTTTTCTAATCAGTAATAGATGCTGACAAACATTTTTTTCTTCTCTACATTAAGTAGACCAACACTTTTCCCATATCATCTGTCATTGTAATATGGCAGAGGTTCCAAAACTACAGTTTTATTTTTTACATAGTTTGCATTTCAGTGGTGTCTTCTTGCTGAGACTTTGGAGCTACCCTGGGCTTTCCTAAAACATATATATACATATAAATGTTTTAAGACAGTTTTTAATTTCTGGTGATATAATCCCCTGTATTTTTTGTTGTAGAAGTTAGCATTAACTAACCTGGTACTCTTTTTCATTCTGTATGCTATCTATCTGAGAATTGATATTACCCATAGAGTATTTAATTAGTTTTCTCCTATGACATACTAGTTGTATTGGCAGTACCTCAGTATCTAAAGACAGTTGTTTTAATTGTTAGAAAAGACAGGAGGAGAAAATAGCTAGTAGGCTAAAAGGTTGCCACTTGAAATAACAAAGTTATTTTTTCCTGATGCAGTTTCAGTAATAATGACTATTAACAGCACTAGTTTGTTTTGTTGTTGTTGTTTTTCAAACTAAGAATAATAATTTGATTGAAGCTGGTCAAAATAAACTAAACCTTTTTAAAGAAAATCCTGAATGGCACAGGGAAGCAGATAAAATTCTTGAGAATCAAGGCTGTGAAAATCAAATCACTACTCAGTTTATATGTGCCAAGGGAAATAAAAGAATTTTGCCAAATTAACAGTACCACACTCTAATAGTTCAGAAAGAACTTCTTGTTCTTTGTCTTTTTTATTCAGAAATTATGCAAGGTGAATTTCTTATCTTGACCACATATTTGAGTTACAAAAATTCAAATTTGGAAAAATAACTGCACATAAAGTAATAGGGAAGTGGCAGTAGATAAAAATTGTTTGTTGCAGTCTTCTTAATAGCATGTATTCTAACAACTACCTAGAAATATGTACTGGCATTGCACTCAAATTTGAATTTGAAGAAATAAATGTTAATATTTTTTAGTTTTGTTTTCTTTTCTCTTTTTTCAGTAAATTAAGAGAAAATAAGAAAACAGCAGAGCTGATTAAAACTGCCAACCTTCTCTTTAATTCCTTCGAACCTTATTATATGTGGGATTATGTTGCACGTTGGTTTGAAGAATGTTGTAGGTATGTTGAACTTTCATTCCTTTTAATTTAGTAGCATCCAAAACTAACCTTTGAGTTTTTTCTAAGTTGTTAAATTTAGTGAATGTTCTTTTATATGTTCTACTACTAACAACTATTAGTTACTTACTATCCATAATCTGACTCTATGTTGTCACATAGTATATAAACTCATTGATCATATAATCTTAGAATTGGAAAGGAGTTTAGAGATCATTTATTCATACACCAGAATAGATTAAAGATTTTCCCTCTTCAGTTTATAGTAATCCAGTTTTTTATTGTATAGAAAAGATAGAAAATTTTTGGCTACTGCTTCAGCACACTTTCCCAAAAGAATATCCACTTTGATTAACAAAAAGTTTCTTGGCCTGACTTATGTTTTTAAAGCCGTTAGAACTAATTCATACTGTCACTGGCAAGTGATAAAAGCCTTCTACCCCTTAGGAAGTAAAGCCAAAAATATGTCTGAAAACCCTAGGATACTAGTGAGCCTATGTGGAATCTCTCTCTGGCTGCTACACCATATCCTCTCAACCGGATTAATCACTCAAGGCTCAGAAGCATGTAGTCAAAATGTAATTATGTATGATCTCGCATTAGAAGTCTTTTAATAAAAAATGTAATTATTGCGCCTATACATTAATCTCTTTAATGGTTTAGAAAGTTCTTGGCTTATTCAGCAGATGTTGAACACCCAGCTAAAAGCATCATGCTAGGCAGAAAGACAGTCCCTGTCTTCAAAGATGTTATAGTGAGAACAAATAAGACATGCACATGTATATTCCTAGTATTAAATGAAAAATTACAAATGTCTTAGTAGATTATAAGAATGCAGAGGAATCGTATCTTTGTGCCACCTGATGCTACCCTGGGATTTTTTCCTTCTACATTCAGAAATGCACACATCCACAGTTCTTCAGCCAATCTGGACCATTCTCTGAAAGTTAGAAAGTTATCTTTCATGCTGCTGAGGCTTCACTTGTGCTATTCTTTCTAAAATACTCTTCCCCCTTGCCCATCTGCTGAGAGCCTATGTAGAGGTTACCCACCTTTCCTTCCTTGACCCTCAAACCTCCTATCAGAATCAATACCTCCGACACTGTCACATTGTTGCATTTATTTGTTTACATGCTTATATTCTTGTTGGTCAGGGACTGTATTATATTCTTACTTTGTCTTCAGAGTGTAGGGCAATGTATAGTCATATAGAATTTCTATGATTTAATATGAATGTTTGTTGGAGGAATGATCTCTACTACTTGGATCAAAAGAGGCTTCCTGGAGGAGGTAACATTTGATCTCAGACTTTGAAGGATGGATGCATTCTGAACATGGGAAAATGAGATTGGGGAGGAAAGTAGTACAGAAGGACAAATGAGCCTGTTTTAAGACCCCAGTGTTAGAAATCAAGTAGCAATTAATCAATGTTAAGTGGGAGGTGACATCTGTGGTAGAAGCAGTGGGAAATAAGTACCAGAAAGTGATCCATTCAGAACACTTTGAAGTGCAGAATGGGAGTTGCAGGGAGAGGTTCAGCCTAGGAATCTTGCTTTGAGAATTTTCCACATAAAGGTACAGTGTCCTAGGGGAAATAGAATATGTTGTCACAAAAACATTTCTGTGTGTGACCCAGTATTGACTTGGCCTTCATTAGAAGGATAATGATGCTGTCACAGGTACTCATGTCACTTGACAGTATACTTAATAAAGTCAATTTTGTCTTTTTAGGAGGACACTGCATGCCAGACTTCAGATTGGGCCTGGAGATAGTAGTGACTCATCTGAATTACAGCTGACCAATTTCTGCTTACTGGTGGATTTTTTGTTGGACATAGTTTCTTTGGTAAGACCACCTTGGTAAGAAAATACCAAAGAAATCTAATAATGCAGTTGAAATATTTCATATTGGAAGCAAGTCTTGTCTTTAGATACATTTCATCTTTAAAATTAAATTGATTTTTTCCTCTTTGGTAAGCTTTTTTAAATAAAACCTTTCAAGTGTTTTGTCTTTTGACATATACACATAAAAAATATATGGAGTATACATCATAATTGCATGTTATAAAATCTTAACTGTTTAGTGTATAGTGGTCTAATGCTGCATTTATATTAACATATTTCTATTAAATGAAGACTGTTGGAAATCTTTTCCCTTCTGTTTTCTCTCCTCACTTCTTTGCTTTCTCATTTTGAAGCCTACTAGAAGTATGAGGGTGCTGTGTCAGGTACGACATTCAGCCTGTTTTGTTTTTAAATGATTCTGTTTACTTTTGCTATGTTATAATTTTAATAATGTAGCAGATAAAACTGGGGTTCTTTTATAATATATGCTTTGCAATATTTAAATTGAGAATTTGGGATTAGAAATTTTATAAGGCATCAATAATAAAATATACAGTGTTAATTAAGAGCATGATGTGTATAAAACATTAAAGAGTAAAATTATTGCCTTATTTATATAGATTTTAAAAATGTAACTTTTGGGTTACACATTGTTTAAACTTTCCTTATTTCACTTTTATTTTCAGGAGACTTATATTGAAATCCAGACAGAACACTTGCCTCAGTTGCTACTCAGAATGATTTCTGCCTTGACGAGCCATCTCCAGACATTGCACTTATCTGAACTCACAGATTCACTCAGACTCTGCTCAAAGATCCTTAGCAAGGTTCAGCCTCCACTGTTATCTGCTAGCACTGGAGTTGTGTTACAGTTTCCAAGTGGACAGAACAATTCAGTCAAAGAATGGGAAGACAAAAAGGTAATTTTAACTATTATTTTTGGTATTAGACCATTTACATTTCTTCAAAGCAGAACGGTTACTTAGTAAAATCACTTATACATAAGCATTTAAATAATAGTGAGTCTTTCTTAGCTCCAAATGCAGTGTTAGTAGGCTTTTGGTTGTAGGGCAGTTTATATCAGTAATTTTCAATAGAAGTATCGTGAATGGCATATGTAATTCAAAATTTTCTAGTACCCACATTAAAGTAAAAAACACGTGAAATTAATTTTAATTAGTTTATTTAGACAATTGTAGCCAATATATTATTTCAGTGTGACCTACATAAAATTGATGTCATACAAAAAAATAAGTGAGGTAGCTTAAATTCTTTTGTCTACTGTCTTCAAGATCTAGTGTGCATTTTACACTTACAGCACATCATCTTCGTGCTAATTGGTTTTTGAGTATACAAAAGAGGCTAAAACAAAGGCACCACTCAAAGGTGGGCGCAACAGTATAAATAACCAATTAGGGAAGGGTAGGTATATGTTAAATAGGTGAAGAGTGGGGATCAATCAGAGGAAGGCATGCCACATGGGAAGAGAGGTTCTCAATCTGGTCTGTGGATTTATCCAGGACTTGCAGCTAGGCTTTAAACTGTCTTTGGCTTGAAGGTAGGGTTTCACCAGACCATTCCTGGCTGCCTAGGATTTGTCTGCCTCCTCCTGCTATCACTGCTAGTTGCTGGCTATCCAGTGGTGAGCTATGCATAGTCTCTGCCCTTCTCTATCCTTTCTTTCTAATTGGGAGACAGATATTAAACAAGTTAATGGGTATTTAATTACAGTTGTGGTAAATGTACAAAGGAAGATAATCAAATGGTAGGAATGTGGAAAATGGGGTGACCTGACCTAGGCTGGGGTCAAAGAATGCTTTTTTGAGGAAGGAATGTTTGAGTGAAGCCCTAGAGAGATTGGTGTGGTGAGAGAGGTAAAAAGAGAGCACTTGACAGAGGAGGAAGTCTAACAGCCCAGTGGGTTCGCCTTACCTACTGCCTAGACAGAGTCGATTTATCAAGACTGGAAGTACAATGAAGAAAGAGTAATTTATGCAGAGCCGGCTGTGTAGGAGACTGAAGTTTTATTATTACTCAAATCAGTCTCCCCGAAAACTTGGGGATCAGAGTTTTTAAGGATAATTCGGTAGGTGGGGGTGGGGGAGTGCCAGTGAATTGGGAATGCTGATTGGTTGGCTCAGGGATGAAATCATAGGGAGTTGAAGCTGTTCTCTTATGCTGAGTCAGTACCTGGGTAGGGGCCACAGAACTGGTTGGCTTGTCCAAAAGTGGGACCATTCAGTTGTTAGAAATATGAAAACTTAGGTTCACATAGTGATGTTACCTACAAGAGTAATTGGGGAAGTTGCAAATCTTAGGACCTCTGGAATAATGGCTGGTAATATGTAGAATTCCAGACCTTATGATTCTAACCTAGTAGCCTTTCATTTGTTTTACAATAACAATATAGCTTTAAACTATAAACTAAATTCTTTCGTAAGGCTAGTTCAGCCTATACCCAGGAATGAACAAGGACAGTTGAGAGGTTAGAAGCAAGATGAAGTCAGTTAGGTGTGATATCTTTCATTGTTGTAATATTCTCAGCTATGATTTCGCAAAGGCTGTTAAGCAGAGATGAGCACCAAACAGACTAGAGATGCAGCTCTAAGATAGGCAGAGGCCAGGTCTTAGAGGGCCTTGAGCTATTCCAGGGCTTTTATTATTTAGGAACAACGAGAAGACCTTGAAGGGGAAAAGGCAAATGGCATAATTAAGTTAGTGTATTAGAAAAGTTACTTTGGCTGCCTTGTGAAATGTAGATGAGAAACAGAAATAGATGTGGGAAGACCAGTAGTAGCACAGGTGAGAGGTGGTGGTACTTTGTACCAAGATATGAGGAGTAAAGATAGAAATGGATGGATTAGCAATATATTTAGGAGGAAAAATTGACTTAGTAATAGATTGATAAGGGTAATGATCGCTAACACTTAATGAGTGTTTACTAGTGCTAAGCATTGTGCCTTGTGCTTTATATATACCATCATGTAATCTTCATAGAAACTGCAGAATGTAAGAATTATGGTCTCAATTATATATATTAGGAAATGGTGGTTTGGAGAGGTTAAAGAGCTTGCCAGGTATCACATAACTAGTGAATGGCAGAGCCCTAGTTGATTCAAGGCCTGCATCCGTAACCCCTCTACTGATACGAAAATGGGGAAGGAGAGGAGGGGTGGAGAAGGTACCAAGAATGACCCCTAGGTTTCTATGTTACTGACTCAAGAAAAAGTGTGTCATTCACTGAGGCAAGGAACATTGGATGACACCCAGCTTTGGGCAACCGAGCATTTAGTTCATATATTAATAAGATCACTTTTTGTGATCTTATTCAAATGCAAATTATACTCTGACACAGTCACCCAAGGAATTCTTAGGTACAACTTTTACTTAAACTAAGCCAGAAAATATGCTTGATATTTATACTTACTCTATTCAGTTATAGGAAGGAAAGGCTAATATACTCCAGTTCTACTCCAGGAACTGGTTCATTTGTTTGTTTATTGTAATTGTTTCTTATCTTCCCCTCTAGATTATAAACTATTCCCTTTATTCCTACTACTTAATACAGTGTCTGGCACATGATATGAGAGTTCAGGAACTAGTCACTGAAAGAATGTAAGATTAATAGCAAAGATTTAATTATTACTTTGCATATTTCAATAAAAATTTTATATTCATGTGGCCCTGAACAGATGATCTATTATATTTTATTTGTAGTTATTAATATGTCATTTTTTAACCTTACATATCTCATTCCTTGTATTGTTTAGACATTAGGAGAGTGGTTTCATGAAGTAAATGAAATAGTCATTTGAAAACAAGGGTATAGATCCTAGAGATTTGTATGTGTGTATTTTTGTCCTCAATCTAACCTTACATATGCTGTGTATGTAGTCCATAATACTTGGTGAATGAATGTATATTAATATATTAGAACTGTATCAGTATTTTCTATTGATTACATATAAATCAGTGTAGGGGCTGCTTTAAGAGTTAACAGAATGGGTAGGTTAAATTGTGAATAATCTAAAATGTCTCTCAAACATGGCCATTTCTAGTTCCTAATATATCCTTTGCTACTTAGCCTTTTGCTTTCTTAACAATCTAACAGGTATCATCAGTTTCTCATGAAAATCCTACTGAAGTGTTTGAAGATGGAGAAAATCCACCAAGTAGTCGATCATCAGAAAGTGGATTCACTGAGTTTATACAATATCAAGCAGACCGAACTGATGACATTGACAGAGAACTGAGTGAGGGTCAGGGACCAGCTACCATCCCAATTGGTAGCACATCCTCTGAGACAGAAACAGCATCCACTGTGGGATCTGAAGAAACCATCGTTCAGACCCCTTCTTTAGTCACTCAGGGAACAACAACCCGAAGTGGGAAGACAGCCCAAAAGACTGCAATGCAGTGCTGCTTGGAATATGTCCAACAGTTTCTTACCAGACTTATCAACCTCTACATCATTCAGAGTAACTCTTTTTCTCAGGTTTTGGCTACAGAGCATCAAGGGGATCTTGGTCGAGAACAAGGAGAGACTTCAAAATGGGACAGAAATTCACAAGGAGATGTAAAAGAGAGAAACACAAGTAAACAAAAAACTTCTAAAGAATACCTTTCTGCCTTCCTTGCTGCCTGTCAGCTCTTCCTAGAGTGCTCAAGTTTCCCAGTTTACATTGCTGAGGGGAACCATACGTCAGAGTTACATTCTGAAAAATTGGAGACTGGTAAGGTCATCTCACTTTGGCTTATATTTCAGTATTTTCTGTAGTATGCTTTTTTTTTTTTTTAAAGAGGCACTCATTAAAACTGGGTTTTTTTTAGCCAGTTTTTTTTAAAGTTTTAATTTGTAAGTTTTTTTTTTTTAAATGAAATACTGTATGCAGAGATTGATACATTGGAAGATTTTCTGAATTCTGATGTCTTTCACAGTTTTCTTGCAGGTAAGTAGGAGCTGAAAAGGAAATCTGCAGAAAAGTAATGTAGCAGTAGTTCTGCTTTTCTTTATTATGATGAGTAACATGTGTTTACCTTTATTTTTATTTTATTTTATTTTATTTTATTTATTTAAATATTTTGAGGTGGAGTCTCGCTCTGTACCCAGGCTGGAGTGCAGTGGCACAATCTCGTTTCACTGCAACCTCCACCTCCCTGGTCCCAGTTGAAGCAATTCTCCTACCTCAGCCTCCCAGGTAGCTGGGATTACAGGCACAAGCCACCATACCCAGCTAATTTTTGAACTTTTTAGAAGAGAGGGGGTTTCCCCATGTTGGCCAGTCTAGTCTTGAACTTCTGACCTTGTGATCTGCCTGCCTCAGCCTCCCAAAATGCTGGGATTACAGGCGTGAGCCACTGTGCCTGGCCTGATTTTTATATATACACACATAGTGCAGTGACTACTGCATAATGTTTATTGATCAATATACTGATTTTAGGGACAGGAAAATAGATTGGTGACTTGGCATAAGAAAAATGTATATTGAAAAAAATATAAGAAGTTCTTCTTGCTACTTAATTAAAGCTCTAGACTAGGTGAGAAACCATGGTTTTGCTAACAGGTCAAGGCCTTAAAAGTATTTAGTGGCTTCGTTTTTCAAAATTAACTTAGAGTGTGTGTGAAATGTTTAGTATGATGAACTCTGATTCTACCATCTTTTGTTTCAGACTGTGAGCATGTGCAGCCTCCACAGTGGCTCCAGACTCTGATGAATGCTTGCAGCCAAGCAAGTGATTTCAGTGTTCAGAGTGTTGCTATTTCACTAGTCATGGACCTGGTGGGACTGACAGAGTCTGTGGCCATGGTCACTGGGGAAAACATCAACAGTGTGGAGTCCGCACAACCCTTAAGTCCAAACCAGGGAAGAGTAGCTGTGGTTATTAGACCTCCCCTCACTCAGGGCAATCTGAGGTACATAGCTGAGAAGACTGAATTTTTCAAGGTAAATTCTAAGAAATGCATATGAAAATTACAGCCATGTATGATACTTGGCCTAGTTTGCTTTAAGAATTATTTTAAAGATGATAATAAAGCTTCATTAAACACCTCTTAATATGTCATACCATGTAGAAAATGATGCTACAGCTGATATACATACTGCTCTCCCCATCTTATTCCCAATTTTGTGAGCAGGGGAGAAAGATAAGGATCAAGGAATAGGTATAGTAGGATAAAGAAAGAGAAGTATTAGGGCACTGAGGCAGTGGAGGAAATAATTTCAGCTGAAAGAGGAAAGCAGTAGAACTTACTTTCAAATTAAGTGGTTGTGACACTTTTGCTTTTCATACAGCGAAGTCTCCGCGCTCCAAAACACTCATGAAAAGCTTTTCTGACTCTTCATATTGTCTCATTATCATCTGTGGTATATAAAGTCATTCAGGAAAAAAATTCAGAAAATTCAGTCTTTGATTTCTGTCACAATCATATAAATATTATCCTCTATAACAAACATCAAGTAGATTTCGATTGTGTACATCTTAAGCAGGTAGATTATTTATACTGGACATTAAAAAAAAAGTTTTAAAATCTGGTTTCATGTCCTTGTGCCCCTTAAGATATTTCCTCCTGCTAGAGTTGATTTCTATAGTATTGTGGTGAACCCTGAAGATTATTGTATTATTATTACTAATTGCATTATTATTAATACTGTCACAGATCAAGCATATGTAGCTCTGAAATACCTGTTACCTATTTTATAGATTTTAATTAGTTTGGTTATTTGGACTATAAATTATTTTTCACTCTGTAATATACAACCATAAACATTAAATTGCATTCAGTTTGGGATTTGTATCTTATTAAGGATAATTTATTCTAGCATCACTTTACCAAACATCACTAAACAGCGTCTTATCTGGGCGCTGCAGAAAACATTTACATATCTGATTTTTTTTCATTAAGATGAAGTTTTGCTCCGTCTCATGATCTCAGCTCACTGCAGCTTTCGCGTTTCGGGTTCCAGCAATTCTGTCTCAGCCTCCCGAGTATCTGGGATTATAGGTGCATGCCACCGTGCCCAACTAACTTTTTGTATTTTTAGTAGAGATAGGGTTTTGCCATGTTGGCCAGGCTGGTCTCAAGCTCCTGACCTCAGGTGATCCACCTACCTCAGCCTCCAAGACACTGGGTTTACAGGTGTGAGCCACTGTGCCCAGCCAACATGTCTGATGTCTTAAAAATAAATATCATTAAAGGACTATCACAAAAGGTTCCAAGGGCTTGGGTGATCAGAAAGTAGGCACATGGAAGACTGCACTTACTAATCTCATCCTTGGGGAACAGAATATTAAAAACCTTTCACGTCTGACAGAGAGCAGGCATTCATTTGTACCTAATAGGAAATATTTGTTAAATAAATTTTCATGTATTGTATTGTAACTGTCACTTTTATATCTTTTTCTATAGCATGTAGCTTCAACATTGTGGGACCAGTTGGGAGATGGAACACCTCAGCATCACCAGAAGAGTGTGGAACTATTTTATCAATTACATAACTTAGTTCCTTCTTCTAGTATCTGTGAGGATGTTATAAGTCACCAGTTAACCCATAAAGATAAGGTAAATCCTCTTCTTATCTTGTGCACATGACCTTCCGCTGTACACGCGTGCGTGCGCGCGCACACACACACACACACACACACTCTATACTAAAAAGTCAATTAAGAAAACTTTAGGGAAATTATTGCAGTTAACATGGGAGTAAGAGAAAATAGCTTTGTTCACAGTGATCTTAATATCTATAAAATAAATGTATTCAGTTCTTTCTAGAAGCAAGTTCTTTACAAAAGCTCAGTAATATGAAAAATTAGGTTGTACAGAAATCAAATGCTGGGTTTCTTTGTTCAGGACACCACTTATGGATAACGATGTTTAGTATTGGTGGTCTCAGTTCTTGGGTCATTTAAAGAGGAACCAGTGGCCTCAGTTAGGGAACTTATGGATATATTAACTAATATATATGAAATGAAATAATGTATAAAAGTATATTTATAAGCCAGAGAATGCTAGTATGTGAGATTATATTATTTGCATTATTATACTACATATCCAAAATAAGAATTTGGTATCCTAATATATGTGAAGTGTGATAAATAAGTCAGTCAGAGGTGGCTATTTGTCAGCCTTAGAAGAAGCTGGAATAAGCATTTTGACTAACTTAATCAGGGTAATTTAATGATGTTTGTGGTCTTCCTGTGCTGCTCTGTAATATAAATTAAAGATTTTATTGAAGAACTTATAGAAGTGGATTGTCCTATTTTTAAAAGCTCAAAATGCTAGTGAGTTTGAGTGGGTCATATTCAAGAAAGGAATTGTGTTAAATAAATGAAACATTTGGCAGAGGAGAAAGTGGTATATGATAGAGTAAATAAAAGAAATGAAAGCTTTATTCCAAGAAAAATGTTAAAATTCTATTTCTGCTATAATACTTTTTTTTTCAAAATTGTTCAGAAATAAGATTTTAGATAAAGCACTCTATTCTAAGAATTTAAGTTTTACATTAGTGTAAATCTAGGACCAATTATATGCCTATGTTCACTTGGGTAGCATTTGATTTTTAAAGAAATACTCCCAAGTTCTAAATAAAGACATACGTCCATGAAAAAAATTAAAATATCTTTTATTACTTAAGTTTTACATTTCTGTTGGTTGATATAAATTCAGGCTTCGTAAGAAAAGCATGTATTAAGCTCATAGAAAAAACAAGCACTCTTCTAACCTATCACAAGCAATTTAGAAACTTGCTGTCTGGTTTCTTGGGGCTTTTGCTTGGAGAATCCATAAATGCTAAGGAAAGACTTTAAGAAATTTGGATAATGTGACAATTTCTACTTGATTTATATTAATACATGTTTATTATCTAATACCAAATGTGCTTGCCTTCCTAAATTATTTTACATTTTTCTACCCATTATTATGTTAATCTTTTCCCAGGTAATCTCAAAAGTAGTTTAATATTTTTTTGTAGAAATGATTTTTAAGTGTTTAAATTTTTTTTAGTCAACTAAATCAGCTTTATAAGTGATGAAGAACTATTTGGGATTAATGCATCATTTCTGGAACAAAAATATATATAGTGCAATATAATCAATTTTAACAACTAAATGTTTATGCTAAATGAAGGACGAAGTACTTTCTTGACTCTAGATATGATGTGTGTTACTTTTTTCTTCTGTTATACAATAATCCAGTAAACTCATTATTTAAAGTCTAAACTCAGTAATAATTATTTATGAGACAGGATGAGATGGTCCTTCAGGTTCAATATTTCTGTATGTATTTACATATTTTCTATGTTTCTACCTCCGTAAAGAATATAAAGTTTATTGCAATGTGTGTTTGAATACTGTGGACATTGAACATATACATTACTCCTAAAATAGTTTGATTTTAATACATTACTCCTAAATACTTTGATTTTACTAAAATCACTTAATATCTTCAAGAGAGAATAACATAATTTAAAGTCCCATGTTTCTCCTCAGAAAATAAGGATGGAAGCACATGCCAAGTTTGCAGTCCTTTGGCATCTAACAAGAGATCTCCATATAAATAAATCTTCATCTTTTGCACGTTCTTTTGACAGGTCAGTCAAATTTTATATTAAGATCTCACAGTCAGATATCTTAATGTTGTCTCTTTCCTTGAGTCTACTGTCTAGCTTGGCAAGTGTAGGAGATAGCAATTTATAACTTTTATAAAGAAAATTTATTATTTTGAAAATTGTAAGCTGTATTAAAATGCATGGCATTTTTGCTCACCAGATTATTACTTGTTGATTTTATATTACCCAGCTCCCCTTCCCTTCCTTGGACAACTATTATTCATCATGTTCCTACTATGTGTCAGGCACCATTCTAGGTACCAATGATAAAGCAATGGATACAGCTTTCTTGAGTCTATATTCATGTTTAGTGAAATTGCATATAAATAATATATGGTGTGTTTCTCAAGCAATTATTTTCAAGCTTCTGCCTAAATTAGATTTTTTAAAATCTATAGCTGAAAACACTAACAGCTTCTTTCCATGAATCCAGAGAACTTGTAGCTGCCTAAGAGTGGGTTTGGTTTTTGTCCAGACTACATAGTTTACTTCAAATACCAGATCTGCATTAAATTCCAAGCTGCCATTTATAAGTGTTTTCACATATTGTCATAAGATAGTCTCATTAGCCGGTCTCATAGTGGTGGTCACGAATCTGTGTTCGAGCTCAGTCAGATCAGTTGTGGGGTTTACCGAACAATTTCAGCTGGTGCTTTTCAATGAACATTACCATTTTTAAGTGATCTGATATTGAACCCCTACAATGTATTGAATATATTGAACCTTTACTTTGTAAATAATCATCTCTAATTTGACAACTGTCTTTCCAATTTTAGAAGTGAGGGAATAGAGGTCAGGAAAAGTTGTTACTTGCCCAATACCATACAAAAGATTTGAATCTTGCGTTTTCTGATTCTGTACCACACCTTCATACCTTTCACAGAAGATCTTTACTTGAATTAAGCGTATAGCTTTGACTTACAAAGAGAGTATGAGCAGAGGAACATGGACCAATATGGAGTAATGTTGACTTGCAGAAGGCTCAGTTTATGTAGCTAAAAGAAGACTAATTTTTTTTTATTCTTCAGTAGTAATCTTATAAAAGTAATGTATGCTTGTGAAATTTCAAAGCAAAAGTATATTTTTAGAAGGGCAAAAAAATGTTTTCCTTTCTTCTTATATCTACCAAGAATGTTGGGATTAAGGTTATTAAGATGCTATGATTTTTGCTTAAGCATAAATTAATGTAAAATTTATGTTAGGTATGACTACTTCAAAATAGTTAATTTAAAATAGGAAACAATTTATTTTAGAAAAGAGTGTGACAGTTAACGTAGATGTTTGGTTCTTTGTTTTAATTATTTGTGTTTATTTTAGGTCACTGTTCATCATGTTAGATAGCCTTAACAGTCTTGATGGTTCTACTAGCTCTGTGGGACAAGCCTGGCTGAACCAAGTCCTACAAAGACATGATATTGCACGAGTTTTGGAACCATTGCTATTGCTCCTACTTCATCCAAAAACTCAGAGAGTTTCAGTACAGCGCGTACAAGCAGAACGTTACTGGAATAAGGCTCCCTGTTATCCAGGAGAGGAGAGTGACAAGCATTTCATGCAAAATTTTGCCTGCAGCAATGGTGAATATCACATAGAAGTAGACAGCTTTATTTAGAATTATTAAAATAAAGTGATAAGTGAATACAACTGTAATTGGCAGAAGAATTACATGTGAGATTTTCTCCATGGGCTTATTTTCTCCCTCCTGATGCACTAACAATGCCATGTGGACCATGTTAGAATATACATCAGTGACCATCTTAGAGGATGTGGGTCTCTCAGTTGACTCAGGGTAGGAATCAGGCACAGCTCTGGTTAGAGGCAGTCTTCAGTTTTGATGGAAATACCGTTAGAGCTTAGTTAGCAATTCTGGTCCTACAAGGCTCTGTAGATACTTTATTGGGAATTTATAGTAAACCTGTAATACACATTTTGCATTTCATGAGTCATTTTTCTCATCTTTCAAGAGAATAATAATGCCCAACTTTCAAGGTTTTATTACGATCATCAGATATAGTCATATTTGTGACATGCCCAAATATTCACTATTCCAACATTACTACAGAGTCCACACTTTATAAACTGTTGAGTGATGCCTTCTATACAGTGACAATGTCCCATTGAATTTATTTAAGGGACAAAACACTCTCATATATGTCATTTGTCTCTTGAGGGATTACTCTGTGGGGTCAGTATTGAAAAGATGATTTTACTAAGCAGGTTGTTGATGCCTAGAAGGCCGTGCCTTTCTCAGAGTTCCATGAAGCTGAAAGCAAACTGTCATATACCTACTTCATCTCTAGTGTGTTCCTACAGAGGCTTGCTTCCTCTCTATGACTTCTTTTCTACTGCCTCTTCTGAGTCTTCTAAGAATTTGCATTACCCTACGTATTGCCAAAACATCATTGTGTTAATGCTTTATCTGACTGTGCTGAATTCCCACTTCCTCTCTGAGATCAGTACCAGACCTCATAATGGTATTTTGATTCTTTCCCTAAATTTGCTAGCATTTGTTATGTACTACTTTGTATGGCACTGAGCCTTTCACCTTTTCTAAAAGAATGTCGTCATCATTGTATGCCCCCTAAAAAATACAGAAATGAATTATATATTTTTGGTTTGCTGCTAATTTTAAACTCTTCAGAGAGTTTAGAAACAGCATAACTAAAGTGAGATATTACACAGTGAGGAAAAATAAAATTTTAACCTGCAATAAAATGTAATTTTAATAGGAAAATACAAGTAGATGCTGACACTGATGATTAAAAATTTTGATCAGTTTACATTTCTGCATTTCAGTTATTTTAATGCATTTTGTATTTTTCTTCTTTTACTGTTTTTCTCTACCAGCAAGCCAAGTACAACTCATCACATTAAAAGGAAATGGAGAAAAGCCACTTACCATGGATGAAATAGAGAACTTTAGTCTCACGGTTAATCCATTGAGCGACAGACTTTCCCTCCTAAGTACTAGCAGTGAGACAATTCCAATGGTTGTGTCTGATTTTGATCTTCCGGACCAACAGATAGAAATACTTCAAAGTTCTGACTCAGGATGTTCACAGTCCTCTGCAGGGGACAACTTGAGTTATGAAGTTGATTCTGAAACTGTGAATGCCCAAGAGGATTCTCAGATGCCAAAGGAAGGCTCCCCAGATGATGATGTTCAGCAGGTAGTGTTTGACCTGATATGTAAAGTTGTAAGTGACCTCGAAGTGGAATCTGCATCAGTTACATCTCAATTAGAAATTGAAGCTATGCCCCCAAAGTGCACTGGTACAGATCCAGGTGAAGAGATGATTAAAATTGAAGATGACTCCAATCAACAGAGTCAGAATGCTTTGCTAAGTAATGAAAGTTCTCAGTTTCTATCTGTGTCTGCAGAGGGAGGCCATGAGTGTGTGGCAAATGGAATCTCCAGGAATAGCTCCTCACCTTGTATTTCCGGAACCACACACACTCTTCATGATGGTTCTGTTGCTTCCATAGAAACCAAATCTAGACAGAGGAGTCACAGTAGTATTCAATTTAGCTTCAAAGAAAAATTATCAGAAAAAGTTTCAGAGAAGGAAACAATAGTTAAGGAGTCAGGTAAACAACCAGGAGCAAAACCTAAAGTAAAACTTGCCAGAAAAAAGGATGATGACAAGAAAAAATCTTCAAATGAAAAACTCAAACCAACCAGTGTATTCTTTAGTGATGGTCTGGATTTAGAGAACTGGTATAGCTGTGGAGAGGGAGACATTTCTGAAATTGAGAGTGACATGGGTTCTCCAGGATCTCGGAAATCTCCCATTTTCAACATTCATCCTCTCTATCAACATGTGCTCCTGTACCTCCAGTTGTATGATTCATCGAGGACTTTGTATGCTTTCTCTGCCATCAAAGCCATCTTGAAAACTAACCCTATAGCTTTTGTAAATGCCATTTCAACTACTAGTGTAAATAACGCATATACTCCTCAGTTGTCTCTCCTTCAGAATCTATTGGCTAGACACCGGATTTCTGTTATGGGCAAAGATTTTTATAGTCACATTCCAGTAGACTCAAATCATAACTTCCGGAGTTCTATGTACATAGAAATTCTTATTTCCCTCTGCTTATATTACATGCGTAGCCATTACCCAACTCATGTCAAGGTTACTCCACAAGATTTAATAGGCAATCGAAACATGCAGATGATGAGCATAGAAATTCTGACACTACTCTTTACTGAGCTGGCAAAAGTAATAGAAAGCTCAGCGAAGGGTTTCCCTAGTTTTATTTCTGACATGTTATCTAAGTGCAAAGTTCAGAAAGTGATTCTTCATTGTTTGCTGTCATCTATCTTTAGCGCTCAGAAATGGCATAGTGAAAAAATGGCAGGTAAGAACATGATTGCTGTGGAAGAAGGTTTCTCAGAGGACAGCCTTATTAATTTCTCAGAGGATGAATTCGACAATGGCAGCACATTACAGTCACAACTTCTTAAGGTGCTTCAGAGACTGATTGTTCTAGAACACAGAGTAATGACTATTCCTGAAGAGAATGAAACAGGTTTTGATTTTGTTGTATCTGACTTGGATCACATTAGTCCCCATCAGCCCATGACTTCTCTTCAGTATTTGCATGCTCAGCCAATCACGTGTCAAGGCATGTTCCTTTGTGCGGTAATACGAGCTTTGCATCAACACTGTGCGTGTAAGATGCACCCACAATGGATTGGTTTAATCACATCTACTCTGCCTTACATGGGAAAAGTTCTACAGAGAGTGGTGGTTTCTGTGACACTACAACTGTGCAGAAATTTAGATAATCTAATTCAGCAGTACAAATACGAAACAGGATTATCTGATAGTAGGTAAGAGGTGATTTTTAATTTTATTGTTATTGACATTTTTCACATATGACTGCTTAATGTCTGGAAAGTAGGTCACAACTTGAGTAAATTAGTGGTTTTTGGTAGGTTACAAATAGTATGTTACATTTCACAAAAAAAGAAAATTTGACTTGAAGAAGAGTATCAATAAAAGAATCTAGAATGGAAAGGGAAGAAAAATTTAAACAGGCCTGTTTTCTCCCAAGGTCTGAAATTAATTTTAATGTTCTTCTTGCCTGAGCTGGCAAAACTAATAGGAAGCATAGGAAGAGGTTTCCCAGGTTTTGTATTTTTATCTAAGTGCAAATACATTTCAGACTGAAAATAATTTAAATTTACAAATCTTTTCCATGCAATTTTATTTCTTGTTTTGGATTTTCATGGTTTAGAGGCAGATTTGATCTGAGTCCCCATGCTCAAAATGAAGTTTGAAAAATTAGTTCAAGTAGACTGATGTCTTATTTTTCTTTAGAGTAATCTCAGTTTCTACATTTAAAATAATAAGAAAACTGCCTGTATTGTTTAATGTTAATATGCCTCCCATTTCCCAATAGCTAGAGACTCACTGGCCATCATTTGTTTATTTCGTATAGAGTTCTGTAGTCAAAAGAACTCTAGTACATTTACTCCAACTCACTTACTTTATAGATGCAGTAGTAAAAGCCTTTTAGCCATTTATTAATCTAGTATTTATTGCACATTTACTATGTGCCTGACACATTGTATTTACTAGTGATAAAATATGAACTATGCTATCATAAAACTTGGATTTAAGTGAATTAACTTTATTTCAGGCCTCTGTGGATGGCATCAATTATTCCACCAGATATGATTCTTACTCTTTTGGAAGGGATTACAGCCATTATTCATTACTGTTTGTTGGATCCAACTACACAGTATCACCAAGTAAGACTGTACATATATTTGACTCCTTTTGAAAGACTATGAGGTCTAATGAATTTCCATTTGTAAATCTCAGTAAATAATATTATATATTTTTTCCTCCACTGTTAATAGCTTTTGGTCAATGTAGACCAGAAACACTTGTTTGAAGCACGCAGTGGAATCCTCTCAATCCTTCATATGATCATGTCCTCTGTGACATTGCTTTGGAGCATACTGCATCAAGCTGATTCTTCAGAAAAGATGACTATTGCTGCATCTGCATCTGTTACCACTATTAATCTTGGAGCTACAAAGGTTAGACAATTAATATTTAATCTGTAGAGCTCAAGAGTCTTTTTGAGAACCTTCCCAAAGATTATATTCAGAATATATGAATAATTTGTGTTGTATTTATAGGAAACTGCATAGATGAAGTAATTATCAATTTTTAATATTTTTCTTAGGCTATGGATAACATATCACAGAATTAGCCCTTTTTTAAATAAATTTATAGAGTTGTGAACTCTATCAATTTTTGAATATGTCTTTTACCACAAAGATTCTTTGTGGCCATTTCCACTTCCTCTTCCCATTCTTAATCCCAATCAACCACTTATCTGCTTTCTCCATATATTGATTTGCTCTTTCTGAAAAAGGTCATATAAATGGAATGATAACAATATTTGGTCTTTTGTGTCTAGGCTTCTTTCAGGTGATTTAAGGTTTATTCATACTCTGCTCCTTTTTTTAGGACATTTTAAGTTGGCATTTTAATATGCAAAGCCCTCCTGGAAAACAATTTAGCAATCTGTACAGAAAGCTTTAAAGGTTTCATAGTCTTTGACCTAGTAATCTACGTTAGGAATGAATTCTAAGGTAATCGAAATTATGCAAAGATATATATACAAAGTGTTCATTATAGTATTATTTAATGGCAGAAGAAGAGAGATCCTAAACAAGAAATTAGGGAATGTTTAAATTATCCTTTTGGTTTTTAATTAAACAGGCAATAATAATCATGGTTTTGAAGAATTCTTATCAGATAGAGAAGGGCTCAAAAGCTCAATGAAATAGGGATGTTACATAATTGAACAAATAGCATGTTTTCAATTATGTAAAAAGTAAATCTGCAGAAAAAGGAATAAAGAAAGTTTACATTTTATCAGTAATTATCTCAGGATGATAGGATTAATTATTTTTAATTTTTTTTCTTCCTTGCACTCTGATATTTTCCAAATGCTGTGCCATGTCAAGTTGTCAAACTGACATCCTTCAATAGTCTAATTTTACTCCTAAATCAGACCACCTGGACCTAGGATCCATAGGAACACATACGGAAATGGGAGAAGGATATGGATGGGAACCATTAGAACATTTAATCTAAGTTTTGGATGCTTGGATTAAACTATACTTTTTAGGTTTTTTTTTTTTGTTTTACTTAAATAAAAAATAAGGTGTTGTATAATTATAGAATGCCTCACCTTTTTTTAAAGTACTCTATATCAAACTTAGTCTAATTTCATATGTTGTGTTTTTCTAGTATCTTTTCACAGTGAATAGACTTGTATTTGGCAGATTGGTAGCCGTCATTTTATAGAATTTGTTTCTCTTTTAGAATTATAGTCATGGTGTAGCTCTTAATGTTATTAAAGGTTCCTCGTATTATTTAGGTAGGATAACCTATAAGAACTATATTATTTCAAAGAAACTAAAAATGCACTCTAGTTTTGAATATTTTCATTGTTTTAAATTTCACTTTCATTTGCTTCAAATTGTTTTAGAACTTGAGACAACAAATTCTTGAATTGTTGGGCCCCATTTCAATGAATCATGGTGTTCACTTTATGGCTGCCATTGCATTTGTGTGGAATGAAAGAAGACAGAATAAAACAACCACCAGGACAAAGGTATGTATTTAGGCATTTGGCACTTTTTGTTTTTGCATTTGATGTGTACATGCTAATTTTTACCTCTTCATACATTGCAGTGGGGCTGGGGTAGATTGGAGTATAAAGCAAAAGTTTTTCAACAGGGTTAGATAAATTATTGCCTTAATTTGTTTAAGTATTGATTAAAATTTGAGGTCAAGACCATGCACAGTGGCTCATGCCTGTAATCCTAGCACTTTGGGAGGCCAAGGTGGGCAGATCATGAGATCAGGAGTTTGAGACCAGCCTGGCCAACATAATGAAACCCTGTCTCTACTAAAAATACAAAAATTAGCTGGGCATGATGTCACACACCTGTAGCTACTTGAGAGGCTGAGGCAGAAGAATCGCTTCAACCTGGGAGGCAGAGGTTGTGGTAAGCTGAGATTGCACCACTGCACTGCAGCCTGGGTAACAGAGCAAGATTCCATCTCTAAATAAATAAATAAATAGATAGATAAATAAATAAAAATAAAATTTGAGGTCAAATATAAAAGATATTATGTGAAAAAAAATTTAGTATGATACTAAAACTAAGTAGAAATGGTAATATGGTAAAGTATGTTTTTAAAGTGCTAGTCATTTAGGGTACAAACCAAGGATATAGAGAAAAGTTTTCATCTTGACTCTTTTTTCATTATGTGTTAGTTCAAATAGTTCATGTTTCTGAATATAATTCACAATTTTTTTCTTCTTTTTTTACTTTTTCGGTAGAGATGAGGTCTCATTTTGCTGTTGGTCTTATATATGTCAGTTTTGTTGCTTTGAGTTTCAAAGCTCAAGAGAAATGCTCTATATTGGAAATAAATAATGGCACATTAGAATAGTAAGGCTATTATGTAACTTACATTTATTTTAAAAATATGATTTATCCACCTAAATTATATAACTTACATTTATTTAAAAAATATGATTTTGTTTTTATTTCACATTACATTTCTAAAGTAATCAAAATAAACATTCACACCCTATTACATTATTTTGCATGTGAAGATTCAGTAGTAGATGTCACTCACATTGAAAATTGAAATCCTGGACTACTTAAAAGCGGTTAAGGACATGTGATTTTACATGGCATGTTGAAGCCAGGCACAGTGGCTCACAACTCCCAGCACTTTGGGAGGCCAAGGCGGGAGGATTGCTTGAGGCCTGGAATTCAAGACCTCATGAGACCCTGTCTCTACAAAAAAATTTAAAAAAAATTAGCCAGGTGTGGTGGCATGTGCCTGTAGACCTAGCTACTCAGGAGGCTGAGGCAGAAGGATTAGCAGGCATATTATAGCTGATAACATGTAATTCACATAGAGCAATGCCTGGTACTTAATAATCACTCACAAATATTAGCTGTAATATTATTCCTCATATTTAAATAAAAATGCGGAACCAAGGATTACCAGTCACATGAAGAAAGTCTCTAATGTGATAGACAAAGACTGAAGCATCTAGATTTTCAAAAGTCAAACAATGCAGATAACAGAAGAAAACGTAAATAATAATAGTGTCCTTCAGTGAGTGGGACTGTGAAGTAGAAAGGGAAATTATAGGAAAGACCATTCCAAAAATTAAAATTTTTCATGGAAATTAAAAATTCTACGGCAGAAACAAAGCAATGTTTGTAAGAAAGTTGGAACAGAAAGTGGATACATACCAAAAGTAGAATATAAATTTAAAGATATGGAAAATAGGAGAAAGAGATAAGAATATTAGAGGAGTGATAACTAGAGACCCAGTATCTTTCTGCAGAATTTAAAAACAAGAGGAGAAAAATACAAAGAAACAATACAATAAAATTCCTCAGGAATAAAGTAAATATTTTGCAGATTGTGCCTAGCACTGTGAAAAGTGATGTGTGCAAAGATTAGCATATTATTTCAGAGCACTGGCGATAAGAGATCCTAAAATCTAAAGAAAGAATACTGGTCACATTCAAAAGAATGAAGATGAGATTTGTTAACAGCAACACTGGGAATATTGATTGGAAGCCAGTTTCAACCCATAATTCTATCTCCAGCCAAACTGTCACTCAAAACATTTTCAGCTATGCAGTGCCTCAACAACAACAACAACAACAGAAAATTGCCATCAGTTCACTTTTTCTTAGCTACTGGAAGATTTAACTCCACCGGAGGAGGAATAATCCAAGAGTGAAGAAGACAGGGGATCCAAGAAACGGGGGTTCCCAGACAGAAGAGAGAGCAAGGGGAATCTCTGGGATAATGGTAACAGGAGAGATATCAAGGTGACACTCTGTAGCAAACCTAGAGAGTAGCAACCCAGGGTAGAATAAAAAGACATCTAACAGAAATGTCTCCAGGAAAAAAGAGAAGAGAGGGAGGAAATGATACCTGATTAATTACCCCCACAGAACTCAAACTGAAACTCTCGCGAGAGAGGCTGACAGCAAATAACACCAGATTGAGCTCTGGGAGAGACACCATTGGAAAGGTGGTGCCAATCTCACCTGCAAACAATCTCCAGGAAGGACCACCCACCCAACAACCTGACTGAACCCAGGGAGCCCAGCAATGTCCTCTACAGGCCAAAAAAGATACAGCACCTCAATAGAAAACCTCAATAGAAAAATAACTGTCTGCTCAGACACTCCTCCTGAAATCACCAACTTCAAAGATTAAAGGGAGATAAATCCATGAAGATGGAAAAAAACCAGCACAAAAAGGATGAAACCACTGAAGAACAGAATACCTCTTCTCCTCTCAGGGATCACAACTCCTCACCATCAAGGGAACAAAAAAAGATAGAGAATGAATCTGATGAATTGACAGAAGCAGGCTTCAGAAGGTAGGTAATAACAAACTTCTCTGAGTTAAACGACCATGTTCTAACCCAATGCAAAGAAACTAAGAACCTTGAAAAAGGGTTAGATGAAATGCTAACTAGAATAACCAGCTTAGAGAAGAACATAAATGACTTGATGGAACTGAAAAACACAGCATGAGAACTATGCGAGGCATACACAAGTTTCAACAGCCGAATCAATCAAGCAAAAGAAAGGATATCAGAGACAGAAGATTGAATCAATGAAATAAAATGAGAAGGCAAGATTAGAGAAAAAAGAGTAAAAAGAAATTAACAAAGCCTCTAGGAACTGTGGGATTATGTGAAAAACCCTAATCTACTCTTCATCAGCGTACCTGAATGTGATAGGGAGAATGAATCCAAGTTGAAAAACACTCTTCAAGATATTATCCAGGAGAACTTTCCCAACCTAACTAGGCAGGCCAACGTTCAAATCCAGGAAATACAGAGAACACCACAAAGATATTCCTCAAGAGCAACCCCAAGGCACATAGTTGTCAGATTCACCATGGTTGAAATGAAGGAAAAAATGCTAAGGGCAGCCAGAGAGAAAGGTCAAGTCACCCACAAAGGAAAGACCATCAGACTCACAGCAGAACTCTCAGCAGAAACCCTGCAAGCTAGAAGGGAGTGGGGGCTGATATTCAACATGCTTAAAGAAAAGAACTTTGAACCCAGAATTTCATATCTGACCAAACTAAGCTTTATAAGTGAAGGAGAAATAAAATCCTTTACAGACAAGCAATTGCTGAGAGATTTCATCCCTATAAGACCTGCCTTACAGGAGCTACTGAAGGAAGTACTAAACAGGGAAAGGAATAACCAGTACCAGCCACTGCAAAAACGTACCAAATGGTAAAGAATAACGACGCAATGAAGGAGCCACATCAATTAATGGGCAAAGCAACCAGCCAGCAACAAAATGGCAGGATCAAATTCAAACATAACAATATTAACATTGAATATACATGGCCTAAACAGCCCAATCAAAAGACACAGACTGGCAAACTGGATAAAAACACAAGACCCATCGGTGTGCTGTATTCAGGAGACCCATCTCACATGCCTCACATAGACTCAAAATAAAAGGACGGAAGAAGATTTACCAAGCAAATGGAGAGCAAAAAAAAAAAAAAAAAGCAGGGGTAGCAATCCTAGTCTCTGATAAAATGAACTTTAAGCCAGCAAAGATCAGACGAGGCAAAGAAGGGCATTATATAATGGTAAGAGGATCAATGCAACAAGAAGAGCTAACTATCCTAAATATTTCTGCACCCAATGCAGGAACACTGAGATACATAGAGCAAGTTCTTAAAGACCTACAAAGAGACTTACACTCTTGCACAATAATAGTGGGAGACTTTAACACTCCACTGGCAATATCGGACAGATCAAGAGACAGAAAGTCAACAAGGATATCCAGGACTTGAACGCAGATTTGGATCAAGCAGACCTAATAGACATTTACAGGACACTGTACCCCAAATCCACAGAATACACATTCTTCTCAGCACCACATTGCACTTACTCCAAAATTGACCACATAATTGGAAGTAAATCACCCCTCAGCAAATTCAGAAGAACGGAAATCATAACAGTCTCTCAAACCACAGCACAATCAAATTAGAAATCAGGATTAAGAAAAACACTCAAAACAATCACATGGAAACTGAACGACTTGCTCCTGAGTGACCAATGGATGAACAGTGAAATGAAGGCAGAAATAAAAACATTCTTTGAAACCAACGAGAATGAAGACACAACATACCAGATCCTATGGGACACATTTAAAGCAGCATGTAGAGCGAAGTTTATAGCAATAAATGCCCACATGAGAAGCAAGGAAAGATCTAAAATTGACACCCTGTCATCAAAATGTCTTCACTCATAGGCCGTGATGAACAATGAGAACACTTGGGCATAGGGAAGGGAACAGCACTCACAGAGCTAGGTAGGGGGTTGAAGAGGAGGGGAGGGGGGCACATTGTGGGGGCTGGGGAGGAGCAGGAGGGATAACACCTGGAGAACTGCCTGATGTAGGCAATGGTGGGGGAGGATGGAGAAGCAAACCACCATGGCACGTATGTAGCTATGCAACAATCCTGCAGGATGCAGGACTTAAACATGTACCCCAGAGCCCAAATACAAAAAAAAAAAAAAAAAAAGCCTGGTGCAGTAGCTCATGCCTGTAATCCCAGCATTTTGGGAGGCCAAGGCGGGTGGATCATGAGGTCAGGAGTTCAAGACCAGCCTGGTCAATATGGTGCAACCCCATCTCTACCAAAAAATGCAAAGTTTAGCCAGGCATAGTGGCACACACCTGTAGTCTCAGCAACTCAGGAGGCTGAGGAAGAAGAATCACTTGAACCCAGGAGGCAGAGATTGCATTGAGCTGAGATCACGCCACTGCATTCAGCCTGGGTGACAGTGAAATAAATAAAAATAAATTTTTAAAAAGGTCACAGAATATTTTCTTAATTATGTAACGTCCCCTAAAAGACTTATATGCACATATACATAAATAAAATGATGTATTACCTAGGTCATTCCTGCAGCCAGTGAAGAACAGCTTTTATTAGTGGAACTGGTTCGTTCAATCAGTGTCATGAGAGCAGAAACTGTTATCCAGACTGTAAAAGAAGTTTTAAAGCAGCCACCAGCCATAGCCAAGGACAAGGTAAGAAAAAAACTCTTCTTCTCATGTGTTTACAATTCTGTTTCGGAAATGATGCAGGTAAGTAAGATCTTTTTTGTACAATAATGTCCTTTCATTATAGTACAGATTGCAGAGATGACTGCATGTGGGTCTCACACTGCTTCAATCAAAACAATTATCAATATTTGTAGTGACTTGCTATTCTGATTCTTTAGTAACCAGTGAAGAGCTGTTAACTGCTCGTATCTTCATATGTACATCAGAGGCAGTCAGGAACCATATGACTAAATTCTCAGGGGAGATTTTTCTGGTCACTTAAAGAACATAAGCCAGAGCTCAAGGTCAGCTTTCCTTAGTTGTTGCCATTTTTCACAGCTTCCTTATTGCTTGCTTTTCTAAATGAATCTCTTAATTCTGTGAACTCCCTCAAAGTTTACTATAACCTTAGTTCTAGTCAACGTTATTTCTTGAACATGTATAATACTGTGCTATGCAAGGGCTACACTATGAATGACATAGTCTCTGCACATATGTTGCTTTGTCTCTATGCAAAAATAAAAGTCTACAAATTAGGAGTATTATGAACTTTTCTACTTTTTCTGCTCTTTGTTCAAGTAATACCAAGAGGTCATATTTTCTCAGAAAGTATATACCAACCCCAGACATGATACTTTGAGACAAGCCAAAATAGATCTAATCACATCCTTTAAAGAAATATAATGTGTATCTGAAAATGTTGAATTGTGTTTTCCTTTTATCTTGAATCCAAAGAGAATAAGATGTATGTGAATAGCCTGCATTCTTTTTAAGTTTTTAATAAAAACTGGGGCATTTGTCACAGGATTTTTAGTTTGTATTTTGAGTACCTGTTTGTGCCAGACATTGGGCTACATATGACGGATATGAAAAATTAGAGCCAATCCACCCTCTGCCCCACCAACCTGTGTCCCCTTATTAAGTTCTGAATCTATTAGACACTTGATTTTTCTTTGTGGTAAAAGAAGAAACCTTCAAGGAAATAGTTGGAACTAAAAAAGAACAAATTGGTAAGCATCAGTGGACATCAATATCATTCTCTGACCTTTTAGTAATTTCCAGAGGCAGGTGTTTTATTATATATTACACTCAACACTGTCTTTAATTTAGTGGCTATATTTGAAGCTGTTAGGAATTGATCACAAATTTGAACTACACTAATTGAACAGATATGTGTAATAAGTAAAGACTTAAATACACGTTTCATTAAAAATCTCAACCTAATTCTGACAGCACCGAGCATAAGCTACCTAAGATAGTGTTGGTACTTACAGAGTACATGGATCATTTAAAAGTGAGTGGTATGGAAGGAAAAATTGACAATCTTTCCATTCCTACCATCTATTTTTAACTTTTAAAATAGCTCTTGTATTACGAATTTTTCCTACTGAGTGGAAGAGAGGTGCATGGCTCATGAATGAAAAAATTATGATTTTGTTTTCTGTTAATTTTTTAAATTAAAAATTAGCAGTAAGATACAGAGTAGTTTCAACAATGAAAAAGCAAAGGCAGTATTCGTCACTATAAAACTGATTTCTTTTGTTTGTAGAAACATCTTTCTTTGGAAGTCTGCATGCTTCAGTTTTTCTATGCTTATATTCAAAGGTAAGATTACTCATAATGATCTCTCCTTACTATGTTGTTAGAAACAGAGAAACATTATTTATGGGTATATTAATACAAGTCATGAGTATCTTAGTGACCCAGCCATGTATATTCTACAAACCTAAAGACCTAAGGATATTGAAGATTCCTAGATAGTAAAACACTGAATTGTGACAAAAATCATTTAAATATAAATGAAAAGCTGAATCTACTCTTGAAACTATACATATTGCCACTGAATCCATTATTTTGGTATAGGTGAACATACAGTAATTCATTCTGCTTTTTAATATTAGGAATGACAATGTGAAAATACCTTCTTGCAGGCCAGGCGCCATGGCTCACGCCTGTAATCCCAGAACTTTGGGAGGCTGAGGTGGGTGGATCACCTGATGTCAGGAGTTTGAGACCAGCCTGGTGAAACCTCGTCTCTACTAAAAATACAAAAATTAGCTTGCCAAGGTGGCATGCAACTGTAGTCGCAGCTACTCAGGAGGCTGAGACAGGATAGTTGCTTGAACCTGGGAGACAGAGGTTGCAGTGAGCCGAAATCGTGCCATTGCACTCCAGCCTGGGTGACAGAGTGAAACTCTGTCTCAAAAACAAAAATGAGTATTATCTTCTTGCTATCATACTCCATTTTGCATTTAACTGACCTATGAACAGAAGTTATGATTGAGTTTTTGGAACTTCTTAAGAACCTGACTCTTAATCTTCCTTTATAGGATAATTCATTTTAATCACCAAACTCAGTGACCATTTGTAATCTGTGACTAGCATTATAAGATCATGCTATTTAGCACATTTAAACTGGTTGTGACCTAGAGCAAGGACTGCCTAAAATCTGAACTTACATACAGAAGTGTTAGTTCAGTCTAAGGTCAGACTGAAACAAAGATAATCTTCATTCTTTTTGCAGGTTAAAGACTAATGTTCAGTTGACAGCCCTCCATAACATGAGGTAGAGACTTACTTATAAGGTGAAGGAAGGAAAACTAATATAAGGGGGAAGTGGAGAGACCAGGTTAGGGAGTAGGTGACTGTGATGTCAGTAGTTAAACTGAGAATTATTGCAGTTTTATTTTACTTTTGAGGTTCCATGTGATAAATGGGATTTCAATAGCATAATTTCTAGATTAGGAAATTGCAGGCTGGGCTTGGTGGCTCATGCCTGTAATCCCATCACTTTGGGAGACTGAGGTGGGTAGATCACGAGGTCAGGAGATCAAGACCATCCTGGCCAACTCAGTGAAACCCCATCTCTACTAAAAATACAAAAATTACCCTGGCATGGCAACCCACACCTGTAGTCCGAGCTACTCAGGAGGCTGAGGCAGGAGAATTGCTTGAACCGAGGAGGCAGAGGCTGCAGTGAGCCAAGATCGTGCCAATGCACTCTAGCCTGGGCAACAGAGCGAGACTCCGTCTCAGAAAAAAAAAAAAGAAAAAGCACTGAGGCTAGACACAGTGGTTCATGCCTATAATTCCAGCACTTTGGGAAACCGAGGCAGGTGGATCACTTGATCCCAGAAGTTTGAGACCACCATGGGTAACATAGTGAAACTCCATCTCTGTTAAAAGAAAAAAAAAAAGAAAAATGAAATTGCATTGGTATTTTAACTGTGTTGGTTTATTTATTAATGTTTATTTATTAGTGGTATTTTAACTGTGTTGGTTTATTAACTTATAAAATAAATGATTTATTAATGTTAGTAAAAATGTAAAGCTTTTAGGAATTTTGTTCTATCGTTGTCTATAAATGTAGGGAATGTTCCAGAAACTAGTAGAAAATTATAATTTGTTGTGGCTTTTGATACATACAGACTATATTTATCTTGCAGGATCCCAGTGCCCAATTTAGTGGATAGCTGGGCATCACTGTTGATACTTCTGAAAGACTCTATACAACTGAGTCTTCCAGCTCCAGGGCAGTTTCTTATACTTGGGTAAGTAATTTCACTTAAAAATATTATTTCAAATAAAAGGATAATGTTCATTATCCTTATTGTCCAGTATTAATAACAGCTGTTTTAGGTGACAGTGTGATCTTTCTACCTTTTCACACTGTTTTTGAGATGCAAAACTAGATGTATAAGGCCTATTTTGTTTTTGTTTTTTTTTAAAGAGTAGGGGCAGGGTGAGAAGAGGAAATACTCTTATGTTTATACATATACAGAATGTAAATACACTAAAATAAAACTGTTACAACAGCAGTTTTGGTGGTGGTGGAAAGTATGGGATGGAAAGAAGGGATCACATAGCGTGTCTGAAGGGGAACTTCATAGAGGAGGGATACTTGAGCTGGATCCCAAGCCTAAACAAGCTGGGAAAGTTTTTCTTTGTCTTGGAGTTTCCTGATTTATCTTAATGATTTATGTGATTATCTGATAAATGCTAGTCACCCATGACTGCAGGTACTGTGATGCCATACACAGTCTCTGTTTTTTGCTTGCCATTATTCTTGATTCTTAATAGGTCCCCAGTAAATACTTGTTCAGTGAATAGAGGTGGTGGGTGCAGAAAACCTTTGTGGAAAGAGGAAGGGGAAGAGAGTATACTGGGGCAAAGTACGTTGTTTGGTTTGGTAACCGAACAGGGCACAGACAGTGGTATAGTGGAAAATAAGGCTGGATGAAGAGGGAAATGGGAGCTAGATAAGGAAGGATCTTGAATTTTAAAGAATTTGGTCTTGAAAGGGAGTCGAAGTGGTTGCAGGTTTTTGAAGAGAGATCAGAGGGGAAAGAGGCTAGGCTTGGAATTCTATTTCAAGTGGGAGGTGTGAGGATGGTTTCAACTATTGACGGTATTGAAAGAACAGGATAAAGAAGGAAGAGGGGCCAGCAAAGGAGATAGAAAGGGAAATATCAAAAAGTTAGAAGAAAACTAGGCATTTAGTTGTTCCAGAAGCAAAGTGAGATTAAGAGGGCATGGTTGACACCTTCGGAGAGGTTTAGGAAGGTGAGGGACAATAAAAGGCTATGTTTGTTGACAATCTGGATAGGCATCCTAATTATCTAATCACCAGTTATCTGGTGATATAGGAGAGAGGGTTTGGAACGGTAGTAAGCACATGTTAAGAGCAAATGCTTAGTGTGGGAAAGTAAGTGTTGATTCTTCTTTGAGGATATTTGAAAAAAGCCAGGTGCAGTGGCTCTTGTCTGTAATCCCAGCACTTTGGGATGCTGAGGCAAGAGGATTGCTTGATGCTGAGGCAGGAGTTCGAGACCAGCCTGGGCCATATAGGGAGACCCTGTCTCTACAAAAAAATTGAAAATTAGCCAGATGTGGTCACACATGCCTGTAGTCCCAGCTACACAGGAGTTGATAAGGTTCAAAGAGCAAATGTATGTACAGTTCTTGGAATCATCACCAAATAACCCTGTTGGCTAATTTCATTAAAAAATTAAGTTCATTTGTTGTGATCTGTAGCTGCCCCTCTACAACATTATACTGTTTCCTCGCATGCCTTTTCTTCCTTTCAGAATGAAGGATCCTCTTCCTTTTTAACGTGCATATTCTGAATGTTAAAACAAAAAGTTGCAAGTTGAATATTTTCAATTATACTGGAAACTTAATTTCTTTTTGAAAATGTCAGTTTATCCTTTTGCCAACCATTCTACTGATCCTGTAAAATCACCTAGTTAATAAATAGAAATAGATACGAAGGTTGCTCTTTAGTTTCATTTTACATATTAGTTTGGAAGTAACTGTGCATATAATTTATCCTTTAAAAAATCATGTCAGTAAATATTGAGTAGACTTTTAGCAAATAATGAAAATGGAAATTTTTTCTTGAACTATTTTTAATGTGTTATGGTAAGAAATAATTTCTCTTTTACAGTTTAAGATTTTTTAAACTTCTCTGTTTATATATGAAACACATGTAGAAAAATATGCAAAGAATTAGTACCCAACTCTACAAATAAAAAGTTTGTAAAAAGTCAACATACCACTATACATTACAAACCCAAACTAAGAAATAAAACACCATGTGTTCCTCTACACCCCTCCCAATTAGTATTATTTTATTTCCCCAAATGTAACCACTATTCTAACACCACAGATGCATTTTGCCTTGCTTTCGAACTATAAGTATTTATAAATATTTTGTGTCTGACTTCTTTTTGTTCAGCGTATGTTTATGAGATTCGTTTGTATAATTCACATATCTATAACTTATTTCCATTGTTGTTTGGTATTTTTATGAACCTTCTGCAGTTTGTGGTTTTTTCTTTGATATGGGATTATGCCAAGTTTCCCAGGCCAGAATGCAGGCGTCATTCACAGCATGATCATTGCGCACTGCAGCCTTGGACTCAAGCAATTCTCCTGTCTTAGCCTACCAAGTAGCTGGAACTATAGGCATACATCATGACGCCTGGCCACATTCTACAATTTATCTTTTCTGCTCTTGCTGGACATTTGGGTTCCTTCCACTTTGGGGCTCTTAGAAATAATACTGCTTTGAGGATTCTTATACAGTGTCTTTTTATGCATACGTTTACGTGTGTCAGTTGAGTCATAGGATATGTATATACATATTATATATTTAAAATGGAAATCAAGACCACTAAGGCACTTATTCATTGTGAGAAATTAGATCAAATTATTTTCTCTTAGACTGATATTTCCCATTTCTGTTTTCTCTTTGGCCCTTTTAGGGTTCTGAATGAGTTTATTATGAAAAACCCTAGTCTGGAAAATAAAAAAGACCAAAGAGACCTTCAGGTAAGGCAGTCTGAGTTAAGAACTGTTGCCAAAACTGTTTCTCAGTGCCCTCAATTTGAAAATGAGAGAGTCAAATAAGATAAACTGTGAAGTTTTTTCAACTCAAACATTCTATGGGAATCAGCAGTCTTTTGTAAAACATTTATTATCAGAACTATAAACTACAGAAGTTCATAAGTAGTGTACATGTGTGTACATATATAGTTGTTCGTCCTTTTTTCTTCAGGATGTAACTCACAAAATAGTAGATGCAATTGGTGCAATTGCTGGTTCTTCTCTGGAACAGACAACATGGCTGCGACGAAATCTTGAAGTTAAGCCTTCTCCCAAAATAATGGTGGATGGAACCAATTTGGAATCTGATGTTGAAGGTATTCCTGTCAAACATTTAGGTTTATTATCTGTAAATAGGCATATGTTTACTAAGAAATCATTTTGGCTGGTTCTATAAGTAGCACAAATTTATACCTTGTGTCCAACAAGTAGCTCTTTTCCCATGGCAACTATATATATATATATATATATATATGTATGTACACACACAGACACACACACACACAAAACTTGTTTTCTGTGGGAACTAGCCATATCTTTAATTTTCTCTTATTTATAGATATGTTATCACCTGCAATGGAAACTGCAAACATAACTCCTTCTGTATATAGCGTCCATGCGTTGACATTACTCTCTGAGGTAAATATCATCAAGCTTTTTCACATGAACTTTCAAGTAGACAGTTTCATGATTAAAAATTAGCAAGTACTTTTTATAGAGGAGTTTTTAATTTGAGAAACTATTTTGTACTTTTAGAAATCACTATATAGAATTAACAAAGTTTTTGCCTTGTATGTATTTGGATTATTTAGTTTGCCAAACATTAGTGATAAATTTAGATATTGCTCCCCTTCTCCATGTTCTGTTCTTTTTTAAGTGTATGGGGGTTTTTTAGTTTTTGTTTTTGTTTTTGGAGACAGAGTGTGATTCTTGTTGCCCAGGCTGGAGTGTAATGGTGCAATCTCGGCTCTCTGCAACTTCCACCTCCTGGACTCAAGCGATTCTCCTCCCTCAGCCTCCTGAGTAGCTGGGACTACAGGCGTGTGCCACCATGCCCAGCTAATTTTTGTATTTTTAGTAGAGACAGAGTTTCATCATGTTGGCCAGGCTGTTCTCAAACTCCTAACCTCAGGTAATCCTCCTGCCTCTGCTTCCCAAAGTGCTAAGATCACAGGCGTGAGCCACAGCACGCAGCCTAAAGTGTACTGTTTAAGAAAGGAAAGTGCTTTTGTATCACTATGGTGGCGAGGGGTGGAGGTGATCTAATGATGCCTGTCACTATAATGTATTTTACAGTTTACCAAACATTTTTATGTACATTGTCTGACAGGCTCTTTTTATACCCTATTATACACATGGCATTTTGTTTCTTCTTTGCAGATGTAGCTAGTGACCTTTATAAAGATCAGAACAATAGGATGAAGGTGAAATAGCTGTTAATTGACAGTGTTGGGATTTGAACAGCCCAGTGCAATTGTTTGGGATTTTTTCTAAGCCATATTTTAGCTGAGTCAGGGAAAAAGAATACTGTAGTTCTAGTCCTAAATTCACTTTACTCACTGTCACAGAAGGTTCTTGAACTATTTTCTTTGTTTTACTTTCCTATCTCCATTGGTAATGGCAAGATTTAACCATATTTATATCCTACAGTAACAATATACAAAAAAGCTAGATGGTGGCAAAACCCATTAACATAAAAATGATTCAGGAGTATTTAATTTTAGATTTTTTAATTTCAAGTAGACAGGGTTCTCTAACAAACTGAAAATCAGTACTTTGGGATGATGTCAGTTTCAGTTCATAGGTTACTCTTCATTTTTATGTTTTTATAGGTTTTGGCTCATCTTTTGGATATGGTTTTCTATAGTGATGAAAAGGAGCGGGTTATTCCTTTACTTGTAAATATTATGCATTATGTTGTGCCCTACCTCAGAAATCACAGGTACTATTATTATTTAAATAGTTTTTTAAAATTAATTCATAGCCTGTTAGAAACAAGTTCTGTTCCCTTATTGCCATTTCTAGAATTTTTACAAAATGACATTATTTTTACCTTGAATTATAATTGTTTAAAAAAAATTCATGTTATTTTTCTTATGGTACTTTCTCTTTCATATCTTCATGTCACTGTCTTAGGTAAATGTGAACATTTATCTATAACTTGATAGAATGATTAAAGTTAGGACATACAGGTTAAGGTTGTTTTTCTTCTTCTTAGCGCACATAATGCCCCTAGTTATCGAGCTTGTGTCCAGCTGCTCAGCAGTCTTAGCGGGTATCAGTATACACGAAGAGCTTGGAAAAAAGAAGCTTTTGACCTCTTTATGGATCCCAGTTTCTTTCAAATGGATGCCTCTTGTGTTAATCAGTAAGTTTTTCTCTTGTTTGTATTCAGCATGATAATGTACCTCACAGTCTGCTGAAATCAGCTACTCTCTTGGACCGTCAGAATACTGTTCTTTAACAGCAACAACTAATCTTAATTACATGTTGTAACCGTTATCTCTTTCAGTTGGAGAGCAATTATGGACAATCTGATGACACATGATAAAACAACATTTAGAGATTTGATGAGTGAGTATTATGGGATGACAATCAATTTCTTTCCTGTGCATGATTCCTTCTTACTATTTACTCTTTTCTGGAGACTACTGAATTAGCTCTTTGTCAAGTTATACTTAGTACCCTATGGGAATATAATCTTAAAATTTACAGAGGACAATTTAAGTAGTAAATAATAAAACTATTTGTCCTTTTGAAGCAACTAGTGGAGGGAAGGGGCCGTCTCTAATTTGACTCTAAATTATTTCCTCAGCACACAGCATCATACCTCGCATATAATAGCACTCAATAAATAATTATTCAGTTAATGAGAGACTGACAGATGGTGAAGCATAGAAAGGCAGGCAGTTGAATCCAGCCTATCAGAAAAGTCACTTTAAATCTCTGGGGCTCTGTTTACTTCATCTTAAGGAAGAAAGAGGGGTGCCAAGAAGGACAGAACCACTTTCCATCCCCTCTTTCTAGTCTATCTTGATTGGGTTTATAATTTAGGATTCCATTTATAATTTCCATCTGAAAAAGTTTAGAAAATGTTTGAAAGTTACTAAATAAACTTAAATAGCAGTGGCATTATATGATTTCGTAATACTTTTTTTTAACAGATTCTTTAGCCAAAGCTACAGTTTTCTCATTTGGAAAAACGGCAGCATATCTGTTTTATCTTCATAGGGTTGTTTTAAGGTTCAAATTTATCCATTCAACAAATGTTTATTACAAGACAGCAGTGGGTCACGTGTTGTGCTAACCTTAATCAAATTTTAAAAAATTATTTCGTGGAGTAAGAAGTTGGGAAGAAAATAGGACAGTGTATGATGGATTTGAAACAACAGCTAAGCAGTTCATATTCAAGGTGAAACTAAAGAAGCCAACCATGAGAAGGCCTAGGGTCAGAATATTCCAGGAATAGGGAACAAAAATTACAAAGGTTGGCTGGGTACAGTGACTCACGCCTGTAACTGTAGCACTTTGATAGGCCAAGGCAGGAGGATTGCTTGAGGCCAGGAGTTTGAGACCAACCTGGGCAAAATAGCGAGACCCCTGTCTCTACAAAAAGAAAAAAAATTAAAAAATTAGTCTCAACTACTCAGGAGGCAGGAGGATTGCTTGAGCCCAGGTGGTTGAGACTGCAGTGAGCCATGATTGTGCCACTGCACTTCAGCCTGGGTAACAGAGCAAGATACCATCTCAAAAAAAAATAATGATAATAAATTACAAAGGTCTGGGGATGGGAGCAAGCTTGGTGCATTGAAGGTATGACAAGCAAGACAGTGCTGCTAAGCAGAATGAGTCGAGGGTAAGTAATGACATGAGGAAGGAGAAGGAGGTAGGCAGGGCTACACCGTAAAGTATTTTTAAAGTAATGAGAAGGATTTAAGCAGATGGCCTCAATTAATAAAAGGGTTTCCTTGGGGTTTTATAAAATGGTATTATTAGTGGTTTTACCTTCTAAAACCTACAGTTCTAAATTTTCTTCTCTACATCACAACTTCTACCCCTTTGGTCTCCTGGCTTATATATGCTGGATCTGTTTGCCAGTCCATCTGCCCCAGAGAGGGGCATCAAGTTTTGTACCCCAAGATCCTCTCAGTTTTGGATGTCCTAGAGCATCCAGCTATTTTTAATAACAACAGAACAATCTTTTTTCAAATAACAGTGTCACAGTCTCTTTTACTTGCTTTTTCAGCTCGTGTAGCAGTGGCTCAAAGCAGTTCACTTAATCTCTTTGCAAACCGTGATGTGGAGCTAGAACAGAGAGCCATGCTTCTTAAAAGATTAGCATTTGCTATTTTTAGCAGTGAAATTGACCAGTACCAGAAATATCTTCCAGATATACAAGGTAACAAATGAAAAACCCTTTATTTTCTCTAACTTTAGGTTTTTTGTTCCTTAGAAAATACTTCTCTAAATTCTAAGTTGGGGTAAAATATATAAAGTATAGATCAATGGGGAATTAGAAATTTTTCTACTGAAACAACAAAAATTATCAACTTGCTGGTATCTAAAAGAAATCATCACTGAGTTGTAGGACGTGCCTAAATGTGGTCTCTATTTTATTTAGTTCAAATTTCTTAGAAATTCATGTTTGAGGATGAGGTATAAGATGATTTTGCTGTTCAGCATGTTAGCATGTTTTCCTTGTGGACAAGAGTTTGTATAGTCTGAGAAGACCAAATTATAAGGCAAAGCCAGGAAACTGTGGCTAGAAGTAATATCCAGAGATCTGTGATTTGGGTACTGCATGGGAGATTATGTAACATTTTTGGTAACCTTCATCAAATGGGTTTGGTGAACTTCTGTGTCCAGAAGGATATCAGTACACACATCCTCACCCTGTACCACCAAACAGCTCCACAAGAAGGACTTATCCAGAGCAGAATTATTTGCTGCTCAAGTCGGCGTACTCTAAAGCCTCAAGCCTCAGTAGCTGACATGGGAACATGATAGTTGTCATCTCTCTAGGGAGAATTTTCTTTTGATTCCTTGTTTCCTAACCTTTTATGCCTAATTTCAGACAGCATGTACACTTTTTGTCCCTATGATTTTTTTGTTTAAGTTGACTAGATCATTGCTACTCAAAGTATGGTCCATGGACCAGTATCCGGTCTGTGATCCCATCCATAAGTACAGAAATTTAGAGTAAACATTTTAAACTTCTGCTATTTGACAGAATCTGCTTAATAAGAAAATGACATTTGTATTTTGTGTATCTTTAATTGGAGCTCTCTTATAATTCATTATTATATTTTATGAAAATACCCACAATAGTTTGGAATTTTTTTTAAGTTTATCTTTCACTACAGATCAGTTTGAGAGTACTGGATCAGCTGATATAGAAAGTTTTATGTGATAAAGATTATTTAGTTATTGAAAATGCTCTGCATGTCTTTCAGAGAGATTGGTTGAGAGTCTCCGTTTGCCTCAGGTGCCAACTCTTCATTCTCAAGTGTTCCTGTTTTTTAGAGTGTTACTTTTAAGAATGTCGCCCCAGCATCTTACCTCACTCTGGCCTACGATGATTACAGAACTTGTGAGTTAATTTTAATTCAATCAGATTATAAATCTAAATGATAAAACGGTGATTTGTTTCCACGTGCTTACCAGATAAAAAACAAATCTTGGGAGAGAAATGAACTATAGTCAAACCAGTTACATATTACTTTTTACAGTTGAAAATAGTAAAACAAGTCAGATTCCATTTCCATACAGTTGAAATTTACAAATATGCAAAGTAGGTGGATGGCCAGCTCCTTGTGAATGATTATTTTCTTGGATCTGGTTTAGTGTTTAGTCTGTACTACACTACATTTTTAACTCTGTCATGGCCTGCAGTCCTGCAGCTGGAGCCATTTACAATAGCTATAGCAATACCCCTAGCGATAGAGATAGCTGAGCTGGATTTAACTGCTCTGGCATATATTCACTCTTGAAGTGCAGCACCAGTTAAACTTACTTCAGAGACTTTCACAAAGATTTTGTAAACCAACAGACAGTAAAACCTTCCCAAGTCCCACCTACACCATTCTGTCCCCTTCCTCAAACCATATCCAGCCATCCTCCTTCTCATCAGAATGATTTGAGGAGTTAGGAAAGAGGAATGAGTAAAGAAAGGAAAAGGTGTCTGTTTCTCTGAAAATCTAGCTTTATACTTTCCCTACAAATATATTTGCTTCAGTACTTCTTTTCTTTTTACTTTTTTAATAATTTTGACTCTGTTCCATAATCACTAAAAACAAAAGCTTGCCTTCATCTCACTGGATTCCACCAAATGATTAGCAGGGCTCTATGTGGCTAAACTTGCAGTTTTACTTTCAGACACTAAGTATAATTTAAAAGATTCTTAAAGTGTATTCTAAAATTTGCTTTTGTGTTAATGAAAATATAACTTAAAGATAACTTGAAAGGATTAAATATCCAGTTTAAATAAACATTTAACATTTATTTCACCATTTTCAGGTACAGGTATTTCTACTGATGGAGCAGGAACTCACTGCTGATGAAGATATTTCACGGTAATATGTAATTTAAGTATATTCTTGTCCATCATTTAATATCCTGAAATTATTCAGAATATTACTCAGCATCTAGGAGAATATAGATAGTATTTTTCTGAATGCTTAGTCTATTATCTAGTTGATCACATTTGGATATAATGTAGTTTTACTTATTCCTTAAGCACTTTAGATTGAATTACACCATCAGCATTCATTGCCTCGGGCCCCTAGACACAAATTTAGTTTAAAGCAGTACAGTATTGTTTCAGCTACATGAGCTAGGTTGATTTGGATAAGTCAAATCTGGTCTCTGAAACATTGCAACATACAGCAAACTCTGTTACGGTAGGTAACCCGAAACCAGGCTATCCATATGTGCAGATCTTACAGACGGTCTCAATTTAATGTACTTTAATTTTATTCTTTTTAGTAGAGACAGTTTATTAATATATGACTAAATATAACTTTTTATACAAATTTTTACACAAATTTATAAATTGAAAAGTTCAAGACCAACTTGAATATATTTTCTTCTTCAGCAGATTTATAAAAAGGCTCTCCTTTACTAATAACTATGTTTATTATTATAGAGAACAGTCTTATCTTTGCAGAAATAAACTGAGTAGTAAAGAAGTTTCTTGCTTTTCAGTTTATATTTTTATATTTCTTGAATGTAATACAAGTATACAAGTTATGTACTACCTTTTTTTTTTTTGGTTTGGAGACAGGGTCTCACTCTGTCACCCAGGCTGGAATGCGGTGGTGTGATCATGGCTCACTGCAGCCGCAACCTCCCCGGCTCAGGTGATCCCCCCACCTCAGCCTCCTGAGCAGGTGAGACCACAGGTGTGTGCCATCATGCCTGGCTAATTTTTATTTTATTTTATTTTTTATAGAGACAGGGTTTCATCATGTTGCCCTGGCTGGTCTCAAACTCCTGGGCTCAAACGATCTGCCTCTTTGGCATCCCAGAATGCTGAAATTACAGGCATAAGTCACTGCGCCCAGTTTATGTACTGTTTTTACATTCTTAAAGAAGAAAAGTAAATTTTTGATTTGAAAAAGGTGACATTTCGTTATGACCTTGCTTAGCAATTACTGGCACATTTAACTCAGGATGATTATGAAAAATATTAGCTGGCACTTTTAGATCTTTCCAGGAATTCCTGAGTAAATGGGTCCAGCTGCTGATGGCACTGTCTCCTATTTACAGGACTTCAGGCCCCTCTGTAGCTGGTCTGGAGACAACATATACAGGAGGTAATGGCTTCTCTACTTCATATAACAGCCAGCGGTGGTTAAACCTCTATCTGTCTGCTTGCAAATTTTTGGATTTGGCTCTCGCATTGCCCTCTGAAAACCTTCCTCAGTTTCAGATGTAAGTAAAATCAAGGAAATTAAATGTGTATTTTTTAAAGTGCATTTGCTTTTGTCACTGACATCTATGACTAATTAAAAAGTTTTTTGTGTAAGTTGAAATATTAATAATTTTTAATAAAATGTAATTCTTTTGGCACAGCACCAGTTATTGGAAGTAAATGGTTGATGTGGATACATTAACAGGCTATTGGGACAACAGATTGATTACCCTCCAGTTGTAAGACAATAGGGTACATAACATACACATGCTTCAAATCCAGGGAAAGAGACATACGATTCAACACATGATAGAGATAGATACTGTGGTAGCTCACGTGCAAGACACAGTGAGGCCACATAGCAGAGATCCCTACTAGCTCTGAGGGTCAGAGCAGGCCCTCAGGAAAATCTTAACCTCAGGTGGTAAAGATTGACAACTGGGAGGAGGCACAACTGTGAAGACAGAAGCAGGAGCAGATATGATAAGTCTGAAGTGTGGAGAGACCAGTATTGATGGAGCAGAATGTTGAGACGAAACTGAAAGGGAACTAAACCATGTAAGACCTTCTCAGCTGTGTTAGAGAATTTGGACAGCTAAGGAAGGATGTGATTTTGTTAGGCTTGAATTTTAGAATGTTTATTTTGCCTATGTAGTGTGGAGAATGGACTGGAGATGGGCAAGACTAGAATGAAGGAGGCAGTTTTATCTTAGATGATAATGAATTAAACTGAAAGGAATAGAGGAAATGATAAAATTCTCACAATGCCTTGGTTCATAAGTGGCAAAAATATTTAATTATGGTTTTTCATATATAAATTTAAAAAATAATGGGCAAGCTATGTAAGATTGTCTTATCAAAATGTAGCTAAGGTAATAGAATTTATCCACAAGATCAAGTATGTATTAATATGACTTATTATATTGTGTCATATTTTTCTTCTGGAATGGAAATAATAGGATGAAGAGTATACTAGAGCTTTTTCTCTTTTTTATTTGGACATGCTTCAAAATTTGTTTCACAAGGTTACTTTTCATTACATTTAAGGGTAAGAACTAGAAATTACTTTTAGTCTATTTCCTTTAATTTTTCTCTTCTACTTGAAAACCATATATATCTATGTTTTGATGAATTTCATTGGTTGGTATCTGTTACACAGATGTTACTCCTAAGGAAGTCCAGAAAAGAATACTAAACAGAATTGTAGGAAAATGGCCAATATTAACCAAGATACTTAACTTCACAAAAGTGATAGAAACTCTATTCTGTGGTGCTTTTTGAGGGACATTAAATAGTATGCTCACGATACTGACTTTTTACCTTTCATGACAAGAACCAAAATGAATTTATCCTCTTGTCAAGATGTTACTACCAAAGGGAAGGAAACATGCCATTCTATTAACTAGTTTATTAAAAACTTTTGTCTTTCTAAAAATAACCTATAAAGTAGAAAATGTGAAGATTTTAATTATCTTGAAAGAGTAGTATCTTAGCATGATCCATATTTGGAAAGTTCAAAGTATTTGATAAGTTTACTATACGTAAGTTTAAAAGTAGCCATGTAACTAAACGGTACTATAAAGTTTGAAAGATAGCAATGAATTGGCAAAAGATATTTTCAATGTATATGACACAAGTCTAAAATGCTTTATAAAAATAACTTGTTAGAAAAATGGGCCAATGAGCAACACAGTTAATAATTTATAGGATGGTTTCCAAACATAGGAAAAGCTGCTCAGTTGCTCTCCTGAGTTTCCAATTAAAATTACAGATAACCAGTTTACTGTCTAGGAATGACCAGGAAAAGGTGGTGAGGACTGACTCACCTCTGAGGACTGACTCACCTCTGAAGACTGTGATCATCAGTCAGGTTCCCACTGAGAGCACTCCATGACCTGCCGTGGCCCCCACTCCATCCCTTATATGCATCTACCACGATGCCTATCTATCTTCTACTAGTGGCCGGAAGACTCTTAATGCCAAGGGCCATGAGTTATTATCTATTGTCAGTTTCCTCCTCAAACAATGGCTTAGAAAATGCTGACTTAACTGACTGATAAACTGGGCTAAAATATTAAGTAGACAGAAATTAAACAGAAAAAAAAACCCATATTAAATGGCAAGGTGGATGGTGGTGGTGGGGGTGCTCTAAGATCAAGACATGGAATGAAGGTGAAGGAAAATAATAAAGCAGAGGTCTCAAAGAGTATGATGTGCTCCCACAATTGCAAATGATGTTTCCTGGGTGGAGTGTTGGGTTGGAACCACTGAAAAGGTGGGCAAAGCCTAGTAGAGAACCAGTGCACCTCAGGTTATATATGGTGGGGTTGGGGCAAGGGAGGGTTCACAAATTGGCAAAGCAGCCCTGTAGGCTTCAAAGAACCAGTGTAAGCCAACTAAAAGGAACTGAAAACCTAGGTGTTAAACAGTCTTCACAGTCTCATGTAGACCAAAATGCTGATCATTTTTGAGGCTGTTTCAGAAAGTGTCAGTATGATTATAATTATTTGTATTTTGCTTGTGCTGTTTTTGTTTTTCTTTTGTCATTGTGATGATCTGTGTGTTTTATGGGGTAGAGTGAATTTGTCTACTTTGGCTATAAAATATCCTAACAACATTGTGGATAGGTGTACTTTATTTGGAAGAATAAAAAGGATCATACAGTTAAAAAAAAATTACAGATAACCATCAGCATGGTAAAGATCTAAAAATGGCTTTCATTTTATGTTTAGTAATAGATGCATTCTTACTCTTTTGGAAGTATACACTGATATTGTCCAATATGATTCAGAGGTTATATTTACCAAAATTTAAAATATTATTTTCTTTAAGCCTATAATTCTGCTAATCCAAGGATTTATCCTGCCTCTGTACTCTCAGATATGCACAAAAATAAGCATTACATAAGGGTATCCATTGTGGCACTTTTCTAAGTGCAAGAGACTGGACAATCTAGGAGATTGGCTGTGGTGTGTACTACTATGTTGCTGTTAAAAATAATGAAGTTTTATATGATGCAGAATTATCTCCAAGATAATTAATATCAAATAAATTACATCAGAAATATCCTACATGTATGATTAAATCAAAACAGGCAGCAGTCATTTTTTTTTTTTAAAGGAGAGGGTTGGTTGTGTGAGTATGTACTCTTCTGGGCATAAACTCTCTGGAAGGGCTTAGGAAGCTGACAACATTGATGGATCCTGTGTGGGGAGGAGACTACCTTTCTTTGGTATGCCCTTTTATACTGTTTGAATTTTTCCCATGGTCAGATATTATTTAGTTATAAAGACAAAAACAAAAATACAAGTGTAAAAAAAGTCTTACTTAAAGTTTTCTTAAATTCATTCAATTTTTTACTCCTTTACTGTGCAGCTAGGGAACATTTGGCCAATTATATGTTGAAAAATCAAGTCTTTGTCAGACTGTTATGTTACAGTACAAAGAGATAAGCTATATGAAAAAAAATTTCCTTTAAAGGACTTTTTGCCTATTAGCTATGAGAAAAGAAACATTTGTTGAGTACTTGATTTGTGCTAATGAAAAAAGTAATGATAAGAGTACTTTACAAGTTTTCATATCCTTTATTCCTTACAACCCTATGAGGTAGTTAATAGTATCTTTATTTACTGATGAAGGCTCAGAGAGGTTACGAAACATACCCAAAGTGACAAGGCTACAAGTGGTACAACTGGCATTTGGATTTTTATAAGCAGTGGGGTCATGATCTTTCTACTACATTATGTGGCCTTATCTTAGATGGCATAAAGTCTGCCTTACTGATGCTGATGTCATTATTCTATACATAGGTACCGATGGGCCTTTATTCCAGAAGCCTCAGATGATTCAGGTTTGGAAGTCAGAAGGCAGGGTATGCATCAACGAGAATTTAAACCTTACGTGGTACGACTAGCAAAACTTCTTCGGAAAAGGGCAAAGGTATTGCATTTTTTTGTGGTTGTTTTGTTTTACATTACTACATGTTGCATTAGTGAAGTATTTATTAAATACTTCATGGGAAACAACATTATCAAGTTCAGCTATTTTGAAAGCAAGTCCCTCGTTTTGTGAATTAATGTCCGTAAGATTCATATTTCTGGACATTAGAAAACATATGTATTTTAAAGGAATATGTGGTTATAATTTTTTTAAAGAAAAGAAAAAGGAAGTCTTTTCTACATTAATAGCATCTACCTTAAAATATTTTCCTCTCAAAAAAGAAAATAACTTTGGAACCATACACATGAGTACTTAAGACTGTAATCCTGAACAGTGTTCACGTCAAAAACTTGAGAATGTACTATATTCATAGTGTTCATCTTAACACCGTGATGAGAAACAGGAAAATATAACTTGAGAAAAATCAATACAAAAGGGATTTTTAGAACCTGTCAGACTTGTTTCAACAGAACTAATCAATGGGTAAGAAAATTATACATTTTAAATTTGTAAAAAAAAGAGTGAAATTTCATTAAAATTGAATGAGCTAGACATCAGTCCAAACAAAGGAAATAATCAGCATTCATTCTGTTTATATGAAATAAAATGTATATGCTAAAAATTCATTTTCCAAGTGTTCTTCATTTTCTGACATTAAGAAATGCATTCCTTATCCAATACGGTTATATAACCGAATCTGAAGTTTCACAGAACCATTCTGGCCCTTAACATGTGAGGTATTTTCCTTTTTGTAGTTCACAGTGATGATGCTGATTACAGATCTGAAGACATCCCCAACCTGCACTTTTTAAAACACTGCTTGAAATTAAACTGGCTCTACAACTCATTAATATAAAGCATCTTCTTAGAGAAATTATATAAGGTGAAAAGTAGGAATTTACTTAAAACATATACCATTAAAAAGTGTAGGAAAATAAAACTTGTAAAATATGTTATATCTTAACATACTTTTTATCTTCCCTAATCATGCTAATTTATTACAAATCTTTTCCCAAGAACCTACCAGCAGTGACACTGGTATGCTCGCTACTGGGCTTTGTTACTAACCTTTTGTCAGATTTTCTTTTGCATTCAACAAATTTCTAAAACAAATTGTACAATTTAGGAGTGATCTTGGTTGGTTGGTGAGCTCTAGTCTGCAGTGTGTGCTTTGAGTGCTCAGATATTTTCCAGTTTTCTGGAGTCCTTCTAATCAGGCAGCAGCTCTTAAAACTGAATTCCATAAACTATAGATATGGAATGGAAGAAAGTGATTAAAGAGGTTTTACTGGAAGAAATTTACATGAGAAACTTGATTTAAATTCCCAGTTGCTTCTGTAGGGGATTAATAAAGGGACAGGGATGAGGATGAAAGCTGGGTCCTGAGTTTAGAATAGGACTTTGGTACTTTCACTTTGATATTTCAGAGTTTGGGCAAGTAATCATGACAGATCTAGAAGCAAATATGACCCTAGCCACATGTCCATTCTGTTATGCCTGCCTTTCATTAGTAATGAGAATTTTTATAAGACCCCCTCCTTTATCTAAATAATAAATATGACAGTCTTTTGCCAAAATTTGTCCCACAGAGTAAGAAAAAATTATTTTGATTGAAAGGCATCTTCCCATCCAGATCACTTTAACCAAGGTCTTCATGGCCAAGCATACTTTTCACTGGAACAAAGGCTGTGAGTTCTCCTCTTTCCTTCCGCAGGACAAGGAGGAGGACTTTAAGACAGTGGTTTTGGAGGGATTGGAGATGGCCAAGAATCAGGTGAGGGTGGCAGTTTCATACTTATGATATGGCAGTAAAAGTTGCCAAATACCGAGACACAAACCCAGGTCTGAATGTCAACAAATGTAAGAGGTAAACAGGAAGGAAGTCTTTTTTCAAGTGTAGGTTGGTGAAGTCCAAGGAGAAATCATTTGTATGGAAATGTTTGACTTTAAATACTGAAATGATAGATATAGTTCTGATTAAGAGCATCAGAAGCTCTGAATCAAGTGTATTCTTGTCAAGAGCTTAATAAAAGTCCTTCTGTTAAAGGCTCATCTTGTTAAGAATATAAACAAAAGGTTTCCCCATAGTTTCTATATAGAGGGTAGAAGGATATTATTCATTTTCCTTCAGGATAAAGTCATCTCTGTACACTGTTGTTGAATTGCAGTTTGATTTAGGGGATTAGAGTCAGTATGGTACCAGTACTTGAGTAATAGTTGAAATGTGAAAGTCACAGAACTCTCATTGTTGCCAGTGTCAGTTAAGAAAGAAAGATAGTTTCGTATAACCTATAATCTAGACTGGAAGTTAAATAATTACTAAGAAGCAAACTTAAGTGATAGCTATTGAGTTTTATGGTTTTTGACCAGAGACAGATAAAGTAGGTAATCTTTTCTTGGTTCACTCCTGGATTCTTCCATTTTAACATAAATCTTTAGTTTAGTCCAAAAGTAACTGCGGTTTGGTACCTTCAATTTTAAATCATTATAACTAGGTACAAACAAATCTTTATTAATCAAAATAGGAACCATTACAATCAACACATTTCTGTCAACAACAAGTAAGTTTGTTTCTATAGCATAAAAGTCCATGCTTCCAAATTTGACGAATTCTTAGAATGCATTTACTGCATCCTCTTAGTTGGGGAAGCATTTTCCCTGCAGAAAGCTGTTGAGATGCCTGAAGAAGTGGTAGTTGGTTGGCAAAAGGTCAGGTGAATATGGCAGATGAGGCAAAACTTCGTAGCCCAATTAGTTCAACTTTTGAAGTATTGGTTGTGTGATATGTGCTCCAGCATTGTCATGGAAAAGAATTTCCGTTGGCCAATGCCGGCTGCAGGCATTGCAGTTTTTGGTGCATCTTACTGATTTGCTGAGCATACTTATCAGATGTAATGGTTTGACTTGGATTCAGAAAGCTGTAGTGGACAGCAGACCACCAAACAATGACCATGACCATTTTTTGGTGCAAGTTCAGCTCATTGTCAGTCGTATAAAATCCACTGTTTGTCGCAGGTCACAGTCCAGTCAGGAAATTATTTGTTGCACAGAATAGGGAGGATGACACTTCAAAACGATTTTTTCTTTTTCACTCAGCTCATGAGGCACCCACTTACTGAGCTTTTTCACCTTTCCAATTTGCTTCAAATGCTGAATGACCATATAATGGTCAATGTTGAGTTCTTGGGCAACTCTCTTATAGTTGTAAGACAATTAGCTTTGATGATTGCTCTCAACTGATCGTCAATTGCTGATGGATGGCCACTGTGCTCCTCATCTTCAAAGCTGTAGTCTTTGCAAAACTTCTTGAACCATCACTGCATTGTATCAGAACTGTATGTTTGTTAGCAGTTCCTAGGCCAAATGCATTGTTGATGTTGCATGTTGTCTACTGCCCTATGACCAATTTTGAACTCTAAGAAAATGACTCATTTGATTTTTGTCTAATATCATTTCTATAGTCTAAATATAAATAGCAGTAAGTAATTAGCATAAAAGTGAGAAATGTGCTTAAAATGATGTATAATATAACCAAAATTTAAGAACATACTCCAACATAAAACGGCAAATTTCAACAATGCAAAAACCGCAGTTTTACGTTGCCAACTTAGTATTTTCCTTTTTCAGGATTTTACTTTAAGCAACAAGCTTGAGAGCACATAGAAGAAAAGCTGGATTTTGTATCTGCTTTACCCACTAGGAAACTAGTGATAATAAATTATTAGGTAAACAATGAGTTTCTCAGCAACATCTGATCTTAGAAGGCACACTCCATTTGTTAATATGACAGATAATAATTCTGCTTCCTAAGTCTTCATTATTTCTTCCATCTGTCTAGTTCACTGCTTATTTTCATTATCCTTAGTGTGGTATTGTATCTGTGATTCTGCCCAAGTTCAACCAACCTCAGTTGTCTTGTATCTTTCTCTAGACAGAATGATGTTTGTGGCTGTGTTTGTGTAATTCAGGTGGCTTCTTAAACTAGCCTCTTAATACACAAATTATTTGTTTATATCTAATGGACAGTTTTCATTAACCTTCTCATAGACTGTCCCATTTTATAAGTAAGGTACCTTTGTGTATCAGGGATATCACAAGTATGGCAGAGTCAGTACACTAACCCAATTCCTTTGACTCCAGGTCCAGCTTTCCTCCCTGTGTTGTTGAGCACAAAGAAAGAAAAAGCAGTGTCTCTCCTGAGGGATCCCTTCCTTTCTCTGTGATGCAGGACTGACAGTAATTCTGCACTCTGGACACTGCTACCATCAAAGCAAATTTAGGCCATTTGGATAAATGGGAATTAACTAATTATAATAAAAGGGGATGTATAAAGCTCTTCATTCCTTTTTTCTGTAGTCATTTTGTGACCTAGTCCGTGGTTATATACATTAGTGAGAGTTCAGAAACCTGGTACAGGAGCTCTCAGATACATAAAGCAAGTTCTTAATGATAAAAAAAAAAAAAAAGAAAGAAAGAAACCTGGGTGCTTTTTGAGTAAATACAAAGCACAACATAAAACTTTTTTGTTTGACTCTAATCGTGTTCAAAGCTATTTGTTAACTAAGCTTATCTGTCCATTCTAGTTGGGAACTATTACTACAGTGTTAGACTGCTCCATATAAAACTAATAGATGACACTAAAAGGTCTCAGAAGCACCAACGGTTTTGATCAGGTCAGGAGTAGAAACCTAATGTCATTTATGTTCATTCCTTGGCCAACTGCCAATGCTTATATCTTTTTAATTTTTCTAACACACCACATTCTTAATACCAATTCACTTTTTGTTTTCTGCAGAAAAATCCAGAAGAAGACAACTCAGGGAGGACGTTGGGTTGGGAGCCAGGGCACTTGCTGCTCACCATCTGCACCGTGCGCAGCATGGAGCAGCTTCTGCCATTCTTCAATGTGCTCAGTCAAGTCTTCAACAGCAAAGTCACAAGCCGATGTGGAGAACACTCAGGAAGTCCCATCCTCTACTCAAATGCCTTCCCTAATAAAGACATGAAACTGGAGAACCACAAACCATGTTCCAGCAAAGCCAGGCAAAAAATAGAAGAGATGGTAGAAAAAGATTTTCTGGAAGGGATGATAAAAACTTGAGCACCACTGGTGGTTCCATTTAGCTTACATGTAAATGTAATTATTTAAAACAAACACACTGCTCTGAGTTGTATAGTTTTTCTTTTTCTTTTTTGTATGTAACAAAACACATTTCAGGTTGTATTTAAGTTAAATATTTGTAAATAAGAGCAAATGTCTGAGCGTGGCCTGAATCAAGTTTAAATATTGTTGGCTCATATTGATTATGGTGCCTAAGAGAGCTATATATACATGTAAAGTCCATTGTTTTTATTGTCCTGAGTTGTCTTAAACCTGCAAAATATACACCACACATTTTTTCCATTGGTTTCAGGTTTGGTTTAATATAAGATTGGTTGGGGATTTTTCTCTTTCTTTGCCATATTAACCGTGTTCTGATATCAGAGTGGTGTCCCTTCTCCATCAGAGGCTGGGAAATGTATTACAATTAGTTTTCTCCCACATACCTTCACCAAGAGCAGTTAAGAATAACTAAAGGCTGGACCATGCATCCTTCTAAGTATTGCACGAGCATCTCCACCTCAGTATGTAGGGGGAATGGACAACCCCCTCCCTATTCACACCTCTGAGTTCCTGATGGCATCAGTCATATAGGTAAGTCATATAATAATCTTTCTTAAAACTGCAATGGAAAAACTGGTTATAAGTCTTCTCCACCTTCTCCATTTGTATCAGAAATGGGAAATGCTGTAAAACATCATCTTGCTCATATGATGGCAATGACAAAGATGCACAAAAAGTTAACAAGATTTAATTTTCCAGTAGTCTGCATGAGTTTTTCCCACATACAACTGTTGGGTTAGTGATTGAATTGTATACTTAAACCCCAATATTTTACATTAGTGAGAATCAGATGAGAGGTATATTTCTTTAATAAGTGTAAGGCTTACCTATTTATAAAGAATTATTCTGGTAGTGTTTTAAGAATAACAATCAGACCTAGAGACAAGTAGGGGTGCACTGTAAACATTATGATAAATCTATTAGTATTGCCATTATTGACCGCTTTGTAAAGACTTTTAAAAAGTCCAGTTTCTCGGGATTATGAAAATAATCTTCAGAAACCTGGTTGGGGTCTTTCTCCAATTCCTCCAGCCAGCTGAAATACTGCCAAGCTCACTTCATGTGCAAGGTGATCTGCACTTTCCTGCAAATTACATTAAAAGAGATTAGATGAGAAAGACATAGAATGTGTGTAACGTGTAAGACCATGTTACTTGGACTTCTGGGGGAGAGAAGGGTGATTCTTGATTTTGTTTCACAAATTCTAATGAAAATCTTTTTTCATCTTTCAGTAACAAATTCCAAGTCCTTTAAAAAAAAAATGGAAAACAGGCCAAATTTTTCCAAATAAGGTAAGTTTTTAATTAATTCATATTATAAAAATAGCTTTCATTCTAAAACTGAAAAATTCAATAATACCATAGTCCACAATTGGCCTAACAGTAACTATTGCTGCCTCAGTTGCCATTATCCTCATCCATCATGGATATTCATTCGACTCTGAAATGGCTTAAGCTTCTTTAAAAAGCTGACAGGTCCAGACGGGTTCACAGCCGAATTTTACCAGACGTACAAAGAGGAGCTGGTTCCATTCCTTCTAAAACTGTATCAAACAATACAAAAGGAGGGAATCCTCCCTAACTGATTTTATGAGATCAATATCATCCTAATACCAAAACCAGACAGAGATTCAACTAAAAAAGAAAACTTCAGGCCAATGTCTATGATGAACATCAACACAGAAATCTTCAATAAATACTGGCAAACTGATTGCAACAGCACATCAAAAAGCTTATTGATCATGATCAAGTAGCTTGATCCCAGGGATGCAAGGCTGGTTCAACATACCCAAATCCATAAACATAATCCATCACATAAACAGAACCAAAGACAAAAACCACATGATTATCTCAATAGATGCCGAGATGACCTTTGACAAAATTCAACAGCCCTTCATGTGAAAACTCTCAATAAACTACGTTTTGATGGAACGTATCATGAAATGATAAAAGCCATTTATGACAAACCTACAGCCAATATCATATTGAATGGGCAAAAACTGGAAGAATTCCCTTTGAAATCAGGCACTAGACAAGGATGCCCTCTCTCACCACTCCTATTCAATATAGTATTGGAAGTTTTAACCAGAGCAATCAGGCAAGAAAAAGAAATAAAGGGTATTCAAATAGGAAAGGAAGAAGTCAGACTGTCTCTATTCAGAGATGACATGATTGTGTATCTAGAAGACCCCCATTGTCTCAGCCCAAAATCTTTTCAAACTGATAAGCTACTTCAGCAAGGTCTCAGGATACAAAATCAATGTGCAGAAATTACAAGCATTCCTATATACCAGTAACAGACAAACAGAGCTAAATCAAGAGTGAAATCCCATTCACAATTGCTACAAAGAGAATAAAATACCTAGGAATACAACTAACAAAGGATGTAAAGGATCTCTTCAAGGAGAACTACAAACCACTGCTTAACAAAATAAGAGAGGACACAAACAGATGGAGAAACATTCCATGCTAATGGTTGGGGAGAATCACCATTGTGACAATGGCCGTACTGCCCAAAGTAATTTATAGATTCAATGCTATCTCCCATCAAGCTACCAATGACCTTCTTCATAAAACTGGAAAAAACTATTTTAAACTTCATATGGAATGAAAAAAGCCCGCATAGCCAAGACAATCCTAAGCAAAAAGAATAAAGCCTAAGGCATCATACTGCCTGACTTCAAACTATACTACAAAGCTACAGTAATCAAAAGAGCATGGTACCCAAACAGCAACACAGACCAGTGGAACAGAACAAAGGCCCAGAAGCCATACCCCACATCTACAACCATGTGATCTTTGATAAACCTGACAAAAACAAGCAATGGAGAAAGGACTCCATGTTTAATAAGTGGTGTTGGGAGAACTAGCTAGCAACATGCAGAAAGCAGAAACTGGACCCCCTCCTGTCACCTTACACTAAAATTAACTCCAGATAGATTAAAGATTTAAACATAAAACCTAATGCCATAAAAACACTAGAAGAAAACGTAGGCAAAACCATTCAGGACATAGGCGTAGGCAAGGAATTTATGACCAAAACACCAAAAGAATTGGCAACAAAAGCCAAAAGAGACAAATGGAATCTAATTAAAATTCAGAGCTTCTGTACAGCAAAAGAAACCATCAGTAGAGTGAACTGGCAACCAACAGAATGGGAAAAATTTTTGCAGTCTACAAAGAACTAAAACAGATATACAAGGAAAAAACAAACCCATTCAAAAGTGGGCAAAGGGTATGACCAGACACTTTTGAAAAGAAGACATATATGAGGCCAAGAAACACATGAAAAAATGCTGATCATCACTATTAGAGAAATGCAAATCAAAAGCACAATAGATACCATCTCATGCCAGTTAGAATGGCGATCATTAAAAAATCTGGAGACAACAGATGCTGGAGAGGATGTGGAGAAATAGGAACACTCCGACACAGTTGACGGGAGTGTAAATTAGTTCAACCATTGTGGAAGACAGTGTGGCGATTTCTCAAGGAAGTAGAGATAGAAATTCCATTTGACCCAGCAATCCCATTACTGGGTATATACCCAAAGAACTATAAATCATTCTACTATAAAGACACATGCACACCTATGTTCATTGCAGCCCTGTGTACAATAGCAAAGATCTGGAACCAACCCAAATGCCCATCAATGATAGACTGGACAAAGACAATGTGGTACATATACACCATGGAATACTATGCAGCCATAAAAAACAATGAGTTCGTATCCTTTGTAAGGACTTGGATGAATCTGGAAGCCATCATTCTCAGCAAACTGACACAAGAACAGAAAACCACCATATGTTCTCACTCACAGGTGGGTGTTGAACAATGAGAACAGGTGGACTCAGGAAGAGGAGCATCACACTGGGGGCAGTTGTAGAGGGATAGGGGAGGGTGGAGAGGGATAACATGGGGAGAAATGCTGGATATAGCATACACCTAAAGTAAAATAAATAAAAAGTGAAGAAAAAAAAGCTGCCAGGTCGTGTATAAATTACTTGGAAATGTCTCCGAGTCCCTGTTCAGTGCACTCACTGTACTCTGCCCTGGCTTTGCAGGCACTTTAAAGAGTATGTGAAGTGGGCAAATAATAAAAATCCATATGACAAGTCTTGAGCCCTTTCGGGAAAACAGAGGCACATAGTAAGGCTGTTCATTTAAAGGAAATATTTTGTAAAACAAATCAAGAATCCAGAATGCTATCAGTTGACTTAAAAATGAACTACAAAGTTGGTTGTTTTCATAACCTCATAAGATTATATTTTTAAAAGAAGAGAAAAGGATCTTCTACCTTATAAAGCAACTGTTATTCCTGCCAGTTAAAAATATGACACTTTCAGGAAGTCTAGAATAAGTCAAAAATATTTGGGGAAATAAACTAAGTGGGTCTAATTTTGTTCAAATATATATTTACTGAAAATTTTGTAGTCTTAATGTGAACCTAAAAGGCTCAACAAAATAAAGCCTTAATCATCATAGTAAGTGAGATTCTAAACACTATTAAAATAGTTTGCCTCCCCATCACCTAATATTAGGCTCTTTTTCAATATAACTATCCTAGCTTACTTGTGAGTCTGCTTCTGCATATACTCGGACGACATCTTCTGTACCAGAGGGCCGGACAAAAGCTCGCGAAAGCTTGTACTTCTTCACCAGGTCATTGATTGCCTCCTGCAATCCTGGGGGTGTAACTGCTTGTCTTTCAGCATTGGTAGTGCTAATAACTCTTCTGTCTGCAACCTAAGTGCAAGCATTTCATATTTGTTACTAGATTACACTTTTTTTCAGAAGCTTAATCTGTTAAAGTCTACCAAAATATTTTCACAGTAATAAACCTACATTTCAATTTATTGTACCACAAAATACAACACTGAGATAGTAAAGTCTCAGACCAACTATAAAATTACAATAAAACTTCGTAAGTATTTCTCCAAGGTCAGGGTAACTAATTTCAACACTTAAACAACTTTTCTCCTCTTTAGTCTATAAAGAATTACCTTTAGCAAAAAAGTATTTCCACAGACACTTGGAGTTACCACTAAGATAATGGCCAGTAAATACAATATGACCTTAAGTCCCATCATCACACATAAAAACAAGATAAGTGGCCCATTATATAAGAAAACTGATGGGAATCTCTTAACTATGCCAAAAATAATCTGAACAATCAATAGCCATTTCTGGCTTTCACAAATTCTGTTGCTATATAAACTGGCATAAACATGTACAGAAATCAGCAATTCATCTGAGTTCTCTCCCTCAGGAAGTACTCTGTGAACTAAACATAATGCAGAGGAAGTACTTTCACTTGAAATAACAGGGTATCTGAGTTTTGCTTCAAAATAATGTCGGGGCCAGGCACAGTGGCTCACACCTGTAATCCTAGCCTTTTGGGAGGCCAAGGGAGAAGGATCACTTGAGCTCAAGAGTTCGAGATCAGCCTGGGCAACATCATGAGACCTTGTCTCTAAATAAAACAAAATATATAGAAGAACATTGGGTGGGGGTATGGTGAATGTATAGGGCAATAACTGAAATCTGTTGAAGCCGGGTACATAAAAGTTCATTGTTTTGTTTATCTACATGTATATTTAAAATTTTCCATAATAAAATCTTCTTTTAAAAGTGATGCAGTCATTCATAGTATTATGTAATAAAGTTGGAAACCAAATACTTCTTAAACAATAGAATGGTTAAGTAAATGAACTTACTCTATAATTTTTTTTAAGCTATAAGAGAATATAGTTAGCTATCACTTATTTTCTAAGGCCTTATTTTCTATGTATTATGTGTTAATGTATAGAATGATGTATACTTAGGAAACATTTGTCAGTGAGATATAGTAAGAACTGGGATAATAGGTTTTACTTAGCTAATATTCAGAGAAGTTATTTTACAGTTTGTTTCTCTCACACCTGAACTTTAAGTTGTCTGTTTGGAAGATCTGTATAAAGAGCATCCCACTGTTGTACAGTCAAGCCCTTCAGAGCCAAGATTGCCTCAATCACCAGCATGTCAGAAATAGCATCACCAGCTGCCTGCAAAATGGGGAAACAAAGTCTAAAGAAACCACTTAACACAAGCAAATCTTGGAAACTGATGTTTTGTCTTAGAAAACCAATCAATCACAGTACAGGTTGAACATCATGAATCTGAAACATTTTAAGCACCAAAATAACATCACAAGTGAAAAATTCCACACTGACAGGTCAGTCAAAATGCAGGTACACAACTGCCAGGTATGGTGGCATAAACCCACAGTCCCTGCTACTCAGGAGGCTGAGATGGGAATGATTACTTGAAGCTAGGAGTTTGAGGCTGCACTATGCTGTGATAATGCCTGTGAATAGCCAGCACACTCTAGCCTGGGCAACATAGTAAGACCCTGTCTCTTAATAAAAAACAAATGTACTCCTGACTGTGAGGTCAAAACCAGCCTGGCCAAAATGGTAAAACTCCATCTCTATTAAAAATACAAAAATATATTAGCCAGGTGTGGTGGTAGGCACCTGTAATTCCAGCTGCTCAGGAGGCTGAGCAGGAGACTGGCTTCAGCCTGGGAGGCAGAGGTTGCAGTGAGCCAAGACTGCGCCACTGCACTCCAGCCGGGGCAACAGAGCAAGACTCCATCTTGAGGAAAAAAAAAAAAAGGCCCACAGTTTATTCAGCATCCCCAAGGGAAGAAGACGACCTTCTCAGCTTCCTTCTGCTATGACATATCCTTTCCATGCATGCCAGATATGTATCATATTTTTTACTATTAAATACTTGTGTGTGAGTAAGTGTTAAAAAAATGACTGTTTATTGATAGCATATAAATTCAGTCAGGAATGATGCTAATGCCAAACCACCACAGATTGTCCAATGGGTGGCTGAGAGTGACACTTTTGCTTTCTCATGGTTCAGCAGACATGTTTCATGCACAAAATTTACAGTATTCAATGAAATCACCTTTAAGCTTATGCAACATATATGAAACAAAAGAATTTAGTGTTTACACTTGAGTGCCATACCCAAGATGTCACATTATATATATGCAGATATCCCAAAATCCAGTGAATCTGGAATCTGAAACACTTCCAGTCCCAAGCATTTTGGATAAAGGATACTTGCCCTGTATACCGTGCTTTCTCACATGCAGCATGATTAATTGAAGTGTTTTTGTGGATGGATGAGTATGAATAATGATGTAAAAATCTCCATGGAAGACAATGGAGTATACAAAGAATACTGAAAGTAGCTCTTGAGAAATTTGCCTTTAGTACTCATTATCTATGAAATGAAATTAGACTGGATAACTGTAAGGCTCAGCCTAACATTCCATCACTCATTTTTCTTTATAATTAGATCCTTTTTGAGCTATTACCCCACAACAATGGATAGCATCATGGTAAAATGGAGAAACATGAGCTTTGGTGTAAAAGACGTAACTGATGATAGACCTCTTTTTTTACCCTATAGTAATTCTCTCAGCCCTTGTTTCTTCACTTATAAAATGGGAATTACAGTAATAACCTCTCCCTGTGTTACTGCAAGGATTACACAGGTATATAAAGTATCCAGTGTGTGCAAGACACTCAAATGACTGAATCACTTTCCTCCATCCTGAGTATCAAAAGACACCCCAACCCCAAGTCTCTAACCCACATATATGTCCTTTATCAATGAGACAGCCAGTTATTTTTACTGAATTTCCTCGAGGTTTGGCTAAAAAAATTTAATAATATGTATGTATGTATACACTCAGTAGCTGGATCTGTGATCCTAGGTAGAAGCTACCCAATATACTTAATTTGCCATCATAAGTACAGGGGAAGGGAAGCATATTAAAAATGTTCTGTCATTTCATTTCAGTATAAATCTCAACTGAATATACCACTATTGCAAGGAAGCTACCGGATGTCTCCACATTAATTTTGTGTGCAGCCACACTCTGTTCTGTCCATCTTCTGAATAATGTAAAGGTAACCAAGAGTACACTGCCCTATCAGTTCTTACCTGGTTAAACAAGTCAATAATGTTTTCAAGCATCTTAGCAGCTTTTCTTTTCTTTTCCTCCAGTTGTTCTGATTGTTTTATCTTCATTTCAACAGCCGTACTAAACAATGCCTGCAGCCAAACCATACAAAATCATTCTCAAAACACTATCCATGCCCTAATCATAAGTAGTAGTATTCTACCCAACCCGCTTTTCTATCTTAGTGAATCTGGAGAAACTGAGGGGAAAAATAGTGGGAGCCTTAAAATGTATGAAATTAATGTAAGATCACATAAGAACCCAAAGATAGTACTAGGGAAAAAAATTTTATTGTGGATTATGTAACTGGTAATAAAAATTTAAACATGTGATTACAAAGAAAACACCACTGTGACAAGAGGTGAACACACACAATGAGTTCATGTTTTCCCTTCAACCAGCTACATCACTTCTGTGCAACCAGGTTACTTAGAGCCTGTCTATATTCTTTTTACTTTGAAGGATATAATTCACTGCAGCTAGTGCAGTTTTATTCTAAAACTTAAGGGTATGAGCTAGGCAAAATCAGAGAGTTCACAATATTTATCAAAATACAGCAAACAGTGCCATGGACAGTTATTACAATATATAATATAGATGCTTCTCAAGAGTCTCATCTCATTTGGAAACACCATCTTTTTTTTTTACTGTCTTCAAGAGGCCTAATACTAAGCAAGATTAGCATACTATGCTCAACTACTTGATAAAATAACAGTTTTCTTGAAAAAATAAGGCACAGGCTAGTCACTTATTTTTGTAAAGTTTTACTGGAAGACAACCACACCCATTCATTTAAGCTAGAGCAGCAGAGTTGAGCAGCTGCATCAGAGACCTTATGGCCCGAAAATCCAAAAATATTTACTGTCTACCTTTTAAAAAATAATTTACCAACTTCTCCTACTAGATCACTGAAGTTATGTCTTAATTGCATTTTGTAGGAACTTATTTTTCCCCTTTTTATATTTATGCCCTCCAAAAGCCAATTTTAAATTGTTGAGGAAAATTATTTGGTTTATGCTCAAATGTCCTATTAGCCACCTCAAGTGCATTTGTTAAATGAGGTCAGTATAAAAACATTTTTAAAATATTCTGAACATCATGAATCTACTAAGAACTACTTAAGTATACACTTTAAAATGTAATTTTATGTAAAATGTGAATTTGACATTATATAAGTTGAAATGTTTTTCAAATACTAAGAAAGCCATTAAAAAATTTCATACGCCTATCACTAAATTCATTTTCACTTCTTTTTATTAATTATCAACTTTCCAACACTTTGCAATTCACCATAGCTACTGAATTTTTCTTTTCCCCTCCTATGTCCAGTTAGAAAATGCAAAGACAACATGCTTATAAGAAAATTAAGAACTGCAAATTTTAAACTATTCAAAACACCTTAGTATATCTCTTTATATTCAAAGAAGAATCATTATAATCTAAAAGAGAATCAGTTTTATAACACATCAATATATAAGATAACAAAATAATCTTTTTGTCACATCCAATTATTCCAACAAAGTACAATATTACCTATTACCTCCCAGATACAGAAATTTCATCATAAAAAAAAGTGCCAGCTAAGGTCAACTTACAGAGATCAAGAGAACTTACAGTGCCATGCCCGTTTGCTTCAAAATAAACTCCAATGTCAAACTCTTGAGCCTTGTGGTGCAAATGTTTTACACCAGTCTTAGTGCAATAGACAGGTACCTATAACACATGCATTTAAAGAAATACAGCAATTACTCAGATGTCAAATGTTTCTTGTATACCTAGTACCCAGAGATACAAGGGGAAACAAAACGTACTGGAGCTGAGTCTAGTGAAGAAGATGATTAAGCATTAAAACACAAATGGTATGTATACAATAGGAGCGCGAACGTACTCCAAAAGCATGCAACCAAGGGTAAAGCATGCAACCAAGGGTAAAGCATGGTGAGAGAGATGAGGGGCTCCTTATGAGACACGAAAGATAACAAGTGGGGGTGTGACATGACCTAACTGTTTTAAAAAGCTGAGTTTAGCTACAGTGTAAAGAACAGCTTAGAGTAGGATTCTGCAAGCTTTTTCTGTAACAGGCCAGACAGTAAATATTTTAGGCTTTGCAGGCCATATGGTCTCTGTCACAATTACTCTGCCATTATAGTGCAAAGGCAGCCACAGACCACACACATGAAAACAAATGAACATAGATCTATAATAAAACTTTGTTTACAAATAGTGGTAATTTCAATTAGAAGGTTAAGAAATGCAAGCAGGAGGCTTCTAGTACTAATCCCAGTAAGAAATAGTGGCTGGATCAGCAACAGTGAATAGGGAAAGTCATGGATGGATGGATGGATCTGAGAGAGCTTTAAGAATGGTTAAGAAAAGATAAGAGCAAAACTGCAAAAGAAAGATTAGCATTAGATTGGATGTAGGAGACCTCAGGAATGGCAAGGGCTGAAATATTTCATCTGGAAGACTGAGTTGAGAATTAACAGTTTCTTAAACTAGCTTATTTTATCTGTAATAAATTTTTAAGACAGAAAATGAAAAAACTAAACCCAAGTGCTGTGAAATAACCTAAACCCTGTGAAAGGGAGGCAAATAGGCCCCAGATGGAGTCCCTTGAATGAGTTTATTATAACCATGTATTAAAATCAGGTCACAAACTAGCAGCCTCAAGATATATTCCCTTTTGTCCAGCCACTGTTTCTTTTAAAAAAAAGTAGGAAATTCACATGAAAATTCATATTTCGTGCTTCTCTTGAAGAATCTGCCTACATTAAACATCAGCTAGCACATACTTCCCTGTTTTTAAGCACCTGCTGCCCTCATTCACTTTTCCTGTCCAAATCCTGCAGGAATCTGACTTTACAATTCCTGCTTTCTAGAGAATGGAAAGGTAACTAGAGCTAGTATAAATGCCAGAACTTGAAACAAGATACCAAAAGTTGGAAAAATGTTATACTCGTTAATGAGAAAAAGAGTAAAGGCAAACGGGCTTCCAGTTTTATTCGTTAACCCTGGTAACTCTCTGATCAAGTAGTGTGGTGCCGAGGGTGGTCATCTGGTGGACACCAGGGAAATAATTAGAATCTCCCACCACCCCAGAAAATCTCTCCAAAAAACATAAAGGCAAGAAACAGTTCTATTACTGAATAAGTATCAAGACAAACTGATGTTCAATCACAGGTGAATTTGCCAAGAGATAGCAAAGATAAACTCTCACCTTTTAATATAGCCAAGCAAATACATTCCAATCCAATTTTTCTAAGATAAAAGATGACTAATGATAAAAATTCTCTCCTTGACCAAACTTTAGTTAGGCTTAGGTGAGCCTGACTAGGCCTTGTCCTCATGTCTTCCAATAGTCTGATTTTAGTAAGAGTCATGGTAGGTGAGCTTAGCCAGAATCCCTCATCCTAATATCCCTCAATCCCACTCTTGAAATCTGATCTGAGTTCTCATTCTCCACCGTCCCCCAGGTAATATGTGACCAACTATCCTGGCCTACCTTTAGCAAAAGTCCTGTTAGGTTAGTTTAGCCAAAATACCACCCACTTAGCCTCGTTTCCTCTCAGTAATTTTTCACCCACTGACCAACACCCAGGCCACACACACCGTGCTCCTTGACTATAAAACCCCACTTCTCCTTTCTTCATTTGGAGTTGACCCCAATCTTTCTCCTACCATTGCAAAACTCCATCACATTAGTCCCTGTACCTATCACAGGGTCCTGAATCAAGTCTGCCTTACCATTTTATCAAGTGTCATGAATTATTTTTTAACACTAGTCCTCAAATAGGAAAACCTGACACCATTTGTCACACACATGGTTTATCCTGAAATAGGGACAACCACCTGTGTTAACTGCCTCTCTCTAAGGGAGTAATAAAACTTTTCGTGCCTCTGTGACAGACAGATAGTTAGAAATCGGAGCCAGACACCTAAGTTAAACTCTCACGAGACTGGGAGACGGGGAGCTATCTTCCTTGATGTTTATACTTGAAATTGGTGATTCTCAGCCCTTAAAAAAAAGTATTCCTGAGCTACAAAACTGGCTTATTAGGCCTTTAAAAAGATTTACATTCATTGCAAAGGGGCAGAGAAATAATTCACCAGTTTTCTAAAGGAAAACTCCCAAGAAAAGGAAGGAAGAAAGTCTTCCTTTTTTCATCAAAGACAACTAAATTTTTTCTTATTTTTTATTTCTCTTTACCCTTACATAAACAGCAGCTCAGCTTCATGCACTACAACATAACCACTTTTATGAGGGCAGTATCTTCCTCACAGAAACATCTTATAATGTTAAGAAACTATCAGAAAACAAAAACGGTTCAATACCTTCATAACTTCTTCAAGATACCGTGTTGAACTTCCATTTGCATATGCAGTTTGTACAACACCAATATTCAAATTTTCTCCAATCTAGACAAAAACAATGTTACTTGCCATCAAAAGTATGGTTTACAAAAACAAATATAATGAGAGTTCTAAATGCTAACAAAATTATCAGCTAGTTCAATTGTACCTTAGTTTATGCAATAAATGTCTGACTGAAATTTTACATGTATACCAGAAAAAAGGCCTAAAATACTTTTGAGCACTACTTAAAAGCAATTCTATGAGAAATCCTCTTTTAAGAGGCCTGTATCTCCTGATCTTCACCTCTCTTAACGTTTTAAATAAAGTATCAGACCAGATGCAGTAGTTCATGCCTGTAAACCCCAACATTTTGGGAGGCCGAGGTGGATGGATAACCTGAGGTCAGGAGTCTGAGACCAGCCTGGCCAAGATGGTGAAATCCCATCTCTACTAAAAATACAAAAAAACAGGCATGGCAGCATCCACCTGTAACCTCAGCTACTTGGGAGGCAGAGACATGAGAACTGCTTGAGCTCAGGAGGCAGATGTTGCAGTGAGCCGAGATTTCGAGATTATAATAATTTCTAGCTACATCCTATACTTAAAGCTTGCCTCTAAGAGATTTCTAAAAAAGCAAAATGAAACAAATCTCACATTAGTAAACTTATAGTTAATGTATCTCTCAGATAATGAGATTTCCTATTAGAATTTAGGGCTTCAGGCAGTGACCACAGAACTCTCATTAAAGTTTCAATTATGAAGGAAGCAAAACTTCCTATAGCTTCAAATCACAAAACTTGGCCAGTATAAGGAAGAAAAGAGTACCTTCAGGTTCCAAAGCCAATGCCTCAAGTGTTCAAATGACTGGAATTACCATTGCTCTTTTTTTAAAAAATGTTCTGGCCACTAATGTAAGGAACTTGCACAAATTCTGCCTTTCTGACAAATGACTATGAAATATGGAACTATTTCACTAGTAAGTCTTGTTTCAGAGGGTAGCAATCCCCCACCATACCTCCATCAGGAGCTCTTTAAGGAAGCTGCTAATTAACGTTGCTATCTTGTCTCCATCTATGAGATGAAAATGGCCATCTGCATCATGGTAGTAATAAACAATTCTGTCTGCATCTCCGTCAAAAGAACAGCATCTTTCATTGGACTTAATTTCCATTCCTAGCACAGAGGATAATTTAACATGCATTTCAGTCTACAAATTTATTATAAAGAGTTTTAGAATTTTCTCTTAAAATCATCTTCCTAAAACATCAGTGTCTTAATCTTTAAATAGTACATAGTTGATTAGTGGTTTTTTTCTTTTTTTTTTTTTTTTTTTTTGAGACCGAGTTTCGCTCTTGTTACCCAGGCTGGAGTGCAATGGCGGGATCTCGGCTCACTGCAACCTCCGCCTCCTGGGTTCAGGCAATTCTCCTGCCTCAGCCTCCTGAAGAGCTGGGATTACAGGCACGCGCCACCATGCCCAGCTAATTTTTTGTATTTTTAGTAGAGACGGGGTTTCACCATGTTGACCAGGATGGTCTTGATCTCTTGACCTCGTGATCCACCTGCCTCGGCCTCCCAAAGTGCTGGGATTACAGGCTTGAGCCATCGCGCCCGGCCAATTAGTGGTTTTTACAGGTCAAATTCATTCACTGCAAAGTGAAAAAAGGAGCATTCAAAATCTATTTATGCTGAAACTTGCTATAAAACTACCATAAAATTCGACTTTACAAGCCGGTTGGTTTGGCTAGACAGGTGTCCCATTAAGTTTTTTTTAAAGCTTTTAAAATGACATTTCTGAAGGTCATTTACCTAGTACCATGATCTTTACACAGAAAAAATCATCAGCAGATGAGTTATGTGCTTTAATTCTAACAGAATTGATTTTTATTTGTTCATACCACCAATAAAAAGAAGCAAAGAATTTTAACTTTGAGAGATAAATGGCTTGGAAATTTACATAACGTTGCTGAAATCTCAGCAATTGTCACATCAAATTTATTAGAAAATTTGGCTCTTCCTTAGCCATGACCACAGCGACTGACAAATCCAACATGAGGCAACTAAGAAGTAAAAGGCTTTTGTCAGGAATGGGATCATAAGATTTACTAAAGGACACGATGCAAGTTTCAGGAAAGCAAGGGCTATGGTTTTGTTCATACTGTAGTCCCAATGCCTAGAGCGTACAGAGTAAGAGCTCAGTATTTAATGAATGGATAAATAAGTGACAGAACTGAACTGTCAGTCGAGTAAATGTCAAAACAAGCAATTCAACGAAAAGGAGCTCAGATTGGTTGATTACACTGACATTTTAAATGCTTACTGAGTAAGGCATAATAACATGAATGAATGAGGCAACTGGATGATGAAGTCTATAGAGTTCTAGAATGCATGTCCTATTTAAGTGGGGCAACACCTATCTGATTGCAGTGGATTAATGCCATGTGTGACCATTTTCTCATTTTGGTAAAGAGATGCTGGAGATTTCAATATATAAGAGAAGTCACAGAATTTTTAAACACTGGCACACAGACACACACACAAATGCAGTGGGCCAAACAAAACATATCTGCAAGCTGGGTTTGGCCTAGGTGAATAATTTAGGGTCCATAATGCAGATAAATCCAGAACACCTCTTACTACAACTAAAATCTTAAGAAACGTCTTCCTCCTAATCTGCACTCAGTGGAAAACACTGACTGCTGAAAATTGTATAAGCAGTTACATTCACTTTCCGTAGTATATCTAATTCAGATAAAGTATCTAATAATACTTACTATGCTACCCTTTAGAGCTGTGATTCTCAAAAAGGGATCCCCAGACAAGCACTGTGAACAAAGCCTGCAAACCTGATAGAAATGCATTGCTATCATATGCAAATCCTATGCCAGACTCTAGAAATGCAGAAGTGGAGCCCAGGAATCTGTGTGCTAAAAAGTCCTCAAAGTGATTCTGACACACGCCAGTTTGAGAACCAGTGTTCTAGAATGCCACTTCCTGACTTTGCTTTCCCCACCTGATTTCCTGTAGACTATGAGGAGTGGTGTGATTTACAGACAGAGAGAGCAGACCATGTTTCAGTGGCTCTGAGAGTGGAAAGATTTCTCAGTGTCTAAATGTGGCAGAGCCAGGACTAACTGCATGATTGTTTTTTTGTTGTTTGTTTGTTTGTTTGTTTTTGAGACAGAGTTTCGCTCTTGTTACCCAGGCTGGAGTGCAATGGCGTGATCTCGGCTCACCGCAACCTCTGCTTCCTGGGATCAGGCAATTCTCCTGCCTCAGCCTCCCGAGTAGTTGGGATTACAGGCATGCGCCACCATGCCCAGCTAAGTTTTTGTATTTTTAGTAGAGACGGGGTTTCACCAAGCTGCATGATTCTTAACACACTTTACCACCTTAGTTTATAAGTGAGATTGGCTTCAAAGAGCATTAAAAACAAATTTTTACAGTGCTAGTATGACATACCCTGTGGAGGTTTTTGATGACTTTTCACAAAGTCAGCTCCACATAAATGATTGAGTTTTCCCTTAGACCCATCATTAAACAGCTGAACTGACAGGCCCTGTGAGAAGTAGTGTTCCATTTCCCTTAGCTTCAGGGCCCCTATGCCATTTGCACAGTCGACCTTAAGTGATCTGTACTCATCACCACTGCAGGAAGCCTACAAAGGAAAAAGACACATGGAAGAAATATTTCAAGTTACAAAAATAAAAGTGAAATATAAAGCATATATACATATGTGCCTATGTAAATATCCAGTTAACTCATCTATTTTAATTTTTAAATTTTATCAATTATAATTTATTTTAGCAATTTTTATAATTATAAAACACTAAAATCTAAAAACACCTGGAACAACAGAACAGTTTCGCTGATTCAACAACTTACAGAAATAGAACTTTATTAGAATTTAGTCTCAATTAATAGGGTCTCTTAAAAGTAATATTACAAGGCAGACATTCAAATGCAAGAATATGCATAAAGACAAGCAGTAATGACATGTCATTCTTTTTATAGTATGTGACATCATCATCAGGCAGATTTGGTTTTTTTCTAATTGTCTCCTCTCCCAGCTATCCTCACCCTAAATTATAAGTTCTATGAGAAAAAGGGCTTTTAGTTAATTGTCCCTGGTAAGGACATACACTCAACATTTGTTGATCAAATGAAGTATACTTCTTAAATCTCTCAACAGTAGATGCCTCAGGTACTGAACCAACAGCACCTACATTAACTAAGATCAAATTCATCTGAATAAATATGATAACCATAATCAAGACTCCCACCATGTTTTCTTCCCCAAAGGATCTCAGAATGTACCATGTGCTTTGCCAAATAAACGCCAACGTAAGTTAGCAGGATACATAGAACAGAAACTTGTGTGGCCCTAAAGGAAAAAACAAAACAAAACAAAAAAAGAGATACACGGCATTTTTGGAAAAGGAAGGAGGAGGCGTGACAAACTTAAGATATTTTGTTCAACAGACTGTGCTACTTTATTTATTTGTTTTAACTCTAACCATATTCAAGAGAATTTTCACCTGTTTGATGAGTTCCACGAAAGCCTTAGAGAGTTTCTGGTAGTAACCTTCTAAGGTTGCCTTTCCATATCGGCCGCCCGTGTTTCGACAGTACACCATGTAGTGCAACTGGGGTGTTGTTAACAAGCCATAATCTGTCATAGAAATACCAAAAGCAGTTCACCACATTTCTTAACAGACAGAAAAATGTTCAAATTCATTCATATTTAGGAATTTCAGGGTGACAAATCCTTTTTTTGTCATCTCAGACATCTTAGAAAACATAAAAACGATCTTAAAAAGAAATATAAACTATTAGTAGCAAAAAAATCATTACATATAAACAGGTAACAATTTAAATATAAAGCAATACAGAAAAGTAATAATTGAGTTGTTTCCAGTAACATTGCAAACTATGTAACTCAGATGAATCCTCCTTCTGAAAACCACCAAAATGCTAGATAAAAGACAAAAATCTCCTTTTAAAAAGAACTACAGTGCGGACAAGTTATGGAACTATCAGGTCAAAACATGCCTAAAGGCAAGGACTCCAAGATCTAAGATAGTTCAGAAGCCAGTTTTGTTTTGAGGTAATTCCTCTAAACTAGAAATTGAGCTATGGTTTCAGAAGAAAAAGGCCATGCTGATCTAAGATCCAGAGCCCAGCAGAAGACCAGACTCTCATGAAGTTGAAATCCCAAAGAACCATACCTTCAGTGCAAGAGTGAGTCAGAAATTAATCACCCCATCTCATGACTCCCAGGACAGTTAGCTTAACATTGAGCAGGGAAGAGGGGGAAACCCATTCTTGAAGAGCTGTTACCAAGCACAGACCCTTGCATGGATTTCCTGCCCAAACATAACCACTGGGGTCCAAAAGAACTTTGTCATGAATTTTTTTTTGAGATGGAGTTTCACTGTATCGCCCAGGCTAGAATACACGGACACTATCTCAGCTCACTACAACCTTTACCCCCCAAGTTCAAGTGATTCTCCTGCCTCAGTCTCCTAAGTAGCTGGGATTACAAGGGTACACCACCATGCTTGGCTAATGTTTGTATTTTTAGTAGAGACAGGGTTTCATCACGTTGGCCAGACTGGTCTCGGACTCCTGACCTCCTGTGATCCACCCACCTCGGCCTCCCAAAGTGCTGGGATTACAGATATGAGCCACCACACCCGGCCTGTCATGTATCACTTTAAAGTGAACCCAGCCAGTGCCCCAGGTACCCAGCAGAAGCAAAAGACTAAACTTTACCAAAGACTATACCTTCACTGTAAACCTCAAAAACTTCTCATAATCCAAAATAGAAAAGAAAACCAGCTTACAGTTAAACATAGCTAACATATAAAAAAGGCACCATGAGCAAAAAAAGAAAAATGGGCAGCAAAGATGGACCAGTATCCAATAAGTAAATATTCAGTTACTAAACCTATCAGTTGGACCTGAACCTCAAACACAAGACTTTGACTGAAGGCAAAAAGGAGTCACTTTAAATTCTTGAGCCCTAAAGTTATTTAACAGAAATGATACCTTATGAAGGTAACCTTAGCTCTGGTATGATGATGAGATGGGAGGAGATGGAGAAGCTCAAAAAAATGCAAATAAGAGCATAGATTTTTTTAACAGAAGTGTTTACTACAGGAGCCCATTATTCTAAAAGGCATGCTAAAGGAAGAAACAAAAGAATTTTGTGACCAATATCAAAATTACCCAATAAACATTTACTAAATGACTAGTATATATACCCAATGAAAAGCAGCATCATCTATCCAACCTGTCAACTTAGAAACCTGGACTGTGTTCTTCACAGTTCTGTCCTCCCCACATATCACAAAATCCATTGAATGCAATACTAATTTTTTGAGAGTGACCCAGTTGGTCTCTTTCCCTTTCTTACAACTTTCCTTTCCCTTCTGTCTACAACACAGGGACTGGCTTAAATGAAAATATGATCATATCACTCTCTTGCATAAAATCCTTCACGGAGAGTCCTACTGCATCTGGGATACAGCCCAAGTCCTTGCCACGACCTCCAAGGTTTGAAATGAACTTTCCCCACCTTACCTCCTTACTCTCTTCTCCTAGCCCCCATTCTCCCTATGCTGCAGCTACATTAACCTTTTTTCATTTCCTGAAATACACTAAGCTGAAGAGACAAATGAGGGAAAGGTTAAAAAAAATTACTCTCAACTTTTTCCAGACTAAAACACTAGAAGATTGATGGTTCCAGCAATAGAATGAAAATGCTGAGAAAGACAACCATTCTGGAGATGACAGAAAATACAGTTTGGGGCAGGGTGAACACGAGATAGGAGCAGGCCATCTATGGCAAGATACCACTCAGATCAATGCTTTACAAATTGCAGGCCACAGACTGCCAATGGACCATGGAATTTACTCAGTGAGACCACAACAGGCATTTCCGCATTTTAAACAGATGACTGCATGTCATGTAGGATGGGTGAGCATTGTTTACTGAAGCTATTTCAGTTATACACACAAGCATACATTGACATGTCATGATACATAATGGGTTTCTTACTATGGGTTGATACACAGCAAAACAAATAGGCTATTAGAGGGATGTACACTGCAGATAGTAAAACATGTTTGATGAATTAATAAATGAATGAATAAAGGTAGTTCAAGCTATGGCAGTAGAGATAATCATTCAGAAATCATGTAGAAAGAGAGAGAGTCCCAAGGAATGCCCTCCTGGAAAGAGACAGGAGAGGAGCCACTAGAGAAGACCAATAAGGAATAGTGGCCAAGCAATTAGAGGCTCAAAGAAAGAGCTTTAATGCTATGGAAAGCTACAAAGACTTCAACTGTAACAACTTAACAGCATCAATTATTAAAATTATTTTTAGATCACAGCTCCTAAGAGTATCTGAGCAGAGGTATGTGTGTACTTCCTGGTAAAGTGCTTGCATGGCTAACACTCTGTACATCATATCATGAGGTCCATAGGACCTCTGCAGCATTCCCAGACATCCCACAGAGGTCCCTGGTTAAGAATCCCTACTTTATAATATCCACCAGATTGAGCAATCACAATGCAGATGGATGTCAGGGGTGGGCTGCGGAGACATTTATTTTACAAAGAGGTAAGGATAGAGACTCACCTGCAGAAGGCTGAAGAATGACAGAAAAGGAGGAAACAGAGAAGGTAAGCAGAGGGAGCCCTCAGGAGAGGCCAGACTTGACTGTGCAGGAAGGGAACACAGCTGGAACTCGAGAGGAGGTTTTAAAGGTCAAGAGAGGATGTTTGTTTTACTAAGAAAGATCTCACACTAGGAAATTATTCACCTCAAAACATAGTGGAGACAGTGCCTTCACAACAGACACAATGTGAGGAGGATCATATTCTCTTTTGTCTCATTTGATTCTCTGTCATTTGATATAAAAGAAAGAACAATCTGTCAAATATATTTCCCATCACTACTTGACAGGTAACAGCTGATTTCACAGGCGAGCAGCTATTAGGGAAGACCTAATATTGACAAAAGCTACCCCCAATGAACATCTTCAAGTACTTAAAAGGCTTTTGAGGAAATTCAGCCTTACCAAAGTAAAGGAAATTGTATTACTTTAGCCTTTCCCACCTGTAATCTCCTATAGTACTGCCATAGGTCAAACAAAACATGCCTGTCCAGAAACAACCTGGAAGATTGTTTTTAAAGTTATTATTTTGTATCTAGGAGTTCATTTTTTTAAACATTTTTTGTTCAGCTGTATTTTCAAACTTTTCTAAATCAATATGTATTACTTTTGGCAATTAAAAGCTTTTTAACATTAGTTTAATTGGTTGGGTGTGGCAGCTTATGCCTATAATCCCAGCACTTTGGGAGGCCGAGGTGGGCAGATCACGAGATCAGGAGTTCGAGACCAGCCTAACAGGGTGAAACCCCGTCTCTACTAAAAATACAAAAACTAGCCGGGTGTGGTGGTGCACCTGTAATCCCAGCTACTCAAGAGGCTGAGGCAGGAGAATCGCTTGAACCTGGGAGGTGGAAGTTGTAGTGAGCTAACATCACACCACTGGACTCCAGCCTGGGCAACAGAACAAGATTCTGTCTCAAAAAAAAAAAAAAAAGATTAATTTCCAACTCAGGATAACCACATACCATGGAATTGACCTCCTAGAACAGTCACACCATCCATTACGGATTGTGAAAGTTTCTCACTGCTGGGCCTAGGAAAGAAAAGGAAGAAAATAATATATCCCATTCTGAAACTGGCAGGGTGACTGTTCTGCAAGCAAATGCAGAAATTACATGCTACAAATTTCAAAATAATAAGTTCCTTGTATCTGAGGTGAAAACTATAAACTCTGAAGATATTCGTAAATTATAAGCATTTTCTAGTAGCCTTTCACAATCTAGTTCTTGGGGAAATTTTGGCTTTTAAATGAATTTAGAGAACAGATATAAAGAACACTCTAACCACACGATACCCAAATACCTTTTTAGGTTTGACCACACCAACATGTCTGAACTCTAAGAACAGTAACCATAAATACTAAGTATACATGGTGTGTATAAGACTGTACTTGTATTAAGCCACCAAGTATATAGAACCTGTTTTCCATTTTGTAAAGTCAGAACAAATTATCTGAAAATAAAACAGATTACAAAACTCCCTTGTTGGAAAAGATGTTTTATCACTTACATTAGTTAATAGTTAAGAACCAAATACATGTAGGATGGCTTTACTGTGGTGGGATAATTTACTTCTGAACGTAAGTCACTTGGCTATTTCTGCTACCATCATCAGTATCTGGAAGACCCTCCGGTAACACAATAGAGGGTTAAAAAAAAAAAAAAAACACCAGTCTAGGCCATTGGGAGATTGAGTAGAAATTTCGCTTTGAAAGAATCTCAGGTTAAAAATAGATCTTATGCAAAAAGAAATGCTACTGTTACAAAGTACACTTTTCATCTAACATTTTACAAAAAAATATATTTTTATTAAGGAAGGCAAAAGCTGCAAAATGTATGTGGAAAATAATATTGTATTTTTCAGTGAATTCCAGCATGGGGAAAATTATATAAATATTTGAAACAATAACATAGATTATAAAGTAAATCTTTAAAATTAATGAGTTCAAATCATGTGTTCTGACTCTGTAGGCAAAAAAAAATAAACCTACAGAGGGGGTGGGAAACATTTATTAAGTGCTTCTCTTGTGTCCGGAAGTATTTTACATACATTATTCTGCAGCTTGGGTTTTGGAGTGAGGGTTCAAACCAGTCAGCTCCCAACACCAATCTGTAGTAGTGACTTAGCTACAATATCCTACTAAAAAAGCCATGCAGGTAGACATGTGACTCAGGGTAGTTCTACTTTACTTCCATCCATTTGTCTTCAATATTAAAATTGATACAACTGTTTATATCATGTTTCCAAAGCTGCTTTTTTTTTTAACAGTAACTCTTATCATCACCTGGTGTCTCTACCAACAACTACAAAGGCATCTTGTTGCAGATTCACAGCTTCTTTCTCGCTGATGTCAATAAGCACTCTCTGCATATCTTGTTCCTCAGCGTTTGCTAAACAGGTGGCATGTTCCTCCCAGGATGGTGCCAACATTTCACCCAAAGGATCAACCAATTTTACACCATTATCTTCCTTAAAAGAAAAACAAACAATAACCAATCTGCACATACTCATGAGGCTGGGTTGAGAGAAGAACTCAAAAGCCATTTCCCCTCAACCAAAGACAGTGATGGCTAAGCAGCTTCAACAATAAACACCAAATATTAACACTAGACCCTGGATTAGGTATTTTATATATATATATATCTCCTCATTAAATCCTCATCATACACATGAATTAAACTAATAATCCTGTTGTTATTCCAATCTTACTTTGAGAAAACTGACCTTCAGAGAGAGGTTAGGTTAGGTCATTTACTTATGATCACACAGCTACTAAGTGTCAGTACTGATATTAAAACATCGAGTCTATCTGACTTGCCTAACAACATTATGCCACACTACCCTTTGTAAAAAGGCTGTGATCTGTGCATTCACTATCAATAAACTGACCAGGGCACAAGTGGAGCAGAATAAGGGCACACAGAGACCCTGCTCACTATGACTCAGAACTCCAAGAACACACTGGCCAGCTTGTCAACCAGCGGGTGGGACAGAAACTGAAAACTGCCTCCCAACACCAGTCTGCTCAAATTCCTAGAAAGAAAATGTAGTTCACACAGTGAATGTCACCTAAAAGAAAAGAGAATTGTTTTGAGAAATGCCTCTGGAACTAGCAAGGAATATGAGGCTCTTTCTATAAGTCAAGTCAGTCAATCAATTACGGTAACTGCCATATTTAGACATTTACACATTTTTAGTGATAACACATTTGGACAAGCAATGCCCTTATTTGGGAGAGTAGGAGTTTACAATCCTTCACAGACCTACCCCACTTTAACTTGCTGCTGATTCAGCTACAAAGGCAAACATCTCACACCCTCAGCAATCAAATAGAAGCATATTACTCAAACCTGTATTAATGGCCCATAGGCCATACGGAATAGTAACATTGTGTCAAAAGGTAGACCAAGATATAAAAACAACCTAAGTGCTCATAAACCGGTAAATGAAGAAAACTATAATATATATATATATATATACGTATATGTGTATATATATATATACACATATACACGTATATGTATATACACACACACACACAACAGATTATTCAGCCTTAAAAAAAATACTGCCATTTGCAACATGGTTAAATCTGGAAGACATTATGCTAAGGTAAATAAGCCAGACACATGAAGACAAAGACTGCAGGCTCATAACATCCATCTGTTAGGTAAAAAAGTGGAACTCATAGAAACAGAGAGTAGCATGGTGGCCGCCAGAGGCTACAGGGTAAGGGAAATGAGATGTTGGCCAATGGGTACAAACTTGCAGTTATAAGATGAGTAAGTTCTGGAAGAATAACGTACAGCCTGCTGACTGTAGTTCATAATAATCTCTGCCCTTCCCCACCCATCCCTAATATCTAATCACTGCTAAGTTAATAAAGGAAACACTTTTCAATTACTGAAAATGTCCTTGTCTTAAATCAATAATTTGGAAGGACATTTTTATTTCTTTAATATGGACACTCCAAAAATGACAGTCTCTGTTTATTCTTTTTTTTTTGAGACAGAGTCTCACTCTGTCGCCAGGTGCCAGGCTAGGGTGCAGTGGCACGATCTCGGCTCACTGCAACCTCCGCCTCCCGGGTTCAAGCAATTCTCCTGCCTTAGGCTCCCCAGTAGCTGGGACTACAGACGCGGAGACGTGCGCCACCACACCCAGCTAATTTTTATATTTTTTAGTAGAGACAGGGTTTCACTGTTGGCAGGGATGGTCTCGATCTCTTGACCTCATGATCCGCCTGCCTCGGCCTCCCAAAGTGCTGGGATTACAGGCGTGAGCCACCACGCCCGGCCTATTCTTTCCACACCCTCTAAGGAATTACAAACTAAATGATCATGCTTGTTAAAAAAAAAAAAAAAAAAAAAAGTTGTTTCACATTCAAAGGCACATATAAATGAGAAGGCACATTCCTAAAATTAGAATTTGTACTTTAGATACAACTGCTCAGACATTAAAGCTTGAACTTGTAAGTAAGTGATAGTCTCCTTTATCAGGGCACTAAAATCATTACCTCAGGATTGTGGGATGCTGTTACCATGACTCCTACAGTGGATTTTGTCTGTTTGGACCTCAGAGCAGCTAATAATCCCATGCGAAACATGACATGATCAAGATGTTCTGCCTTTGTTCGAAATCCAGCAGTCCCGTATTGAAGAACCAGTCCACTGGGCTTGGCATGTAATGCTGAGTATTTTGTAATAGCACCTAAATCCATATCTACAAATTAAGAAATATTATTTTAGGCATAACAAGTAATCTCTCAAGAACCATATGCTTCAATAATTGCCACCCCAAACTAATAAGTCTGTCTCATTCTGAACCTCTTTAAAGAACCCTATGTTTAAGAGAGTAGTGGGCAGGAGAGTAAGTCCTGTGGGTAAGAATTACCAACTAGAAGATCTTGCCCAACTTGTATGGTCCACTCCTGGGCAGCCTCAGGGCAGATATCAGATTGTCCCCAACTCTCCTCCCATTTTAGCTCCAGGACTATTCCTGGACCCCGGGCACACTTAAAATGGCCCGCTCTCAAATAAAATGAAGATTTTATACCTATTCAGAGACTTGTATGAGCTCAAAGATCATTTCATTTTACAAAAGGGGAAACTAAATTAACATGGATAGCTGGTGAGGCCTAAAGTCAGATTCTTGAGTGGACTGAAACTACATACCCCCAAATATCTGAGAAATCTTTGTGGTTCTTTTGCTATTTCTCCCAAGCTACAGACACATATTCTCAAAGGCAAAGCAAAAGGCAACAGTTTCTTCTCCAAGACTACCCACATCTTTTTCCTTTTTTTTAAGGACAATCAGGACACCCTTCTAAAATGTTGCTCTAAAACAAGTAGTATCTTCTTTCTAAAGAATGCCACTTTTTTCCTTTACTTTTTTTTTTGAGATGGAGTTTCGCTCTTGTTACCCAGGCTGGAGTGCAATGGCGCGATTTCGGCTCACCGCCACCTCTGCCTCCTTGGTTCAGACAATTCTCCTGCCTCAGCCTACTGAGTAGCTGGGGTTACAGGCACGCGCCACCATGCCCAGCTAATTTTTTGTATTTTTAGTAGAGACGGGGTTTCATCATGTTGACCAGGATGGTCTCGATCTCTTGACCTCGTGATCCACCCGCCTCGGCTTCCCAAAGTGCTGGGATTACAGGCTTGAGCCACCGTGCCCGGCTTCCTTTACTTTTAAAAACCAAACATCGGCTGAGCACGCTGGCTAGCCAGCAATCGTAGCACTTTGGGAGGCCGAGGAGGGCGGATCACCTGAGGTCAGGAGTTCAAAACCAGCCTGGCCAACAAGGCAAAACCCCGTGTTTACTAAAAATACAAATAATAATAATAATTAGTCAGGCGTGTTGGTGGGTGCCTGTAATCTCAGCTGACGCACGAGAATCGTTTGAACCCAAGAGGCGGAGGTTGCGGTGAACTGAGATCACACCACTGCACTCCAGCCTGGGTGACAAAGCAAGACTTGTCTCAAAACAAAACAAAATCGGCCCTTAGCCCACTAATACTGCTTTCTGTGGGACACTCCAATTAAGTGGAACTTGGAGTTTCCAACTTCAGGCAGTAGCTTTCCTTCAGTGGTCTATATACTACGCATTTCCTGGGTCAATTAATTCCCAATTAGCACAGAGATGAGGAGCAGTCCCCCAGCTGTAGCCTCATAATCTTGTTTTCTTTACTGTCCTTCATTGCTTCAATGAACAGAATTTACAAGAAATGGTGAAAAATACTTGCTTTTGTCCAGTTGGAAAAAGCTGGCATTCAGCAAGCTAATTTAATTCAAGCCAGTGATCAAATCTCTTTCCTAAGGATGAATACATACTTGTAAAAACTAAGCAGCTATGTGTCATGATTATTCATAAGGGTGTAAACCAGTCCTGTTAACTCCAAAAAGCCGTTAAAAAAAAAAAGTCCAGATTATAAGCTTTCACCCTTCCATGTGTTTTAGGTCCTACAACTGCTTTCAATATGTCTGCGAATGCTTTTACGAAAGTATATTTGCCAAATCCAAAGTCCTCCCTAAGAAAGTTAAGAGTATCTATCCCCTTCTCTCCATTCAATCTTCAAACCTCCTCGGTGCCTCTCTCCCGCCTGCCCTCGAATCACCGCACCAGAGTGATTCCCCGCACTCCACCGTGAGGTCCCCGCCCAGGACCGCGGACCAGAGTCCCCGGAGGAGACCGCGGCCGGGCCCGCCCAGCCCGCACGCGAGGCGCAGGGACCTGTAGGTGTGTCCCGCGCGTTCCGCCGCTCGGTCAGGAGCCCGCCGGCCCTCTAGCCCCTCAGTCCGGCCGAGAATCCGACTTGTCCCGCTCCCACCGAGCCCCTGCCGACCAAGTAGTCCCTTTTCGCAACTCCAAGCCTCGGGCCCAGCTTACCTCAGTCAGGAAGCCCCCTTCACCTCCACAAAGCGGAGAAGCGATCAAGCTGCAACGTCGGCACCCAGAGCTGGCCCTCGCAACCGCAGACGTGGCCCTGCGTGGCTTCCGGCTCGTCGCCACGCCCCCCTGCCAATCACGGCGGAGGAAGGTCCGCCGGCCCCGCCCCCGCTTCGCCGTCGGTCGCGCGCAGCTCGCGCCTGAGGAACTGCGGCTGCGGTTCCGAGCGGGCTTTGGGTCTGTTTCCATTGAATGACCAGGAAGGGTGAGGCCCCCCGCGGTGGCCCGAGGGTTGGGGTCGAGGGTTGCGGGTCCTCAAAGCACTGCGACCGCGGAGACGCAGCCTCCGCCTCCAAATCCGGGCCTCTGGGGGCGGCAGGCCCCGCGTCCCTGGGAAGCTGGGGTTCCTAGTGGTCTTCGATGGGGGCGGGGGTGGGGAATCAGCCCTGTCGCTGGGCCTCCGACATGGCTACTTCGCCTAGCGTGAGCGCAGCCAGCGGCCCGCATCCCCCTCCACGTCGTCGAGGTCTCCTCCCAAACCTTTGAATCCGGGAAGCCTTCTCCAGCTGCCGTCTCCCCGAGTATCCCCTTCCCCCAGCACGCTGTAGACATCTTTTCTTTAATGACCTCTGAGACCCCCCACCCTCTCAGCCTGGGTCAGTCGGGGCAGAGGCCAGTGAATCCTAAACCTCAGGAGCCCTGAGATGCGGCCCTGGCGAAAAAGCAACCCCGGGGGAGTCCGGGACCGAGAGGTGGTGACGGGCGCTATGGGTGACCCCTGGGCTGGGGAACCCGGAGCCCATCCCGCTGGCACTGCGGCCTCTGTCGCCGCACCATCTGGCTCCACCCAAGCCCGGCCCCAGCCTTTACCAGAATTCAGGCTTGCAGAGCGTCTGCAGGCGTCGGCCAGCCACCTGCAGCGGGACAATTCCAAACACCTGTTGAAAGTGCAGATTCCCGGATCTAGTGCGGGAGGCGGGAGGCGGGAGCCCCGACACGCGAAATTGGATTTTAGCGGAGTGTTTTAGGAGATGTTATGCATATTAGATTTTGGAGTGAGGAAATAAAGCAGAAGAGTGTAAGTGTCCGGTTTGTGCCCCTAGCTCTGGTGCAAAGCGTTCCTGCAGACCTGCTTCCACGTAAGGGGACCTTTGGGAAATTTCGCTGGACACCGCTGGCATTGACAAACCCAGCGTCGCTGGGCCTCGTGAGGTTTTCCGGCAGGTTGATTTCGAGGCGACATGTCTGCTTCAGTGAAAGAAAGCCTTCAGCTTCAGCTACTGGAGATGGAAATGCTGTTTTCTATGTTTCCTAACCAAGGAGAAGTAAAACTTGAAGATGTAAATGCCCTGACGAATATAAAAAGGTATTTGGAAGGCACAAGGGAGTCGCTGCCACCAAAAATTGAATTTGTGATTACACTCCAGATTGAGGAGCCCAAGGTAGGTGCCCTGATTTAAGTGTTTGCCAGGTGCGTAGTTTTTAACGGAAACATCTGGAACATGAGCTTTCTGTCAAGGAAATAGAAATATTCAAGGTGTATATTTCCTTGTTTGAAAGATATGGAATGCCCTATAAATTGTTTTCAGTAAATATCTTGAATTTTATATAAACATACACACCTTTTAACAAATATATATGGAGTTTTTATTGAAGCTATCTCACAGTCTTATAATGCCATTATTATTTTGTTCACTCATCCAGTTGGACTACCTTTCACATGTATTGTGATTTTCCTAAATCTAAGTATCGCCTGTAACAAAACTGGCTTTTAAGGAGTGAATGAGTGGTTTTTTTTTTTATGGCACCATAACAAAGCAAATATACCGATGAAAAAATCTAAAGACTAAAAATGAATTTACCTCCATCTTCTGATCCATTTATCATTAGCATAGCATAGGTAACACGTGGACTGGGCAATTGAGAACCACTGTTTTAGCTTTTCCTACTCCTTCTTCAGTTGCCATTCTCTCAGAGGAGACTTCCTGATTCCCCAGAATGGAATCTGTCCTGCTGGGTACACACTTCAGTGGAACCCTCCACTTTTCCATGGCACTGCTTCTCATAATTGAAATTAAATACTTGCTCTGTGTAATTATTTAATGTGTGTCTCCTTCACTAGGCCCTGGACTTCATGAAGGGCAAAGATAGTGTCTGGCTTCCTCACTTTTTTATCCCAGCACAAGGGCACCTGGCACATGTAGTTGTTCAATAAATATTGAGAGAAGGAATGCATAAAAGGAAGGAGTTGTGTATGTAAGGTACCTGGTACACAGCTGACAATAGTAGCAATAACTCATTTTTCAAAATCATGCAGTTGCTATTGATAAACCAGCTTATGTGATATTATGGTATTTAAATCTATTTGATTTTCATTTTAAGGTGAAAATTGATTTGCAAGTGACCATGCCTCACAGCTACCCCTATGTAGCACTGCAGCTGTTTGGACGGTCATCTGAACTTGACAGACATCAGCAGCTACTTCTCAACAAAGATCTCACTTCTTACATAGGGACTTTTGATCCAGGTGAGCTCTGTATATGTGCAGCAATCCAGTGGCTACAGGACAACAGTGCATCCTATTTCCTGAACAGAAAGCTTGTGTATGAACCATCTACACAAGCAAAGCCAGTCAAGAACACATTCCTCCGAATGTGGATCTACAGTCACCATATATATCAGCAGGACCTAAGAAAAAAGATTTTGGATGTTGGGAAAAGGTTAGATGTGACTGGATTTTGCATGACAGGAAAGCCTGGTATAATCTGTGTGGAGGGTTTTAAAGAGCACTGTGAGGAGTTCTGGCATACAATTAGGTACCCCAATTGGAAGCACATTTCCTGTAAGCATGCTGAAAGTGTGGAAACAGAAGGAAATGGCGAGGACCTGCGCCTTTTCCATTCTTTTGAAGAATTACTCCTTGAGGCCCATGGTGACTATGGATTAAGGAATGACTATCACATGAATCTGGGCCAGTTCTTAGAATTTCTCAAGAAGCACAAAAGTGAGCATGTTTTTCAGATACTATTTGGTATTGAAAGCAAAAGTTCAGACTCGTAAAAAGTGATTAAGAGGCCTATGTTTGTAATTTCACTAAGTCAGTATTTCTGTTAACAAGAGCAAAATAAAAAGTCTGGTGGCTGTGTAGCATCCTTGGTGCAAAACCTAGCTTCAGAATTTGCACCTGGTAATGAATTTCAACTGACAGTGAAACGAACAGGCCTTTAAACTTTATAACAGTGCAATTGTGATGTTATCTCTAGGTTTTTGTGTTAAGTCATTCAAAAACTATTTCATTATAAATTAATAAAAACAATCCATTTAACCTGTGAAGCTGATTTGATTGACAAGGAGTCCAAAGCCCATAGCTAACATCAAAAATCAAACTCCAGTTATGAATCAAAAAATATAAATAGCATTTCTGTTTTACATTGCAAGCACACGTGACACACCCACTTGTCTTTCATTATTGGAAATCAAGTTTAAAATGAGAACAGAAAAGAAGGACATGTTTACTTCATTTCTTACTTTAAACTCCTATTTTGAGTGTTTTAGTAAAACTAGATCCTAAAAGCAGTGGCAAAGGACTCGGAAATGAAGTCCCAGGAGTTATAAAGATGACACACCATGCTATGTATTCTTCTTCTGGCTGTTTGTATCAGTTAATGACACTAGCAACGTCGATACCAGTATTCTTAGCTTAATTCTTATACACAAAAGATAAAGACTTCATTCTTTGTCTACAAAGTATTCCTTTTCAATCCAGTCTTTGCCTGTGTGCCAGTATGCATTACTATACAGGATAAGAGAGTGTTGAGGGGACCAGTGTGGATGTCTGTATCATTGCCTTATGGGGAAAAAAATCTAATTCTCCAGTTAGGTGGTGGTAACTGCCATCTCCTCTGAAAATTCCAAGCTCCACAGGCTTCACCAGGCTTTTCAAAATGAGAGTTTATTTTAATGATAAAAACCCCTATTTAAGTAGCTCTTGCCAAGCCTTTTCATTACCAGGTATCCACCCCTCCCAAGTATTTCTGTGATTCTCCTGTGCTGAGATGTCTTGAGCAGCCTCCACAACTTTCCCCATTTCTGTGGTCTCTGTAGGTACTGATACCCTTTCCCGGGAGGCATTCCATTCTCCTACTAGGTCCTCTCAAGACGCCAAAGCTGGGTGCTGGGATTTAGGAAGATGCAGGGCAACACCTCACTCTCCATCCTGTGACACATCCTGTTAGATGTCAGACGGTGCTGTTTGTGCTGAGGAGCCTACAGAACTGATAAAACTACCTTCTGGTTTTACCCTCTGTGCTGTGGATGCAGACATGTCCTTGGGCTACAGAGAGGACATGATGGACCAGAAAGCCGTATGCCCAGGAGGTCTTAGAACTGGGTCCACTTTGTACTGCCTCTTTCTTCTTAGGTCACAATGAGTTTCCTCTCAGGGCACAATTCAGATCTTCAAGACATGGCTCAATGTGGGCCAGCCCTACCCTGCCAGGTCCTTCATCTTGCCATTCATGTTTCCATCCTAGCCTTGGTTGTGCTGGAACTCAGGCTGGAGCCTCACACTTTGCCTATATGCAAACAGAAGAAATAGGACTTACATTGCCAAAGAATTATTTCTTAATGTTTGCCAGCACTAAAAACAAAGTATGGGAATCTTTTTTCCCACAGTCTCTACAAAACTATCAATAAGTATACTTAACATTTACAAGTTTTTAGGCCTTAAACAGATGTAACTCCATTAACTTTATTCCTTTGAAATGAATCATTATATGCCATCTACCTACCTAATAGAGGTTTTTTTCCAGATTACATGAGCAAAAGTAGCTACAGAAAGATAAGTGTAAAGTAAAATAAATTCTAGGTTGTGAACTCTACTGCTTCTGGAGCTATTTCTGAGATTTTTTCAGAACCTGCTTTTATAAGCCTAATTTGATCATTCTGCAATAGTTTTTCCTGTCAGGAATACTAATGCAGATAGTATTATGGGGAAGGGTAGGTTTTATAGAAAAAAAGTACATGTCTAATTCAAAACTCAACTTTGTATGTATAGGAGACTGCTGGTTGTTGGCACAGCCTGATACGAGCACACACAAAATGTCCGGCATTCCCCTCCCCACTTCCCCTACACATACTGCTTATTTTAGGGAACTGCCCCTTCTCTGTGTGATTCGGGAGAAAGTGGCAGGAATCAAGGTGTCCTCTGGCAGCCTCCTGGAGAGATGGCTGTGAGCTCTTGCCACTGAAGCCTCTAGTGCCACCCTAATTTCTGGCCTACTACTGAATGCTCAGCTGTTCGGCTCCTCCTTTGAACGACCCAGCATTTTCCCTTTTGTTGTCAGAAATCAGCATTGGTCTCTATTGCTTGTAACTTACGAATCTGGATATTCTATATATTATATTTTTAAATGGTTGTTTGGAAAATGTGCTCATTTATAAAAAAAGAGCAGTGTCTTTTTAAAGTTTGCTGAATTAAATCAAGCATATTGTCAAGTATGTTCTTTGCTTTTCATTCCTTGGTCTGTTATGTGGTAGGCTAAGAGCTGAGGATACGTGCATAATGAATTGAGTGTCCCAGATGAGTTGGCAGACCACAACACGGGGACCTCTAAAACATTCCTTATTAAATCAAACATACATTGCCTGTGAACTCGAGCATTGATACATGACTGCTTACATGCCATCCATCTCCTCTCAGAACTGGAGAAGGCTTTGATGCTGTCTGCTGCAGTCTTTATGGAACCCTTTTGAACAGGTTTTTTTCACTTGTTTTTATCTCAATAGTTACTGTCTGAAGAGGGCATAGTGTTGCTCACACTTCCTGGTTTTATACCTAATCCTGATTTGCCACAGAAACTCTGAGCCCATTGGGTTTCCCTTATAAGGTCCACATGGTGGAACTAATTTCACCACACCCTGGACTAGCTAGAGAGACCTCTGTTTCTGAACCCAGTCAAAACTAAACACATTTGGATTAACCCATAAATTAATTTGAGCAAGGCACACGGAATTTAAATAGGCCTACTGTATTAGTTCATTCTCATGCTGCTAATAAAGACATACCTGAAGCTGGGTAATTTATAAAGGAAAAAGGTTTAATAGTCTCACAGTTCCACATGGCTAGGGTGGCCTCACAATCATGGCAGAAGATGAAGGCAGCACAAAGCGACGTCTTACATAGGGGCAGGCGAAAAAGCCTGTTGTAGGGGAACTCCCCTTGATGAAGCCATCAGATCTCATGAGACTTATTCACTACCTTGAGAACACTATGGGGGAAACCACTCCCATGATTCCATTATCACCACCTGGTCTCATCCTTGACATGTGGGGATTATTGCAACTCAAGGTGAGATTTGAATGGGGACACAGCCAAACCATACCACCCACCAAACACTGAGAGTTCTCAGTAGTTACAGGAGAAACATTGAGAAAATACAATTTTCCTCATTATGAAGGGGAAATCCCAGTGTGTACCAGACACTGGACCTCTATAAAACTTGACTGGAGGCCAAGTGCTTTCATGGGATTTATCATTCACCCTCTGGCATGATACATCTCACCAGGCATCCAGAAAACGTGACTCCATTCTCCATGTTTTATCAGAATATCACCTGCAGACGTACAGCATGCTGCCCGGTACAGTGGTAAGCTGATCAAAGGTCTGATATTGAGACTGACATTCTGACATAGAAAGTTAATGTAACATTGGAAAATGACAATCTACATTGCTTACTGAGATAGAGTCAATGCTTCACGTGCTCTTTACTTACTGGATAAAGGAAAAACAAAAAAAAAGCATTGACCAAATCAACAGCCAGCTACTTTCTGATTTCCTCCAAGAAAAATAACTTGTGTAACAGCAACTGCAGTTGGATTCACCATCTAATTAAGTCTCTGAATATGTGCAGTCATCTTTTATTTTATTTTTTTAAGATAATAGATCACTCACTCTCTCTGTTGCCCTGGTTGCAGTGTGGAGTGCAGTGGCCCAATTTCGTCTCAGGGCAACCTCCCCCTCCAGGATTCAAGTGATTCTCGTGCCTCAGCCTTCCCCGTCGCTAGGATTACAGGCATATACCACTATGCCTGGCTAATTTTTGTATTTTTAGAAGAGATGGGGTTTCACTATGTTGGCCAGGCTGGTCTCGAATCCTGGCCGCAAATGATCTGCCCATCTCAGTCTCCCAAAGTGCTGGGATTATGGGTGTGAGCCACTGAACCTGGCCTGTACAGTCATTCTTAGAGACCCTTCTCTCTCCTCCTATATGTGCCAAAGATCATGCTAAACCAAGACATGGTAAGAACCACACTCCTGCTGCTTTTAAAGCTTTTGATGGTGGGGCTCATCTCTGCAAATCTCTTCATACTTCCTGATAAAATAACCTTCTTTGTATGGATCAGGGATCCAATATTGCCACAGAGGATGAAGAAATTAACTCTAACTCTTCACTGGAAAAATAACTGGAGGATGGGTTTATTCCTATAGCATATACTTTGTTCCATAGACCACAATGGTTTCAGAGACCCCAGAAATTTATATTTGTTCAGAGCTGTTCCCAGATGACCTTCGAAAAGCCGAATAGTTTCCTTTCTGCAGTGCAGTGTTACCTTAGCAAATGGAAACCTCAAAGGAAGATTTTGGAAACAGATTTATGATATTATTACAGAGTTCTTCATCTTTAGGGATCTTTCACTCATATCTGTGGCAATTTGGTGACACTGTATTTTGGTGGCTCCAGTCAGGCTTTTCTGCTATTGTTATATATATCAAGTAGGACCTATGTGGACTGCCAGTGTATTCGGTCCTAGGCCAGGCTGGCATTTAGCTGGTATGTACTGGCATGGCTGCATCAGTTTTATACAATGGTATCAATTTTTCTTGGTCAGTACCTATGCTGCCTCATTAATTTTTGAACACCATTTCAGGCCAGGAGTCCACGTGTTATCCACAACCAAGATTTCTGTGGGCTGAACTATTGATTACACTGGACCTGCTCCCATTCTAATCACTGTTTTCACCTTGTCTCCAGTTGTTAATTGCTACTAAATGCTATTAAGCCTGTACCAACCCCCAAGAGTCTGATGTCTCCATTGAAATCGGGAACCCCTTTTAACCACAGCATTTTCCACAAGCCTTCCTAGCTTAAAGATAAGCATCATTAAAAGTTTTTCATGGATGCTGGTACCCCTCTCACCAGTGGTATTTCTCTCAAGGCCTTAGTGAAAGGAAAGTGAGTGATAGGTCCTCTAAGGAGACTTAGGGGATCAATAGATTAGGATAGTCAGATTGCACACGAAAACTCCACTATAGCATTCCCATCT